CGTTTTGCTATCATGCTTGAACGTCGACCATCTCCCACAAACGCAGCCCGATGTGGAGCTTACCGAGGAAATAAGCACACCTTTGCTTCAGGAACAGGAACAGGAACAGGAGCAGGAATATTCACGTCCCTCACCTGCGCAAGAACTCCCTGTAAAGCCAGTTCCTGTCCAGCCGCTTCCAGAGAGTGTTACGGCAGATCTACCGACTCCCAAAGCTGAAGAGTCAGAGGACGTCGAGATGGAAGACAAAGAGGAGACCGAAGAAAGGTCGGCTGCGCCCGCGACAATGGCGCTTCGTCTGCGACGTGAAACTTCTGCCGAGCAGGAGACTCTACCCGACCTCAGCTCCTTGCCGTATCTAGGATCAGGTCCTCCAACGCCTCTATCCGACATTGGACAAGACCGACCGAATCTCTCTGATGATGTCATGAATGCCATTCGAAGCAAGTTGCGCAAGAGCATCGAGCCTGAACTAAACACCGATCAGATACTCGAAAGATACGCAGCTGCATACAGAGAGTGGCGAGTTGCAATCCGTCCTTTGGACGAAGAGCGCGATCAAGATGATCCGGACAGGCAGCCATCAGCTGAGCCCACACTGAAGGCCGTCACCCCAGATGTGCAGAACGCTGCGATGACTGGAATCCTGGACGGATCGCTAGCACCTACAGGCCGGAGAAGTCACGCAAGTCGGTGGGCTACTGAGCTTGATTTAGAAGCTGTTATCAAAGAGTCTTTGAAGACTGCAGAGGAAGAGAAGTTAGGGAAGAACAAGGAACCAAGGAAAGCCATGGCTGATCCGGAAAAGGAGGCTGATCTACCTTTGGAACTTACCGAGGCCGAGGCTCAGCGGAGAAGGTTTATTGACACTAATTTCCAGCGCGAACCCGGCCAAGGCATCTTCGTGTTCCATTACGAGCCACCAGAGGACGACTTCACTCCCGACGAACACCGCGTCATGGTGCAGAACTACAAGGATCAGTACGCTAAGAAATGGGGTAAGCTGGCTGAAGTCCTATACAAAGAAGTCGGGACCGAACGTACATACAAAGACTGTATCAATCACTACTATGCTACCAAATGGGGCAGAGAATACAAAGGCAAACTTCGGAAACCGCGAGCTTCCAGGAAACGTGGTGGAGCGGTCGGTCGTGGCCGTGGAGCTATCGCCAACATGGACCGACCCGAAGGACCCGGAGAGGATGGTTTGCCCTTGCCTGTTACTGATACTGGACGACCTAGGCGCTCAGCAGCACCCAAATTTGGCGCAATGGAGACTGAGTTCGACCCGATCACAGGAATTCTCATTCCAGGCCGTACACGCAGGCCGACTGATACCGACGACACACAAGAGAAGGCTATGCGGCGCGGAAAGGCTGCGAAGGATAAGCTCGGCCGGAAGGCAAAGAATATGCCACTTGCCGCGGCTCCCGTGGGTTCACCTATCAAGGTTGATCGTAAGGACAAGAACCTGGGAGTCAAGATGGAGGATGATCTCAGCAAACGGCCGATGGGCGATATGCCCATACCTATGCCCCTCATCCCTATGGAGGACCAGTTGATGCTACCTGGTGATTTGCAGCAGCTATCTGGCTTGCCAGGCAGCCTCATGGACCGACCGAAGACACAGCCTGGCGCGAGACCCGGTCCGTCTAGCTATTGGTCCGTCTCAGAGTTGCAAGACTTTGACAAGAATGTTGCACACTTTGGCACTGACTGGATAGCAATCGCAAACCACATGGGCACAAAAACGCATACCATGATCAAGAACCAATATCTGCGTCTCGTTGAGAGTGGCAAGCTAGACTTGGAGCAGGTAGCAAAAGAGGCAGATGCCCGAAGAGAACGAGGTGATGATCTAGGACCACCGCCAACGCCAACTCCAGCACCCAAGAGACGATACGAGAGTACGCAGGCGGGACCAATCCGTCCCATCGCACCCACGCCTGAACATGGTTCTCCACCTCCGAACCCGCTTGCGCTTCCCAAAGCATCTCCTCCGCATTCGACACCCTCTTCGAGGTTTTCCACCATTGCTCAAGCACCTATGCAAAGCAAGCCGATGGTGCCTCCACCCGGATATCCTGCCCTACCAGAGACTAGTCTTGCGTCTGTACCCCCAATACCACCACAGCAGTCGCCGCCCGCTCCACCTCAACGTGCGCAACCACAACAACATCATCACCAGCACTCCATGTCGCAGCATAAACCGCAGCCACAAGGGCCACGAGCTGGATACTTCTCAGAAGAGCCTTCAAGGTTTGAGGCACGACCACCCTCGCAACCATCGAACAGCCAACAACCACATAGACCACTGCAGCAGCAGCAGCCACAGCAGCAGCATGCCCCACCCCAGCCTCGCGCACAGGAGCAACATCATTCGCCTCTCTATCGTGGGCTTCACTATCAAGAACGAGACAGTGTGGGTAGGTCCGAAGTTCAGCAGGAGCAGGAGCATCAACGCCGGATGCATGAGCATAGGCGTCAAATATCACAGGAGATGTCACAACATAGACCTTTTGCTCCTGGTGCGGCACCGCCAATTATGCCGCCAGTACGTTCAAACTCTGGGATGAGGTCGCCAGAACGTCGTTCGTTGCCATTCTCACATTCCCGGCACCCATCACAAGCGCAATCACTCAATCAAGCTCCAGCGGACGTATACTCTCCGAGCCATGGCACTAGCCATGGTGCGCAACAACTGCCGCCCAGGTCGAGTATCCTTACACCGCCTGTCAAGGAGGAGCCTAGAAATCCTCCTCCGGTTAGCCTTCCTCCAGCGCAACCCCAAGCAATGCTGCATACACAGTTGCAACATCCTCAACGTGGTCCACCACCTATGCAGAATACCCCTCCACCTGCAGCATCAAAGCCAGCTGCAGAGCCACGCAAGTCTAACCTGATGTCGTTGCTCAATGACACCGACCCTGAGGAGCCTAGGCGTAAGAAACCTAGCGAACAAGGTCCACCATCGCATACCTCTACCCCTTTGCAATCAGCCCCAATCGCACCTCCTCCGACAACGCAAAGCTACTCATCTTCGTCAAGACGTTCGATTTACGAGGATTCCATGGCTGCTCAACCTCCGTATACTCGTCCATCTTCATATGCTCAGCAATCCTCGCTTCCCAATGCAGCACCGAACAGGCCAATCGACTTAACCGATGATAAACCACCAGCGAGTAGGCCGAGTCTGCGTGACAGTTGGCAAACCCAACAGCCGTTCCACCGAGGGCTATCCCAGACCCCACAGCTCACGCCACTTTCGTCAACGCCGTCTGGCCTGCCTCAGCCGCCGAATGTCAACGAGAGGATCTTTAGCAACCACCGTGCCGTCTTCTCTCAGCATAATACTCCGCGCCAAAATCCGACACCGCCACCTCTTGCCGGTTTCAACAATTCGCCGAACCCACATTCGCGCACGTCAAGCATAAGTGGACCGCCCGGGCCGTTGCCTCGACACGGCATCCCAAGCACCACTGCGGCGCAGCATGCCCAAGCAATGAGTGCATCAGCGCAGATTTTGCAGCCAAATCCATATGCCCAGGTTGATCCACCAGGAAGTGGTGTACCGCCATCCGGACCTATGGGCATGCGGCCCAGCCCACATCTGTCGACAAGCCACATGGCACAGCAAAGAGACGCATCTAGTCGCAACGACCACTCCCAAGCTTCCAACGCCAATCTGTCGTACTCAAACCCGCAGACGCCTAACGAGCATCCAGCGCATCCTTTCCAAGGGCTGAGCAGACTGACTGAGCCCTATCGTCCTCGCGATCCTCGTGACGCACACGATTTTGACCCTCGTCACTCAGACCGCGACACCAGCCGAGAACTATCTCAAAGGACTGAATATCTACGTGAACAACTTTCCAATCCTGCATTGCGTGCGAACGGTCCTCCGATGCACGAAGATATACGATTTCAGCCTCAAGATCGAGGGTATCTCTCTCAACGCTCACAGACCCCGCTGTCTAGGTCGGAGCATGGTCAACCTCCACCTCTGCAACATCCTCCGCACTCGTCACTTGGCGTAGCAAATCAGGCGCTCTATGGTCAACGTCCTCCCGAAGAACCGCATCGTTTCATGCGCGATCCTCGCGATCGCAGCATGACAGACCGTATCCGCGAAGAGCAAGCCCAAGCTCAACACCAGGCAGCGATGAATCGAGATGAACACATGCGAAGAGAAGCTGAGCGAGACGTGAGGGAACGGGAACGGGAAATGCGCGAAAGCCATGCACGAGATGCGCATTACAGGGAAAGCATCATGCGAGGAAGAGCTGAGATGAGGGGTCCGCCGCCACCACAAGCCCCCAGCTCAGGACCAGGGTCAATACACGATCCACGGCCCCCTGCAGGACCCATGGACTGGGTGAGCGGAGTGCGACATCCACAGGGACATCCACAGGATCGTGGTCCATGGCAGCAGCGATAGGAAATTTGCTAGATACGGGAGTTTCTGATATTACATGCTCTGCGCATATAATTTCCTTTGTGTGTTGATAGATATACTAGCGTCTCGGTGTCATGTTTCTAGACGCCTTGCTTTCTCGTGTTTGAAGAAGAAGCCGATGACGATACCGTGCGGTAGTCATGCTTTGGCGTTGGGTGGTATTTGTCCTGCGCTGCCTTTTGTGATATCAGAGCGAATGATTGGAGCGCAGAAAGAGAAGGTTTTTCGAACCTTTCTTGTAGAAACTTGTAGTGTATTATACGTAAAGTAGCTGTCAGGCTAATTGAGAAATGTTTGGATGAACATATTCATTGATTGATTTGGATCTTGCTGTGTACGTGTATCTGATTTTCTAACAAGTCGTAGTCAATGTTATCGCTCACTGCGACAACTATAAGAAACATGAGATTTCTGCTCCCCAGCGCTGAAGGTTGCAGTGCAAAATTGGTGGAACCGTCCTTGGGAAGTTGATCACTCTTTCTTAACGTCAACAGCCCTAAGCATTACTGGCCATACGTCTTCGCTCATCGAGACCACCTAGAGCTCAACGGCGATAAGCCTCGGTAACAAAGCCATCCCATTCCTCCTTCAAATCATCCTCCAAGTTACCACCAGCCATCCTGGTGCCCTCGAAAACCAAATCGCCAACACCCGGCACCTCGTAGAGACAGCCATCCACCATACCATCTCTGAAGAACGTCATCGTACCAGTGCACTTACGACCAAACGTCAGCTTACCGGTGTTTAGATCACGAAGACGCCATCCCAGTGAACAAGGTAGACCTAGGCTGTTGGAGTCACTTGGACTTGGGTTCATCTGGATGATACCATCTCAAGTGCCCCAGCGAAATGTCGCCCACCATAAGCCACGGGAGGAATCGCGAGCGAGCGTGAGGTCGAGGTTATAATCGTCGAAAACGGAGCTAGCACTTGCACAATCGATGGAGTAAGTACCGCTGAGGAGTAGCGAAGGCTCGGGTTGATAGTGGTTTTGGTATGGGTCGGACTTGATGTATGGAGAGGAGCGCATCGGCGTTGGATCGTACTGCTCCTGCTTGACGCGAGATCGTGAAGGGGTTGATGACGGTGTTGAGATGCGGCTCTCTTTCTTGACGGTGGAGACAGATCGCTTTGTTGTGGGCTCCTTCTTGACTCTTGCTACTTTCTGTGGCGTCGCTACCGGACTGGACACGTTGCTGTCCGCGCGCTTACGCTTAGCTGGTGATGACTTGTCTGGGGTGTTTTGGCTAGCCTGTTGTGTGTGTATATAATGACTGTATGGTGATCCTCCGGAAGTCAGGGTTAGATTGACTTTAGTGCAGCGTCAGCACTGGGGAAGACACCTAGGTATCAAGGATTGTAAGCCTACCAGAGACGTTGACACCACGAGTTACACCATGAGAACTGCCGATACTTGGACTGCCGACAGTGCTAGATTTAGGCGTCTTCTTGCCCTACAGAGGTAAAGATACGAATTCAGTATATATCTCACATAACTTCCGTACAGTGACAACTTACCAAAATGGCACCCTTCTTTAACTTTCTATTCTCTGCCTCCCACTCTGCTTTTAATTCGCTCTCCAACTTCGAAATCCACGCTGGCATCTCAAGCTTGAATTGATTCATGGCATTCAGGAGTCGCACTTTCGCCGCGTTCTCGTCCTTTGTAACTGGCAAACCATAGTGAATGAGCTGGGCAGCATAGAAATGCCACACTTGATCCTTTACTGGTGTCGCGACTTCGGGCTTTTTACCCTTGTTGTATAGATTGGGTGCTTCCGGACGGAGGAGAGCCGCAAGCTCACCGACACTGGCGCGCGTATGATGATTCCCGCCAGGGTCTGCGTAGAGGACGGAGGAGTAAACGAAGTCGCCGCGGCGGACTGGAGGGGCAAATGCTGCCATATCTCTGCTCTGACGCCGGCCAAAGCAGGCTACAGTCTGTGCAGAAAATCGTTTGGAGAACGTGTGTTTGAGAAGGTGGGGTTATTCGTGGAGTGAACCCCTTGAACCGACGGTAGGCTACCAATGGAGCTATGATCCGTACCTGGTTAGAAGGATATCCAGCGCTTATCTCAATACATTCAGAGCGCTCTTGAAAATGTTCAGACGATTCAAATGCTATATCTGGTAATCCGATTCGACTGTTAGCCTATGTCTTTGTCCTCGTCAGAAACTTGAGATTACATTATCCTCTAGCTTTCAGTTTTTAGTCTCTTCCTTAGCTCTCATGTTCATCATATCCCTGGTTTCCTTCTTGACCTAACGTTCTTTTTCATGGTACCTAGGTAGGTTAGAAGGCCGAACATGTTGCGCGAAAGGTTTATATAGAACTGCGCGTCAAATGTTTGATGTCGGCGGCACTTGATCTACCCGTTTTTATTCGATGCACACGAAATCACAGCTTTCTTGAACTCACTCAATAGTCTCTCATGTAGAGGTGCATATTTTGGTTTGGATGCTATTACTAACATTATTTCCGCAATCGTTGACACCCGCGACATCGAGTGGGCCTATATCGAGATTGACAACATCGCAGACATGCTGCTTCAAAAATTCAACTCGAGATACCGAGTTTTCTAACAGAGACTCTATCGAGACGTTGTTGGCTTTGAGAATTTTGTGTGCAGTCTCTGAAGGTCAACAAGTCATGATGTCTTGCCTCAACCAAGGCACATTGGACACGTTTGCAAAGACATGAAGGCAAGGCACACATCATAGCCAAGAACTTCCAAGCAAACACATGTCAAGCTGTAAGCACGTGGGATGCACCTGTGTATAGCGTAGCATTGTAACTTCGAGATCAGCTAAGCAGGGTGATTATAACCTATGTAGCCTTCATATACCCCGCAGATTCGATCAAGATAAAGCTCTTATGTCGAGTCGCTTGCGCACATAGCCAATCTTGAAGGAAACGGAATGTATTCACCTTGACGTCTGGTAAATTCGCTGGCCTCGCTTCCTTTCTCAGAAAAGGGGCACCCAAAAGTATCTAGGTAGGTAGCTAAGTGCATCATCCTAAGATGAGTGTCTCGACTCATCGTCGATCTAGCACATTGAACTTCGAAGCAAAATGAATGCGCGGTCAAATTGTTCATCATCTCGACCTTTTAGCCGTACTTAGGCAACAAGACCAAAGCTCGCATGCGTAGGTATGTGAGGTCTGAGCTATTTGTTACTACCTAAATATCATCTACCCTGCAAGACTCAAGGGTATTTCCCCACAAGCACACACTACGGACACCGCTTAGTACTTCACAAGAAAAACAATCTATACACAAACTACTCAAGAAGTGATCACGTAATCGTCCAACTGATTTGAGGTAGCATCGGCACGTTGAAATGAACAAGGATAAGCAAATTACCCTACCTTTGGCGATGGCGAACTAATACCGCAACATCATCTTACACACAACCACTCACAGACCGCGCGTTATCCTCCTGGACAAATGTACATGGTATCCCTACAACGGTGGCACAAAGTCCCGAAAAGAGAAAACATACGGCATGAGCAAGCTGCTCCCGTAAGCGTACCACAAAGCACGCCTAGACACGGCAGCAACGTTCCCGTCAAAAAGAAACTTGTCCACAGACCATAGGGGTACTTCTTCGCGCTTTCTAGCTCGGGGCTACACATGCACCCTGTCTTTTCCCTCCACTTCGCGCTATGCAATCGCGAGATCGAACAATACGGTTGCACTTTGATCGGCATATAAGCGAGGTGTACCAGTCGGCAGCCCTCCGAACAGGTGCTCTTATACGGCTTTTTCGAGGTACCTGCCCAACTGTGAATATAGAAACCTTGAATCGGCGATTAGCGAGAAGTACCGCTTAGGACCCCTCCCACTGCGTCTCCCCGAATGCTCAACACTCATACCACCATGTGTTCATACCGATTGCATGCCAAATATCATCTTACTGCAACTAAGTAGCAAGTACGCACTAAGCCTGGACATCATGAATATAGCAAAAGAACCAGGCAGTGTTCGTAAGCCGTAGTATCCATCAGCCAATCCCTCCCGGACTCCGAGACCGTGTCGGTAGAAGCCAACTCCTACACTACACACCGCCCCAAGTTTGCCATCCACAGCCACAAGTCCGATAATCTCAACGTACAGTGCCACCACCGCCATCCAAAAAGCCCACCCAAAAAGCCTACCCAAAAGCCCATATGCATAGCCCCACCCCCCACGTGTCCGCCATCCAGAAACCCACCACACAAATTCCCATCTCCACTCATCCACATCATCTGCACAGACACCGTTCACGCAAACCAACAAAAAGATATGTATGTGTGCCTCTCTCCACCGCCGCTCCGACCTTGTCCGGCAAGCCACACGCGAGCCATATGTTAGCAGCACGTCCCCCAGTCCCTCGTCCGATTCTACCTAAGTTTGCTTTGCGGCACGGTGCAGTTGCGGCACAGTACTATACATCTGCTGCATGGCATGGCATATGTACGGCGCAGTACTTCTGAAACAAGCGCGTTGGCCATATGTGACGTAAACATGTGCAGGAGGCGAGGTAAGATGAAGTGTTGGTTTGGGCAGGGGTGAGAGGCGAATTGTCGGTATGACTATTTGCGAAGTGCGCGAGGTGGGTATTGTATGCTGATGCTGTGCTATGCTGTTCAGTGGGGCAAGGCGGGGATCAAGATATGTGCTCATGGCAAGTGTGACGAGATGAAGTGCTGTTTCATCTTGAGTGCTGCTTTGTGAAAGCATTGATGTGATGTGACTGAGGATGCAATGCAGGATGAAGTGGGTATTGACAGCGATGGTCACTATGGTCAAAGGGCAGGCGAGTATCACGGCAATGAAGATAAGGTTGCAGTTATGCGTTTTGCATTGAGTTCAAATATTATACACACGCCGCCTCTTGAAGAGGACAGACGTAAACCACCAAGCTACCTGCATATCTTCAAAGATAAAACAGCAACGATATGCGTATACGTGCGCTTCAAATGGTATCCAAACTTCCCAGTCCACCATCAAACAACTTTTGCAACAAAGCAAACCATGCCACCAAGGATATATCCATCAACAAGCGCTGAGCAACAGATCGGAAAGGGCAGAAAAAGAAAAGAAAAAAGAGAAAGAAACGTGAAACGATGAGACGAGAAAAAGAAGTGGTACTCATGTTCGTAGTGTTGTGTCGTCACCCAATCCCCCAAAAGCCGGTGGTATCACACCATCCCCTAGCTCCGAAGGTTGGAAAGGAAAAAGAAAAACAGATGCAGCGCGGACATGGAAAGTGTATGCCGGTAACACAAGAACAGACATCGGTCTAAGAGGATTAAACGCGAAGTGGAACAAGAAGATTGAACAAAAAACAGCAGACTGGTATCCTTCTAGATGGCTGCGCCCTTGATTGCGCCGAAATGCTCATGTCACGTGTGTAACGTCGTGATAGGGTATGCTCAGTAGTGGCTGCCGGCCATGAGGCTGTGTTGTGGTGGCGCCATGGTCATGCCGAGTCCTGGACCGGGAATATCGTTGATAGAGTGCGACAGGCCGAGGTACTCGTTGCCAGACTCGGGCGAAAGCTCGTCTTGAAGCGAGTTGAGGTGATCATCCTCGCCTTCAAGGTCTTCTTCCTCTTGGTAGTCGCTCAGCGGCTCGCCGTCAGCGCGGGGCTCGTGTGTGCGACGATGTCTGATGAATTAATTAGTATGTGATTTATAATTGGATGTCAACATGGGTACTCACTGGGCAAGGTTGTCTGAGCGCGAGAAGGCCTTGTTGCACAACGGGCAAACGTATGGTCGTTCTTGTGTGTGGGTGCGTACGTGTCTAAGCGCCAGGTCAGCGTCTATGCAAAACAACAAAAATAGTGGAGATTCAAGTGACCTTGTGTCACAAAAATAGAATGATGGGGACATTGTGAGCGCTTACCTCTTGAGGTGTTCTAATCTCTTGAAGAGACGACCACATGTGGGGATCGGGCAGGAGTGCGATTTCTGGGGGTACGGGCCGATTTCCATCATGGTAGCACTGCGGGCGCGTCGGAAAACGGGTCCTGCACCGGCGGTACGAGCGACTGCGCTGTGCTGGAGAGGGCTCTCAAATAGTTCGCCGTTGACCAGGGTGTTCAGGTCATCGTGGTGCAGCGAAGCCGATTGTGGCTCCGGGCTCTCCTCAACGGTGTTGAGTGGGGTACCCTGTCGGGACATGTCCATGTGAGGCTTCGCCTCAGGCATCTGAGGGTAGCTTGTACCGTTCTGGCTGTTGGGCGAGTTGTGGTTTGACTCGTCGACCTCAGCAAGGGGAACGACGGAGCTTGACATTGATCGCCTCAGATCACTTGGGCGGTGGACCTGGTGAGCACCGGCACCGGAAGCGGTGACAGCGGCGGCAATGCCCGCGGAGAGAGACGAACGCCTCCTACGTTGCTTGTAGGTAGGTGAACCTTCAATGACGGAGTAGACGTTGCCAGGAGCGAATGGCCGTGAGACACCAGGGTAGCCAGATCCCATCAAGTTCGATGGTGGCATGTTCATCAGAGGGTTGAATGTGTTGGGAACTGGAAGGTCTGGGATGGCGCTGTAAAGACCAGTGTCCTCGTTCGCAATGTAGGCAGGCTCAGCACCAAGGCCAATTTGGTGTTGAGGAGGGGTCAATGGCTCGAAGGACATGCCGCGGGTGCTATAATCCTCGTAGTGAGAAGAGACGAAAGATGGTGCAGGCGAGTACTCCATGTACGCAGGCATCGAGCTGTGACGCTGGTGGACTTGCGACAAGGGGATACCGTTGCGGTCGTACTGGAAAGACTGGCTGAGCTCGCGGTGCTCTCGGCTCTTGACAACTGTGTTTTGCATGGAAGGAGGCATTGACATTTGCTGGTGGTACTGGGCCATTGGGTCTTCGTGGTGCATTGGTTGCTGCATCTGCTGCTGCTGCATCTGGGGCATGGGCTGCTGGACAGGGACCATGGTTGGTGGAGGCATGGACATCTCGCGCATGTCAGGCGATGTGCTCTGGTACGAAGGCTGCACGTTGTTGTTGAACGACGAGGAGTTTGTTTGTTGTGCCTTGGTAAGCTGCTCAAAGAGCGACTGTGATGAATCGAACTCGAAAGAGAGCGCAGGCTCACTGACTGCCATGGTGGTTGCCTCCTGGCCCATCTTCTCACGCTTCAGGTCGCGCTCAAGGGCATCGAGGAAAAGCCTGTCGTGCGGTACACTGTACCAGTAGAAGACCTTCTGCTTCTTCTGTGTTCGGATGCAGTTGTTCTTGTACAAGAAGTCAAGGAATGCGCTCTTGGGTTCTTCCAGCGATGCATCTGTGCCGGATTTCAGGTTGCGCAGATCTGAGAAGATACCCTCTTCGAACTTCTTCGAGTTCTTCACTGGGCGGCCAAAGGCCTGGAATCTGAATGACAAGCATCGCACAATATCTGTGCCTGAGATATGGAAAAGGTTGTTCCTAGGCATTGTTAGGATCGTGAGCAAAGTAGGGAAATAAATACGAGACTTACCATAGAACACACGAGACGTATTCGCCTGTTGGTAGAAGAAAGCGGCGGATGTACTGGTCGGGTTGCCAGTCTACGGGCGCCGATATGAGGAAGTACTTGACTGCGGTGGTGTTAGCAAGCTACACAAAAGGTCCATGCGCGGCGCAGGCACGTACGGTTGTCGACCTGCTGCAGGGCAACGACACTGTCCGGCGGGAGGCTTTGCTGAGCGTCCTGGTCTAATAAGAAAGTCTCGGGCGCGACAGATCGTGCCTGAGGCGGCGGCATCTGTTGGTGGTGTTGTGATGGATACATGGTGCGCTGCAACACGTTCCTCTATACAAGTGTTTGAAGTGGGAACGTCAGACGCGGTGGCCCGAAGATGGGTTGATGATGGAACACGAGGGTCTTGCTCGACGAGGACCTGCCAGGATCGAAAACGAAAGAGTGTCAGGCTATGTTTAAAAGGATACGATAATAAAACGCGACTGTGAGGCGGATAATAAAAACGTGAGGAACCTGCCTCAGATAGCAGTCTCAAGAATTCACCAAGAAGGTACAGCTCTGGGAGGGGATACGAAACGCAAATCTGAGGGGGCAGCGGCAGCTTTAGGTGTCGGAGGGCGTGTGAAACAGGAGACTAGTGGTCTCACATTGATCTATTTCCGCACACCAGTCAGCGGCCTGGCCAGTGCAGGTAGCGCGGCCAATTGGGGCGCCGAGGCGAGAGCAAAGGCCAGGTTGGTCGGCAGGGGTGTTGGCGACTCGTGTGGGACGCCCGTGCATGCCTGCCGTGATGAGGGCGCGCGAAAAGTTGGCTAATGTGCTGGCCTGGGCGCCCATGCGCTGGGACGCTGCTGGCGGACGAGGTGGTCAAGGTGGAGAGCGGCTTTTTTTGCTCTGGGATGCTTCCTTGCTGCGCTGGCTCATTTCCCCGGGCGCATGTTACTGGGACGCGCACTGGGTGCGCTGCGTGCCTGGGTCGCCCTTTCCTCGCGCCTTGTTCACTCCTGCCTTCCCTGCTGCTGCTCGCCGCTCGCACCTGCCCTGCGCGCTGCCCTCGGCGCAGAGGCCACATCCGGTCTAGCCCCGCCTTTTCCACGACGCGCGAAAACCTTAAGCCTCGCTTGCAGCCCACCACGAGGCCCTCGAGACACAGACGTCCAGTTTGCCCATCTTGAGTATTGATCATCGCGGTCCGCCGCTGCTGCTTCATGCCATGGGAAAACACGCTTCTTGCGTCAGTTTAGCTCGACGATCCGGCCAAGGAACCGTCGTCCATGTCCACGTCCAGCGGCCATCGTCATGTGCCTCTAGCCCCAGAGGCGCAACTTTGCAGCCACCTGGAAGCCCGCCGTCTCTCTTCGTCCCATGGTCGCAAACACAATATCATATCTCGCATTCGGCACAACCGTCGACCTGCCTTGCTTGCGACATTTCCTTTTTTTGCCGCATCCGGCCGCTGTCAAATGTGCCCTCCGCCCACACCCTCATTGCTGCTAGCCACTTTCCTGGTGCTGTTGTGAACCATGTTTGCCTGCCTGCCATGGCCGGCAATCGTGACGCGCAGAGCATCCATCAACAAGGTTGCGCTACGGATGCAGGAACATCACACACCCTGAACTTCTGCTCGCTGCACCTTCGTGCAAATTCGGCCAAAGCGTCACGGGTACATGTCGTCAATGACTACACCACCCAGCCTCGTCGCTGAAGTCATCACTTGTGGCTGGTCAAATGTCCATCTGAGGTGCGTCTAGATGCAGGAACCAGCAGAAGGATCACACTGGGCATCGTTTGATCTCCATCTGAAACACGCTCTTTAGCCAGTCTGCGGGAGCGGCCATCGGCTCTTGCAAATCTCCATGTCATCGCAGAGCTGCATTCCCATCCAATCTGTCGCTGTTTGCTCGTCACCTCTTCACGTCCGGAGTTGTCATCCACACATTAAGAGCGCGCCCTCTGCCATGCACTGAAGCCTCTCTGCGCGGCGTCACGCTCCGCTCGCAAGCCAGTGAGATAGCGGAACTCGTTTCAGAACTTACTTTTGACTAGCCGTTACCCACCGGTTGTCTTCGCTTATTGGTCGGGGAACGAATCAAAACCTTCGGCGGCATTCCCTCTCGCGTACAAGCGCTGCCCGCTCGGAATGTAATAGGGCACCATTACCTGGACATTCATGCGTTATGAAGACTTGATGTCACAGACACCGCGTACATACTTGCGCTCCAAGCTTTTGCTTGCAATTCACAAGGTGGGCATGTCTGCTGGTGGAGCTGCACATGAATGCTGGACTCATAGCACCCCACCATATGCATTCAACGAGTCGCAACTCCACACTAATCAACGTTTCCTCACCGATTGCGGACTGTGCGATGCTTTCGGTATACTCCTGTCCGACGCGATAATCGGGCGAACCCATATCTGAATCCACGACACAAACATCGGCGCCGTTTCTGCGGAGACTCGTGCTCGATCGTAGACCTGCAGTACCGTTGCCGAAAACAAATCATCGCGGGGATACAAGTGTACTAGTGATGACACGCTTGACGGAGTAAACAACATTTTGGGTTGGTGGGAAAGTGTACCTGCGTTAGCGGAGGCTGGAGTCGCACTCCTGAAACTCATGGCCCTCAGGCCAACTGCCGGAACGGGACACGAGATGCCGGTCAAAAGTGGAATGGCCTTCGCTTCAACGTCGCCTGTGATGAGGACCTGCATGCAAAAATCTGCGCTTGTCCTTATCATGCCATGTTATAGCAGAACTAGATCTGATGCATGCGGTGCAAACCACCACCTGGAATATTGAATAACCGTTAGTGCTATTGACAAGTCATGACTTGCAGCAACAGATAGGAAGTATCCTTCAGGAAAAGGGATGGCGGGTGTGCACTTCCGTCGATAACGTGTTTTGAGTAATCTGCTTTGGCGACTTGGTCGAGCAGCCGACGACAATGAAGTAGCCTGGCAAGTTTAGCCGTTGCAACCGCATGGATACTTGATAGACCCCTTTCAGTCTGCATCAAGCAACCTGGGCAGAATCCACATGTCAAAAGCTTGAAGTTCGCCCATTGCGCAAGCAGAGTTCCATACCGTTGTCGCATGCTTGAGGCTGCTCGATTCTGGCAGGCGTAACGAGGCAAGTCAGTGCACATCTATGCACATGGCAACGTGGGCAGAACAGCCGAAGCAGGGTCGTTTCCGCGTTTAGGTCGTTGATCTGCCATCCGTGTATCAGATTTCGGAGGCTCGGTATCAGATTGTCGGCAGTTTCACGTCAATTTGTCACTTTGCAGAATGGTCCACGAGGACGACGACATTGCCATTATCAGCGCATCGCGGGATGATCAGACTGACCGTGGGTAGTTCTTGCCGGCTCGAGCCTGAGGTGATCTGGAGATCAGTAAGTGCTCGTCGAAGATCCAACGCTAGACAAACATGGGAAATGTACCTTGGTTGTGTAAGCCGAACATTTCCGGTGAACTGTGAAGAGCTGAATCCTGTGTTGGCATTACGTTCTTCTGGAACGTTTCTACGTGCCTTCCTACCGAGCCCCACTCCGCTCGTCGTCATTGCGCAATAATCTCAGGTGAGGTTATGGCGTGGACGCAGGACGATTAGAGTTCCTGAGCGGATACAGTGGGCTGCTAACGAAGCGAAGCCACCAACTATCTCCTAGTGTCTTGATGCACAACGCATGACACAGGGCAAACCCAAAGTCAATTCCGGAGACAAGCTACTGCAGCCACTCAGAAGGACGGCCCGTAGCACGTAGAGAAGGTGTGCGATTTCACCCAGGATTGCTGAGCCTTTCGAGTGGCGAAAATAGCAACACCTGTTCCAGTGGGCTTAGGGGCAAGGCTACAGGCAGTTTCCTGTCTCAGAGACATACTATAGATGTAAGCTAGTGATCGTATGCCCCGGAGATTAGCAGAGGGACTCCGACTCCGCTGGAATCGATAGTCTTTGCCTCCGTTTTTGGACTCTGCAACTTCACGATAGCGAATCTCCAACCTCACACGTGGCGCCTGATTCGACGGCTCATTCCATCGCTCGGTAAGACCCGGGCGATCAGTAGATCCCGTTCTCGTGACGACTTGCGGCTATCGCGACATAGTAATCAAAGGAGATCACTGGTGGTTAGTTTTAATGAGAGCTATACGATGCCGAGGCTGGGAATAATCAGACCGGGAGACAAGAGAAGCGATTTACACATGATAACCTTGCAGCAGGGAAGTCTGAGTGCGGAACTTGATGGAAGTCCCGCGGGCCAGTCTGAGACTGACGATGCGTGGAGAAGCGGCGGAACAGCTGAACCAGGCGTTGGCGGTGTTTGAACGCATGATACTCCCTGCGAGCGCGGATTGTCTTCGGCGATGTCGAAGTGTGGTGGCAAGAGCGCAAGCCTACAAGCATAGGTTTCCAGCTGGGTACCGGAGGATCGGAGTGAGTCTCGCTTGAACTGAGCCTCGAAACCAGGGAAGCTCTGCCGAGCTGAAGCTTTTCACTAACCATGCTTTCTCAGCGGTTTCAACAGCTGCTAACGTGATTCCAGTTCTTCCAGAGCGTAGACTAGCTGTCAAGATTGTGTTGAGCAACCGTTAACACCACCAAGTGTCAGACCCCGTTGTCGATGCCGGTGGCGTCGTCTAGGACGCATCACATCGTTCAGTGTGGAAAGTTTGCAAGACCCTAGAGATGCATCTATCGCCATCTCCAGTATTTTGCCCGCAGTGTCGCCGTGATGGCTAGGCGTTCTTTTTGACGAGCCTGCATAGACGGCCCGTAGCCTCGAACCAACATTTTTCGGTGGCAAAGCACTATCGGGTGCATGAATGTGCTGTCTGCTTGTGATTATCCTCAAGGTTTTCATGGTCAGTGTAGCTTCAGTCGCCATACATTTCGTTCATCTGGCGAACACAAGGTAGGTGGTAAAGTTTAGCTCGTGCTGAATGTTCGCATGCCATTTCGTACGAAATCGGTAGTTCATGCTCATACAATTCGAATTGAAGCCATTCGCCTTGATGGTTAATGTGAGTGCAGAATGGAAGTGCAAACAGTGTTTGTGAGGCGTCTTCTGCTTTTGTCGCTAGCGGTTCTTGGCAAACTCCAACGGCAGCCGCGAGCCTCAAGCTGACCTCTCAGCGCGACGGTGCACACGCGAAGGCACCAGCATCGATGGTTCCTTCATTCACGGCGGGGGCCAATGCACCTTTTCGCGCCATTGCAGCTCTCTCGGACGTATCTGTCAACCTAAGAACACTTTCGCGGCTTACACAACGTCGACAAACGCTGTGTTCAGTCTCCTCACGTGCCTCTTGTACCTGGACTCGCGATGACGTCAAAACAAGCCGACATCCCTTAGTATACAAATCTTACAGGCAATGTGGTATTCGGCCCGCTAGTCTATTCAGTACATCAACCACGCGAAGACTGAAACTTGAAGACGAAGTACCGAATTCTTCGGCTTCTAGGAGCAGCACTGAGGTAAGCGCGCACTTTTTTCTTCAACAACAGCTTATGTTCCACTTATGTTCGAAGATGAAATGTCGCCTCCCAAATCCGATGTGTATTTCGAACTTACATATGTCCATTCTATTCGGAAATGATAGATCACAAGGGTTTCCTTAATTCGACGTTTTCGTTTGTTTCATTTGAAATACTAGATTGAATCATAGACAGAGAACACCAGGTTGCCTTACCGGAACTTATGACTGATTGTATACAGCACCCTTCGCCCGCCTCAACTTCCACCAAACTCGCTTCGACCCTAAAATCCACCCTCAAACTCGACAAACCGCGCCATGAGCAGATTTGGAACATCCCCAACATTCTTACGTTTTCGCGTCTTGTCGCAACTCCTGTTGTTGGATATCTAATCATACACAACCACCATCTATACGCCTTCACTCTCTTCACCTATGCCGCTTTCTCCGATCTTCTCGATGGTTGGATTGCCCGGCGTTGGAATCTCCAAACTGTTATTGGAAGTGTCGTTGACCCCATGGCCGACAAATTCTTGATGACAACTCTGGTAACGTGTTTGGCAGTGAACGGTAGTCTGCCGATGCCACTAGCCGCACTAATTCTAGGAAGAGATGTCAGTCTGGCGCTCAGTGCATTCTACTATCGGTATGCCAGTCTGCCGGCGCCCAAGACGATGGCGAGATACTGGGATTTCAGCTTGCCGAGTGCGGAGGTACATCCCACTACCATCTCCAAGTTCAACACATTCCTGCAGTTGAGTCTGCTGGGCACGCTGCTTTGCACCAATTTGCTGCACGACCCTTCCGCCACCACATCTGCAGCGGGGGGTTTGCTCATGTCGATCCAAGATGCGCTAGGAGGTGAAGAAGGAGTTAAGACGATGATCCAGGGAATTTCGGCTGTCGTCGCTAGTACGACACTGTACAGCGGCCTCGAGTATACATGGTCAAAGAAAGCAGTGGTTATCTTGGGCGGAGATGAGGCCTTGAAAAGGAAGCAAGGTTTCCGTGGTAGAATGATCATGGCAGGTGGATACGGTTCTTTCATTGCGCTTGCAGCATATCTGTGGTTCAACGGCGAGGCTGAAGAGGACCTGAAGAAGGAAGCCAACAAAAAACTGGGTAGCAAAAGTGCATGATTGATGTTATAACAGTATTGTTATATCGTCCTGGATAGCAGGTATTGACAGTGGACATCGAATGTGTCGACACAGAAAGAAAAAATACGTGGAATATACTCTACGTTCCCCGAATATCAATTGTCCTTCACTTTGCAATCATCTCCTTGTGGTTATCCTCTCCATTATTAATGTATTCGTTCTGTAGCTCGTACCTAGATTTTCAGTGTCTCGAAGGGTAAGCATAGCGCGTGGTTTTATTACGATAGTATACATTACGCTCGTGGACATGCTGGTGCAAATTACCATAATTTTGCATTCAAACAGCCGTTCCAACCAACAAGCCACACTACAATCAAGCCATAGTCAACTTCAGCGAACTTGACTGTAACTTGTTTGCCAGCTAAATCTTACTGGTTTGAATCTTCCGATGTACGAACTGCACGTGCGACATACACTAAGTTTGTACATCGATATGAAGTGAATCAAAATGAGTCATTCTGGATCATCTCTAACAGTCATAGGTCGTTCGTGAGCCAACATTTAAGCCATGAAGACTTTCGCATGAGCAAATCCTTAGTTCTATCCTATCGCGCTCTACAACATAAATAAGGATGGGTCATTCCTGCAACGGAAGTCTGTCATGATTGACCTGGAATCGCTTATCTATCGCCCCGCATAACACCGTTTGTTCTGAGTATCTCTGAACGATAAGCAATTGTAAGTTTCTAGCCATTCTCTACACAAGATTTTATTCCTGATGACGAAACGGTTATCACTCGCCGTTCCTACTCTACATGAGGATATACCATGGCATGGTTTCGCCTATCTGATCACAGGCAATTTTAAACTACCTCAAAGCTCACACGTTTGACGAACGGTTACTGACTCGCTTGTAGCAATTTTCCAGTGGAGCTTTTCGCTTTATCCACATGGGCGATTGTGCTTGACGGCCAGGAATAACAGTCAAAGTTTACTCATAACTCCCAAAGCCTCCACTGGCAAATCTCTGAAGTTGCCTATAAAACCTCGAACCCTGCGCTAGTCGGTGCACCTGCATTGCAGATGTGGACATCCATCGGGCACGCGCTCATTACGACAACGCATTCTTGTTCTGCCTTCAAGACGATGTAACTGCCTGGCTTGCCCGCTGGATCTTCGCAAGGTATCTTTTTGTCCGCGACAAGAACACTCATGAAAAGGTTCAAAGGATCAGGGATCTAACCATACTCCAACAGCTCCCCTAGCTTCTGAATTGAAGGGTTTTGGTATGCATCAACTACCTTCCGCAGATTCTGCGCGCAATTGTCGTGGTTCGCTGGACCACCAAGTTGGATGTACCGCTCAGGAGAGCTGGCGGAGTAGAGCACGTCGTGACGTCCGGGAGAAGTGTCTTCAGTGATTGTCAGGATGGGGTTGCGGTGATTGTCCAAGTACGATTCTCCGACTGCAAGTTCCAGTTTATGGTGGGTGGATCGCGTGTGCGACATTGACATATAAGAAGGGAAGCCTGAGGTTGGAACAAAGGCCTAGGTGTCGATGACTTGACCTCCGCTTGTGTTGATGATCTTGATGGACTGACCAGCGCGCAAATGCTGTATGGCGCTAGACCAGGCGGGAATGGTGGGCATGATGCTTAAGGAAGCGTTGGATATAGAAATAGGTTGGGGCTGATAGCGAAGTGACTTTATTGAACCACTTTGAGGCTTAAATACTGTTTGATCTGCTCGCTGAAGACTCGAGCACTTCCTACGATCCGTTCGAGCCAAGACGCTAGATCGCGTCACAGGGCGTGGGGCGCGGGATGTGAGTATGTTGACGATGAGTAATTTTCATGTGCGGGACCGCGACACCTAGCTTAGTTCCATCGGTCTGAGACCGTCATTTGTTACGTTGCATTCGCCTGGAGCTGATCGAAGTTCGGGTATAGTCTCATGGATCACAAGGCGTATTGATCGGAAACGCTTGACGCTGCTCCATGGGTTGTTGCGACGCCTGGCCTTCTCCCCCAATAAACGACAGTTCATCAGAGACGAGTATTTGTGTGTTAGGAGAAAGTTTTCCCTACCACAATAGGTAGAGGAAAGAGGTTCCACTCTTTGAGACCTGCAATCCGATCACAAGCGACATTAATTCGCAGCACGGCTCCTCTCATTTCCTCACATGTCGAGACACATGCCCCAAGTTCTCCTCTCACACCTGGCTGTAGTGCTCTAAAGGCGCTACAGCTTCAGGAGCCCCATGGTTCCGGTGGGATCTTCAGTACCGACGATACCAACATCTTTCTTAAACCGCCACAGCCACTCAGGGTGATCCGCAGCGGTTTGGTTCCACGGATCATCAGATTCATATATAATCCAGCGCGCGTGATGCTGAATCTTCGCATCAGATGGGACATGGTAGCCTGGGTTGGATGGGGACATGGTGGCGAGGACCCAGCGCCTAAGGTCGTTGGCAAAGAGGCGGTAGAAGTTCGTGCCCATGGCCATGTGGCTTCGTGAGTGATTATCGGGCAGACCAAGGGTGGGCGCAAGCGGAGATGGACCATGAGCTGTCGTGTGGAAAGGGTCCTCGAGGATTCCGGCAATGGACGAGGGTTCCATGGGAAAGGGAGCAAGCAGCCCTTGGTCATCAACTGGCTGGACTGGAAAAGCTGCGGATGGGTTCTGATTGTCAGAAGGTAAGCTGGTGCGTAGCTTGAAAGCTGATAGCCAAACGTTGTTTACTCCGATCGCGTGGATAAGCCAGCCTGCGAAGCCTTCTAGGGTAGCATTGGGAGCATCCTCGATACGGCGGATGATCTCGCAAGCCTCTTGCTAGAGTTTCCAGTCCGGCAGACCAACGGACGTGTCAGCTTTTGCTTGTGCGAAAGCCCGAAGTTGAGTCTCTAGTGGAAATCGCTCGAAAAGGTGATTACGACCGCAGATTCGCAATGTTGAAATACCCTCGCAAGGGGTACGCAGTGGCCCAAAAAGAGCTTCCGTGGCGATATCTGGGTTCGACATAATGATGTCGCGAAGCCAAGACTCTCCATCATCTCGCTGCGATGTCGAAGGCCCGGTATCTGACAGCGCATTTCATACGAATATGATATGGCATGCTTCTAGCTGAACAGTACGAGCGTCCGGCGGTATTCCATTTAGATCGAGATAATTCTGTCGAAAAAAGTTGACCTCAAGCTTAAGGAGCTCGTACGCGCTGACAGACGTGGCGGTTGGCGTGTCACATGCGCGCAAAGGCCAAGGCGTCATCTTCTCAAGATGAATGAAGTCTACTCTGGAGGTCAGATTAACTTTTTTTGTGTATATAACTTACTGAATTAGTCGAACACGTACATGGCGGCACGCTATCTTCCACACGCTGCAATATATGGTCCTCGAACCCCCAATCACCTTGCTATTGCGCCATTGTTGCACCCGCCTTGAAGTGCTCCCCTAAGTGGTTCACCCGCTCCGTCCAAGTATGCATGACTAGGCTGCAGAACCCACACCTCGATTGTATATCCAGCGTAGAGGTCTTCCATCGATCTAGTGGGACATGTGTAGTGTCAACTTTGTGAACAAGCCTTAGGTGTTGTACGAGGTGGTCTTTGCGATAGAAGCTGCGCTCGATTTCATCTCGTGCTTGACAAGCAGAGTACTGATGTTCGTCGAGATGTGTATCGTCAGGAGATAATTTACCGCAGAAAGTACAGAATTGGTCTTCTTGCCTGGCCGATACCGGGATTCTTTGACCCTCTAGTGCACATATCCATTGCTCTAACGAGAGATGCAGGGCCTTTTCATGACGTTGCCAGTCGTACTTTGTCTTGAACGTCTCGACGCAAAAAGTGCATTGGAATGGTAAATCGGGTGCAGCAAAGGCTCTTTTGGAGCGGTCGTTTTTCTTCAGCCCCCGCTTGCGCGATCGTCGAATCGGCCCATTGGACGTTTGAGATCCAGATGAGTTGCAGTCCGACCGCGCGTTAGAGTAGGATGTGCTGGCACTACTTGCAGGAGACGATGGGTACAGCGTTTCTGAATTATCGTGCTCACCTTCGGGGTAGGGTCAGCTTGATTACGTGCATGCTTTCATTCGAGACATACTATTGGAGTAATCTGAGCCGGTAGTTACAGCGCGGAAAATACCACAAAACGATGCAGCCTCATTTTCTGGTGGCGATTCGACCCATCGTTACAAAGGATCTTTATGCTCAAGTCCAAGCTGCACTGCAGGCGTACCAGGTCTCGCAATGATATCAATTGGGCTTGTCTAAGTGTCGTGGACTTGCGGATGTTTTGATCCAGAGTCACGAGAAAGGCCTCGGCGACGAGCGTTCGAGAACCAGGTCGTGATCTGCTTGTGTTCTAGGCCGGTCTGCTGCTGCAAAAACTGCAAGTCATTGTGACGAGGATAGGGTTTGTTCTCATGGGTGAAGAACCAGGTTTTCAGAATGCGAATTGCTTCCTTGTTAATACGCGCACCTTTCTTTGAAGGCGTGGCACGATTGGTCGCAGGGTCGGTTGAGAGTGACGCATAGCGCTTGCTAGGATGACTGTGTAGGTTCTGGCTGGGGAGCTCGAAGTCTGATGGCGCTACTGCTGGATTATCCAGTAGCGATGCGGATGGTGCGATGAAGCCAAAGTCCTCAGAAAACTCGTTTTCGGTGAGGCTGGCCATCGCTGATACAGTAGCCAGACATACATAATGAAGTATGTAGAAGCAGACATCCAGAGTCGGCGCATTTGTCGACTCATCAGCGCTAGAGCGCAAAAGGTACTGTGTCCGTGCACTCCGTCTCGATGGGGTCATCAAAGTGAATCATACAGTCTGATAAATTCTTTTCGTAAAACATTCGTAAGTATTGGTGGTGTTAACAATGATAATATACAACACATGGTACTATACTACACATCATCATGCCCATCGTCCGCTCTACCTCAACACAGCCTTCTTCTCGTACGTCTCCACTGCCTTACTAAACAACTCCTTACACGGAACCCTCGACCCCAATCTCGCGCAAAGTAAGAACGCACCCGAAAGTTTTCGATGCAGCGAATATGTCTCTTCAGGCGGCGGCGCAAGCCTTTCCTTGACCATGACAGGAATCAAACCACGCACTCTGTCCGTAATAGTTTGGTCTCTGAAATCGTATATCTCAGGTCCACTGCCACTGAACGGCTCAGCAAGCGTGAGAACACTCTGAATATGAGCGTCGAGCATAGCGGGGCTCTCGCTACCAGTTAGGTAGCCGAGTTCGAGGGAGAGGTCGCGGATGGAGTCGCGGTCGCCTTTAGAGGCTGCAATGAGGACTTTGATGTAGGGCTCTACAAATTTGTCTGGATAGTCTCGTGAAGCGCCGAAATCTAATAGCTCGATTTTCTGGGCGGAAGCATTGTAGAGGAAGTTTGTCCAGTTTGGATCTGTCTGCATGAACTTGAACTCTACGATCTCGCGTAGACAGAGACGTAGGATCTGGGTGCCGATCCAATCGCGTTGCTCTTGAGTAAGGGTTTTGAGCTTAGTGACGCCGACGCCGTGCATCAGCTCTGCGGTCAGCACGGTAGGACCACAGGCTTCGGGGAAAACCTTGGGAACAGTAAAGACGTCTGTATCATCTTGGAGAAGGTCGCGGAAACGAGTTTGGCATTCAGCCTCGCGTGTGTAGTCGCACTCCCAACCTAGTTCTGTACGAGCGTTGGCAATGGTCTTGTCTAGGTATAGACCCTTTGGTAGAAGACGAGATGCTGTCAGCAGGAGGGATAGATTGCTCAGGTCAGAGTCGATGGAATTGGCGACGCCAGGGTACTGAATCTTGACAGCAACTGCCTGGCCGTTGGACTTGAGTACTGCTTTGTGTACCTGCCCAATCGAAGCGGCTGCGATAGGCACATCTTCGATGGATTCGAAAAGGTCACGCCAGTTTTCCCCAAGGTTGCTGCTCAGAACTTTGTTCCGTTGTGAAGCCGGCATGTAGTCTGCGCTATCCTGCACCCGCTGCAGTACGTCGTGGATCTCAGGCGGTAGCATCTTGATGTCTTGGAAACTGATCATCTGCCCCAGTTTGAGAGCGGCACCTCGCATGCGCGAGAGCTTTGCAACTAATATTTCCATATTGCCAGGACTGAGCATTAACGACCCAGTTGCTGACGCAGCGCCGCCGGTCGCTCGTCGGAGACCTTCACCAACAGCTCCGAGAGCCATGCTTGTGCCTAGACCAGCATACTGCCATATGCGACCGAACCGTGATGCCGGGACTCTCGATTCTCGTAGCGCATAAGAGGCCTTCTCTGGTTGTGTAGCTACCTCATTGGGTGACTGTTGTACATCTGTCAGCAAATCAGCAGGCTTCAGGCAAGCGGATATACGTTTCATACCTCAGACATAGCCGCGTTTGACTGCACGTCCTGGGCCAATTGAGATGCCAGATCTTCCATCTCCTTCGAGGTGGTTGCCGGCTGAGGGTCTTGTGTCGAAGGCTGGCTTTGCTGCTGCTGCACTGGCGCTACGGGCCTATCGTCAAGTGGATGTCTGCCGCTGGTCTTTGGTATGGGCCTGTCGTCGAGCGGGTGTCTACCACCGCTCTTTCGTTCCGCAAATTCCTTCCTCGAGAAGGGGTCACTTCCTAACATCCTTGCGACCTTTCTTGAATGGAAGACGTCTGTGTTGATACCCTCCGGTACATCGTCCACCTGTCCCTGCCCAGGCTTCGGAGGATTATAGAACACATCCTGATTTATTTGCTTGTCCTCTACATGCTCATCACTTTGCTGTCTCGTTCCTGAAGTCTTTGGTATCTGTGTTTGAGGGTGTGAGGCGGTTGTTGGTTGCGATTCGACCGACCTCGTGTAGAAGACGTCTCTGTCATGACCTTTCTGAAGCTTCTCGGTTTGTGGTGATATAGGAGTTTGTTGCGGGTCGTTCGCATGTGCAGGGATAGTTTCAGTGGCTTGAGTCGAAGCACCTCTAGGATTTCCGGGTAACGGTATCGTAGTCTCTGTGGACTCGACCGGTTTGATGCCTTCGTCTTTGTGACGGACCGATTCACCCTGGTCCTCAGTCAGAGGCTCCTTCGGCGCTTCGTGTACCGGCCTCTCCGAGAATGTATCCTGACCTTTCTCCTCCTGTTCGAGGGTTAAACCCTGGCTTGGTATCGTCCCGTCTGGAAGTGGTGATCTGGGGGCCTTTTTCTGCTCAACCTCCAGCTCGTCGGTGGGTGGAGGTTCCTGGGCGCTGTTCTGAGTGGATCGATCGTAGTGGTGATCTTGCTCTACGCCTTCTCTCACACCCTCTACTGGTATTTCCTTCTCCACCGTCCCTCTTCTAGGTATGTCGGACTGCTGTGTCCATTGTGTATTCGTCGCCCGGTCCGCTGCGGCTCTCGCGTAGGAGGGAGCTTCTTCGCTGAAGCGTTGTGAGAGGGCAATGGCAGCCGCTGCTGTGAGGGTGACGCGGTCCGTCTGACTCTTGACGGCTTTCGCTAACGACGAGGTTTTGTTGTAGGCATCCCACTGGCTCGATCGAAGCGCGATGTGCTTCTGTGCGACGGATTTCGAGGCATTGAAGAGTTTGGCGGCATCAACGAGCCGTCTGCCTGCCATTGCGATCGGATGAAAGAACTACCGGGAGATGCGACACATGACGAGAAGTGCTGGAGCGGTACGTAAGATGTGGAGGCCGTCGTGAATCCATCAAAGTTATGCGCGTCATAGCTGCATCAAGTTAGGCCCAAGTGCGGAAATGGCACGATTGGCTGGCTTTCATTCCGAGCAAGGGTCTTGATCGCCTGGTGGGGCATTCATACCCTCAACAGAGCGACCGCCTGAATTGTCATACTCACGCGATCGTATTTCCTAAAAACCCACCGTCCTTATTAGTCGCTGGACCCGGCCCTATGCTGCTCTTTGTCACCAATCAGGAAGCGTATCCATCTAGTAACACGAATAGACCAGTACTCGTGCCTGGTAGCACCAATCGGTATCCTCCAGACGGCACGGGAAGATAGCGACTATTTGGCCTATCAGTCTGGACTGATTCAAGTGAAAGATACAAGTGTTCTCCCAGAAGCCCTCAAAATACCCAAAACTCGCCTCGGAAATTCCACTCCAGAATCTCAAGTCGACCGCAGCCAACCCAAGGGAACGAACAGCAAACATGAAAATCGCCTGTCTCCAATTCGCTCCAGAAGTCGGACGCGTCCAGGAGAATATCAAAAGAGCCGATGACATCCTCCGATCCGCCGCAATACCCAGCGACCTAACCTGGCTCGTCCTACCAGAACTCGCCTTCTCAGGCTACAACTTCCAATCGCTCGAGGAGATCAAACCATTTCTCGAGCCCACCACATCCGGAATCTCCACGCAATGGGCACAGCAAGTAGCAAAACACTACAATTGCCACGTGACAGTTGGGTATGCAGAGGTCACCATCCCGGATACCAATCCCGAGGACAGTCAAACGCAGTATAACTCCACTGTCACTGTCTCACCAAGAGGAGAGATATTGCACAACTACCGGAAATCCTTTCTCTACTACACAGACGAAACATGGGCGTCTGAGGGCCCGGGGTCAAGATCACACAAACTATCCGACACTTCATCACCAGACTCGCCCTTCTACGCTGGCCAACTAGGTGACCTGGGGAAAGTCACTATGGGGATATGTATGGATATCAATCCCTACAAGTTTGTCTCCCCATGGTCTGATTACGAGTTCTCCTCCCTCGCTCTGTCGTCGCAATCGCCAATTGTTTGCATAAGCATGGCTTGGTTATGTCATCTTACGCCTACGGAACTCATGCAGGACCCATCACAACCAGATATTGCAACAGTAGCATATTGGGTCGAACGTTTTCAACCGCTCGTTGACGCTGGAGGGGAGAAGCCTATATTTGTTATCCTGGCGAACCGGTGTGGAATGGAGAAGGGTGTCTGCTATGCGGGTAGTAGTACGGTTTTGCGGATCGAGAAGGGAGTTGTTAGTTTATACGAAACAGCGGGCAAGAGCGAGGAGACGTGTTTGATTGTGGATCTGACCGAGCGGCCGAAATTCCAAGTAAGAAGTGGACGATGAAGGGGCAGAGGGCGTCAATATTGAGACTGGCTTCGTTTGACAGCTTGGCTAATCCAGACATGCGTAGGGGGTTCAGAGTTCGTTTTTCGTAAAGCCCTTGGTCGAAGGGACTTCTTTAAAGATGGCCGTCAAGGACCATGCCTTCAAAGAGGCGGCTGTGAGTCTTCTGGCACCGTCGGGAACACACAAGAGCATATATGGTGGCAGAAGTGTTGAAGGTGTTGTTGGAGGGGCCATGTTTGACTAGTTCTGGAACGACGTCAATGTCATGAGCATCATTGTTAGATACGAATACCGCAGTAATATACAGTCTTAACGGGAGTATCGTGTATGTGCAGTCTACTCAGGCTCATACGTGATGACGAGCCCAAAATCACTCTAGTGTCACCCCGCATTTGGCGTTCATGACAAGAGCGACGCCTTAAGCATTCCGCACCAAAGTCTTCAGCAACCAAAGCTCCACATCACGATCATAAGTACTCCAGCAATTGTTCGTTGCGACCCAGCATGTGCTTTCATTCATCACTGCCTAGGATCTAAACCATCATGAATCGATTCCCTTCATTCCCATTTACAGACCCAAAGCGCCATGAATGAGAGGTAGGTAGGTATCCGGTAACGTGAAAAGAAATACCACCCATAGCATCCCTCGTTTGCAGATGTACTTCGCTTAGAAGACTGGTCGCTCGGTTCCCGCCATGTGCGAAATTCCCAATGTAATCGCTCGTTTCGTGTAGAGAAGATTGTCGTTGCAGGAACAAGTAGTGATTGGGAATCGAGAATCGAGTGAGGGATGGTTTGTCGGGGGCGATACGCTTAGATACCGAGACGGGTCTTGCGCCAGTGTCGTCGCTTGGCGTTGTACCTGTGGGTAGAATGTCAGTCTCGTGCTCCCATTATCATATTGGGAGATTCCCGTAGTGTCGTCCAGTAGCGACGATCGGAAGCGGCGAGGATGTGCGTATCGTGAGCGGTGCGTACCTGATGGTGTTGCCGGTCCTCAGGCGAATCCACTGAGGGATGGGGCGGTTCTGCTTCTGCGCGCGCGCAAGCTTCTGCTTGGTGCGGAAAGACTTCTGGGACTATGAAGGTGTCAATAACGGATCCTAGACATGTTCGTGACCGCGGAGAGTGATATCATACCGGCATCTTGACTGCTTGTTGTGAGTAGTCGGATGTCGAAAGGTGTTGTCGTTGTCGGAAAAAAGCCAGAATATTGATCGATGTTGGTGCGCTTGGCAGGCGGCAAGCAAAACCGGCTAGGCTGTGTTGGGTGCACTAGCGGGGCTCTAGCGTCATTGCTGTCTTTATCACCTCTTATGCAACGACATCGACGGCTTGCTACTGCGAAGCCTTGAATTGTCCGAAGAGACGCGATGACACTGAACGATGTGACTGAGATGGTGTGCTATTTACAAGCTCAGCTTTGAGTTCGGCCTTTGCCGCTTGCACTTGGCTCTGCAACGTGACGCTGCACGAACATGCATGTCAAACGGTGCGTAGAGTCGCAGACTTCGCAAGGTCTGGGGCTTACAATGTACGCTTCAGGCTGGGCATGAAGAAGTGACTGCAGAAAAAGAATGGATAAAGGATGTTTCAGCTGACTTCACAATAAACTGGATGCGGGTAATCCCTGAAGACGAGACCTTGTAACCAAAGCGGCCAAAATTCAATTGCAATAACGGCGACATAAATTCTTAGTTTCTCTTTCCCGCCTTATTTTTCCAATCGGTCACGTCTGCTTGAAGTCGTGACTTTCTTTTCGAAAGCCTCTTTTACCCCAACACTCGTTGCCGCAGATCTCGTCATTCTACTTTTAGATCTACGCTTATCACAAGCTTTTGAGAAAACCTCATCCGCGTTCTTAAATGCGAATGGACCTGAACGATCAAGTAACATGCTTCGAGCCTCCAGCTTTCATCTAGGCTTATCCTATCCAATGAATTTTTGTTCGATACTATAATACATTGCCGACTTAATTGTCAGGCTTATCTTCAGATCACTCCTGCTGCGACATGTGTGTTGGGAAGTTGTAATCCGTGTAATCGATATGTACAAACGCGCGATCAACGTACGGTACACTCTCTGTATCGCCATTAGCTCATATACCTTGGAAGGAAAGAAAGGGACGAGAACTTACCAAGCACATACTGCAGACTCTCACCCAAATCATGGCTATCCCTCAAACTGAGGTTCTCATCAACCACGATATCTACCTCGACGTTCAGCTTGTCGCCCGCGTGGTAAGCCTGCAATCCTTGGATCCTCTTGATGGACTTTGCGAAACGCATTGTCATGTAAAGGAGAATGTTACGCTCATCCGCCGTGGCACTAGCGCCAGTCAAGTTGCGAATATGCTCCGCGGATGTAGCACTCCAGTTGATAATAACGTATGCGGAGAGCAAGATACCACCGAGTGAGTCGAGCCACCAAATCTTCGCAAAGTAGCCCACGAGCGGGAAGAGGATGGAGAAGGTGTTGAAGACGACATCGGTCATTGCGTCTTGGGCTAGTGCTTGAACGGAGGAGTTGCGGATGAGGCGGCACCAGAGCCAGCAGAGACCTTTGATGACGACTGTAGCGGCCATGATGGCCACAGCGGGGATAGTTAACTGTACGATTGTATGGTCAGGTCCAGAGAGTCTGGAAATGCCTTCGATGCCGACTTGGAAGAAGGACGTCATCATGATGACGGAGAAGATGAGTACACCGATAGGTTCGAGACGTCGACGACCGACCGGGTAGGCATATCTGTCTTGACGTGCGATCATCCAGGATGTAAACCAGACGATGGCTGTGGAGAGGAAGTCGAGGGCTGCATCGACCAAACTAGCCACCACGGAAAGAGACGAAGTCAAGACTGTGACAACAATCTTCATGATCAGGAGGGCAGTGTTTGCACTGAGGTTGACGTATAGCGCTAGCTTGACAATCGGACTTTCGGTGTCTTCGTCTTCTTCTGGAACCCAGTCTTTTAACTTGGAGTTGGCGATTTCTAGATCTTCTTCGTCTTCCACAGCGTTATCGTGTGCGAGGAGCGGGGTATTCTCGTCTGCTTCGGGGACCTTGTAGAGGTTTTTGGGTGTGCGCTTGACCATGGGTTTGTTTGCGCCATTGCCGTTATTCAGACTGCCCGACGAACCACTTCGCCCGTTCTCGCTGTAATAACCAGGTGTGTTTGTACCGTTCGTACCGTAGCCGGGAGTAACAGCGAGTGGGGTACTGACAGCCGAAGACTCTTCAGTAATAGTAGTGGGGATCTTGACAGCGCCGGATTCAAGATTCGTGTACTCTTGAATGAGGTTGTGCGGGAGTGAGGAATCGAGCAAACGGTCGATGTACAAGTAGTGCTGCAGAAGCTGGTTGTTACGCTCATAGTATTCCCGTATCGGCTTCTTCATGCCCTTCAGCTCTTCTTCCGTCTTGTAGTACTTTTCCCACTTGTACCTGGGATTGGAGTTGCCAATTAAGCGCTGGCTCCTCATCTGCGGCGTGTTGAGCACATGCGCACCTATGCTGCTCCTCCGATCCGAGTCCCGATCGTAAGGCATCATAAGCCCGTTTCTGTATGCCTCCAAGTCTTCATCGTCCGTGTCGCTGCCTCGGCGCTCACTGCTGCGTATTGTAGACGGCCGACGCGCACTGTTGAGTAGCGAAGGAAGGTGATGTCCACGCGTAGATATTGCGGAAGCTTCGTTCTGGGTAGGAAGAAAGAGCTTCGAGCTTGCTAGACGTGGGAGGCTGGATGAGCGCGGGACAGTCACTGGCGAGGGCGACTTGGGCGGTGGTGTGGATGGATAGTCTGGCATGGCTGCGATTGGGATGCTGTCACTGAAGAGGCGTGATTAGAGGGCCAATTTCTTCGAATCAAGGTCCTGCGCGTAAACGCGACAAAAAGAACAAGCCAATCTCGTGCCGTTCTCTTATCTCAATAGCGCAGCGCGATGAACTACGGCAGAAGACTTGAACAGGTAAATGCGTGCGCCAGCCGAATTGTCTTGAGATAAAGGGCGATGCGGAGCGTCAAAAGAAGATGTTGTGAAGCATTTCAGCCGTGTCAAAAGCCCAAGGGACTATATGGACCGTGGTGCCGCCGACGCGTGCGGGAATGCGACGAGCAGGTTCGCCGAAACAAGAGGGTCCTGCACCGGAGACGGGATCGACATATCTGAGGCCCACAAATCCTTGCACCTGCATCCACTTTAGCTATGGCCATAGCTTTTCACTAGCAATCTGGGGTTCGTGAGCCGAGACGCCATCACAAGATTTTGGCCATGGTTTCGTCTCTTATGTTTCACATAGTCACATATAGCTCGTCTAGAAGGCCAGTTTGATTCGTTTTCCCTACGGCATCTTCCGCTGAAACCCTGCTCCATCGAATTTAGCCCATCTAGCCGTTCTGTGCCCGCTCTGCTGAGGACCCACCTTGACCGGCAGTCTCAAGTAATGTATTCGTCCCCACGGTGGTACAGTAGCGCTGTTCCAGGTCTCAAACTCCTGTCTTGGCTGTCTATCACACCTCAGAGGCCGGCATACAATCTTAGACCCTTGACACCAATCTGCCCGTCATTCTCTGCGTGCTCTAGCCCGTACTCCAGAATGCCTATGCTTCGTTGCACCGCTCCTTCATGCCCAAGGCATCTTGCGTACACGCATCGATGAGCGCGCTGGAGATATACGGATGGTTGCGTATGCGCTCTCGACATTGCTTCTCGTCCTGGACTCGATGCTCGTGCAAGAAGCAAGAATTGGGCAGAGCCTCTTCCCACAGAGATCGGGCAATATGCTTGTTCTTCTTCTTGAAAACTTCGTCCCTGTATATCGCAACCTGCACGACAGCGACTTCGAAAGCGAAGTCTATATGTATCTTCTTCAGCTCATGCAGTAGCCTGGTAGGATCTTTGCATAACGGATCAACGTGAAAGATGGCCGCGGAAAGTACTAAGAACTGAATGAACGTGGAAGACTGCGGCAGATTTGCGTATGCAAGCTCAATCAGATCTTGGTCAGGATTGGAAAGCCATTCCCATGTACGTGACTGTGAAATCAAGGCAGTCAATATGTCGTCTCGAAACTGAGGGATGTCGTACTTGTCAGCGAAAACGTAGAGGCGGAGGAAAGAAGATCGCAGCAAGTGGTAATCGCCCTGCCACTCCAGGTTCTTCCCACATGACTCATCCATATCTACCCCATCAAAATAGCCCTTTTCGTCGATTGAGGGGGCTGTGATGGTTTTGTTCGCGAATTTCGTCGTGAGTTTCGGAAGGAGTGGCTCAGGCGCAGTCATGGAATCGCCACCTGACTGGGAATTGACTTGTATGTTTGCCCACTGCAGGAACATCCCGAAGGTCTGTTCGGAAACGTCTGTCAAGGATAGATTGCGATCTGTAGCCTCTTTGAAAGAACCCTCAAATGCACCGCGAAAGTACGGTGAGACGGCCGAAAGGTGATCGCGGTATACAGGAATGTCGACTGTCGCATCTGCTTCGCCGACACGCACAGTCACCATTTCGAAACTCATGGTTCTGTCATGTATGTCAGCTTTATCTCCAAAGTTGCGGAGTTGTCGGTATGTCATGTTCCTTACAGAAAGTTTGGGAGCATCTTGCCGCTAGGTGTATGACCAGAGGCCATCGCGATGACTAGACTTGAGCTGCGCTGAGCGTGGTGGCTATTCTCGATGGATGGTGGATGTGAGTTGACCTGTACGATATGCTTATATCGTATCGTTTCGCTTTTAAGCGAGAGAAGTGTAGTGAAGGTGAATCCCCAAGGCCTCCATAAGACACTCCTCACTCCTCGCTCGTCCTCTTCATCCTGGCTACAGTTAAAGAGCAGTCCCGTCCTGAAGTTCGCTTGCTCTGGCTTCTCGTCGTTCTCATCTGCGTCGTTCTCATCTTCAAAGTAACGCTGAGCGGACTGAGTATGCTCAGCTACTAAACTCTTGTTGCTACACTGCGAGACTAAGGTTTGGGCGGGATGTGTCAAGTAGAGCTCCTGTGGATTGTGGTCGACTCCTCTATGGACGTGTTCATGGCTTGTCCTCTCATCCCAGACTGGTACTTTCGAAAAGCCAATGCTAGGGTCTGCATTTTGACCGCCGGGTTGGATGCCGTATTTGTAATAGCTGAGATATTCTGCTGGTCTCAGCGGTGGTGTGCGTCCTTTTCGTTTTGTCATGCTGATGTCTAGAGTAGAAGAGAAGCATTACCTTGAAGACGTTAAATGTTCTCAGGGAATTCCAGTGACGTCTTGAGGTGAGCACTGAGGTATAGCAGGAAGGCGTGACGCATCAGTCTGTCGCCATCTTGAAGAAGGCACAACCGAATAGGACTAAACACGCACTCACGGCAGGCCAAGCTTGCGTCGACATATGAAGTCCTCAGATTCTGGGGAACAAGATGATAGATAGAGGACGTAAGACTGGCTAGAGGCATGAAGAACGCGCGAACACGCAACAGTTGCGTAGCGTATATCGAAATGTTATGTGAGAAAGTGGTGAAGGCGTGGTGATTTCTCACCAACAATAAACCAAGCATGACTGATATGCTAACATCCCTCTCTAGATATTTCCGCCTCCACGTTATGCCCGTCCCAGCACGCCCTATATGTGCAAAAACGCCGCCCAATGCCATATAATACATAACCGTCTCCCTACACAGCCACCCGGCCTACAGTCCCTCCACACTCAATCCCGGAGTCGCACCTCTATACTTCTCCTTCCTCGCCTCGATCTCCTCCTTCATCCTGGCCTGTCTCTCTTCCTTTCCCACACCTCTGACATACTGCAGTAACCTCAGCGCACCCGTCGGCGTGACACCTTCAACCCGCCTGGCCATGCCTACACTTTCCGGTCTGGCTACCTCCAACGCCCTCTTCTCTTCAAAGCTCAAACCGAAGATAGATTCATAGTCGAGGTCGAATGGCAGTTTGAGGTTCTCGTCTTTGAGCCACCGGGCTTGTGAGGCAGTTTGGGCAGCGACGTAAGGTGCGTATGTGGCTTCGATGTGTACGCGGTCTTGTATGCGCTGTGTGAATTCTCTAATTTCAGGGAGGAGGCTTGCAAGACTTGATGGGGTCGTGTTTGGTAGACGAAGGAGGTCATATGCGGAACGTTTGGTACTGTCGTTTCTGACAGGGAAACCTTCTTTGTTCCAGTCTGTCCATCCCATAGTCTTGGATTGAAGGACCTGTGTCAAAGTGGCCATTTGCTCGGCTTCGTCTTCGAATGCTTTCCAGCGCGAGTCGCCAACTACGCCGGCGGCTCGACCCATGGCCGTAAGACGCGTGTCGGCGTTATCGGCGCGGGCAGACATACGGTATTCGGAGCGGGAGGTGAACATACGATACGGTTCTGAAACACCCTTGGTGATGAGGTCGTCAATCATGATGCCGATGTACCCATCCGCTCTCGTCAAGACCATGGCTTCTTTCCCTAAGCTCTTCAGGCCGGCGTTGATACCAGCAATCACACCCTGGCCTGCTGCTTCTTCGTAGCCGGTTGTACCATTGATTTGACCTGCTAGAAAGAGCCCTGAAATGTTCTTCGTTTCAAGGGTAGAACGAAGATGTCGTGGGTCAACGTAGTCATATTCTACGCCATAGCCAGGCTGTAACATGGTCACGTTCTCAAGCCCCTTGATAGTCTTGAGCATAGTGTTTTGTACGTCTGCAGGGACTGTGCAGGAAATTCCATTGGGATAGATCATATCGCTGTCGAAACCTTCTGGCTCCAGCCATACGATATGCGATGTCTTATCTGCGAAGCGAATTACCTTCGATTCTAATGAAGGGCAGTATCGCGGTCCTTTGACGGTTTCGCGAATGTGTATGGATTTGTCAAGGTTGTTTCGTATTACGTCGTGGGTTGCTTCGTTCGTTCGTGTCTCGTGATTCAGTAGTTGGTTCTCGACCTGTACTCGCTCGTTCATATAGCTGAACGGCATGGGTGGATCATCACCCTCTTGCGCTTCCAGGACTTTGTAGTCGATCGTCTTTCCGTCCAGTCGTGGTGGTGTTCCCGTCTTCAGTCTTCCCATTGTGAAACCGGCATCCTTCAAGCTCTTACTCAGTCCAAAAGTCGCAGCTTCGCCCATGCGACCCGATGGATATGACTCAAGCCCGATGTGTATTTCGCCACCAAGAAACGTGCCAGTCGTTATAACAACATTGCCTGTTGGTATTATCTCCCCACTCTCCAACCTCACACCAGTAATTTTCCCGTACTGGCCCTTCGATCCCTCCTCTTGCGTCCTATCCACAATGATATCCGCCACACTGCCCTCCACGACGCTCAACCCCTTGTATCCTAGCATTTCATCCTTCATATATCTCTTATACAGCGCCCTGTCGATCTGCGCCCTGGGACCCCACACTGCAGGGCCTTTCTTCCTGTTCAGTACCCTGAATTGTACACCAGCTTTATCCACAATACGTCCAACAACACCATCCAGCGCATCGATTTCGCGAAGCATAGTGCCCTTTCCGATGCCGCCGAAAGAAGGGTTGCAGGAGCAGACACCGAGGTTGTGGACGGAAGGCGTTATGAGGGCTGTTCGTGCGCCGGAGCGGGCTGCTGCCGCGGAGGCTTCGCATCCTGCATGACCGCCGCCGATCACTATCACATCGTATGGTCTATATCAAAGTCAGAATTAGTCCAATGGTGGGGTTTGAAAGTGTAGTGGCGTACCGGTCAGCGCCAGACACAGTCGCAAATGTGCGTGAATGGCGGGTGAAACGATTGAACGACCGTACCCGAGGCGCGTGACCCCAGAGCTGTCGCGCTGGTAATGGCACGACTCTGTGCATTGTGTAAAATTGCTGTGTTGGAGTTTAGACGCCGTGCTACAAAAAGTTGGGATGGGCCAACTCGGAGGTCTTCGTTCGCCGCATCACGTCCGTGCACAAGTGGGCAGTTTGTAAGAACGCAATACTCAGGTTGCTCAATCGATGCCCCAATCGGTGTTGTGGCAAGAGAGATTCCCTTACCACAATTTCCTGGATGTTGGTGTATGCCCATGTCTTCTGAAGAAAAAAGGTATCATTCCATAAATCCCAAGCCACGCCACTCCTAGAGTAGAGATCATACAAAGTGAACTTTCAGTCCATAGTGGTACATTCAAATATCGTAAAGAGAAGTCCTGTAAAGAGACCCTACAGCGCCGAGCAAGATATGCTTCATCAGGAACCATCGATCCAGCACACAACATCTTCCACTTGCGGGTATTATAAGAAAAATCGCCGTTGGGTGATATCCAGTCGAAACAGCAGGCAAAACCGTTCGTTAAACCTAACCTTCCTGAACGAGACCCTCATCGGTAGTCTCCGTCTCCTCAGTAGCACGAGGGCGGGATAAGACGTCGAAGTTGCCTGCATCGAAATTAGCAATCCATCTTCTCACTAGTCCAACATTCTAAACACATACGTGCAACCAAGCTCAAATTGCTCTTCTTGTTGCCCTCGGAGTCAAGGTACGTCTCCATGCGCGCATCAGCGTCAACATAGAGCAGCGATCCCTTTGGCAAGTTCATCAGGAAATCCTTCTGTGCTCCCTGTACGAAACTCGCAATCCGGAACCAGCTGGTCTTCTTGTCATCGCCCTTGCCGTAGTTCGTTCCTACTATGTATCGAACTAGTGTCCTGTCGCCGGATATGGTGACCTCTTCGGGTGCAACACCTAGACGGCCAATAACGGTCATGCGCGCGACTTGCGAGGGTCGGGTGGAGGAGAAGCTGCGTGTGAAGGCCGAGGTGGGAGCGCGAGCTGCGGCGCGGAATGTGGAGGAAAACATCGTCGCTATTGTTTTTTGTGGTGCGGAATTGGCGGGTTGCGTACTTTTCGGTGGTCGAATTGACGGCTGTGGGGTGGACGTTGTTGTGATGCGAGGCGGGTGGGGGTGTTGGGGCGCGACGCGGTTTGGGCCAAGTTGGGCTTGGACGCTAAGGGACGCTAAGGGACGCTCACACGTGCGTCTCTGCCGTTCAACTGCACATCATCTTCCTTTCGTCTGCCATTGGTCATCATCTGCTTAGTAGAGAAACCTAACTAGTCTATAGTCTCTTTTGTTACAGGGTATATGCTTTTTTGATCCAAACGCCTCTTGAGGACAGCCCATGTTCCTCAAAGTCTCTCATCCAGTGGGCTTCATCCCGCTTTGACTATCGCCTTGCCTTCTTCTTCTCCCTCTCATCCTCTTCACTGTCGTAATCCTTGTAGATTCCAACTGGTTGAGTCTTTTCCCACGCACCTGTAAAGACAGCCTTCTCTCCCTCTTTCAGCGCATACTTGAGTAGCGCCTCCCGAGGGTCCTCGTCTCTCATATCACTGCCTTCGATCTGCTCCATGACATACTTCTGATCAGGCGTTGACTTTGCAAAAGGCGTCGTAGCTGGGATATGCGGTCTCCGTGGATCTCTGCTTTTGCCGGATGCTGTGAGACCAATCGTGGGATGGCGCGCTGAGAATGAGGCTGCGTTGCCAGAAGGATCATGTGCTTCACCAGCCATTCCGAGAGGATCCATATCTACAGTGAGAGATGGGTCATCATCGAGATGCCGCTTCTTAGGTGCCTTGCTGAGGATTGTGAGAGCGCCAGCGTTGGAGAGCTTGGGATTGAAGAGGATTGTTGTCTGACCGCTGGCTGAACCTGTGAGAATCTGGTTGAGCCTGGGATGCCAGTTGACTGTGATTAAAGGAGACCCTGGAGTTACTGGTGTAACAAGCTCTGGGCGAAGAGTTGCAGGGTTGAGGATGTGGAGGTGGCCAGTCTCTGATCCTGTGACTATGCTCTGCGAGTTGGGCGCAAACTTAATGTTCGATGTCGGATATTGCGAAGACGTTGACGGATGTGATGTGGTGTTAAGAGGCGTCTTGAACTTCCTGGTATCCCACAACTTGATCGTGTCGTCTCCTCCTCTTGTAATGACCAGCCTGCCATCTGCGCTGATATCCAGCCCACTTGTCCAAGTATCCCTCGCATGTGCTTCTTTAATTTCTGCTGTTGGTCGGTGGTATGGACCTTCACCACCCCACATGACCAGACTTCCGTCTAGTGCTGCTGACACAAGCATACTGCTTCCTCCCTCGGCCGCCGCACCCCATGCGATGGCCGTCATCCTTGTCATGCCTGCGCTACCGGAAGCTCTCGATTTGTGTACGATAACTTCTTCCTGCTTCATCCTCTTGTTCACGTCCCATATCCGCACTGTGCTGTCTGTGCCTGCTGTAGCAAAACGATCGCGATTCGTTGGATGCCATGCGCCGCTCGTAATTTCGGCTGTGTGTCCTTTTGTGTTGTGCTTGTCTCTCAAATACATGTCGCCCTTGACAAACTCCGATATAAGTTCTCCATCCCTGCTGAACAGTCTTGCTTGTGAAGTCGCGGTAATGCATAGGAATTGGCCTCCAGAGTGTGGGCCGAACAAGACTTGGTGTATCGAATGCGATTCTGCGGTTTGAGAGGGTTTTGTCGTGAAGGGATCTACCGTCTTGAATGCGCGGATGGTACTCGGCGTGAGCGCACTGAGGTCGTGCAGCTTGAGTGTGCAGTCGTTTCCTCCGGTCACCAGCCGTGTTCCAGATGCATCGAGCGCAATCGTCGTGACTGCGCGGTCGTGGGTCTTGATGATTAATTCGTGAGAAACGGGGTATTCGTCCTCCTCATCGCTCATATCACTGTCATCGTCGTCGGAATCCTTGTCGTCGTCGGAACCGGCCTCTTTCTTCGCCTGTTTGCTTTCATCGACCACTGGCCTTCGGGCGCGCTCGATTTGCGCCTCTACGTTTACGGAGCCATCCTTCTTCCCAAACTCACTGGGGAGATATTGCTTGAGAGCTTGTTCATCGTCTGCGGAGAAATCCATTGTCGTCTTATACGTCAAGCACAGTAACTTTGGTTATTGTTGAGTCGACAGCTGGTCGCGAGAAAGTTCGAGGTGCAGGCGGCGGTATGACGCGCCGCGCTAAGGCAGCGGCCGAGTTGTCGGGACTGCCTTCACACATTGGATCTGTACTTCGTCTCAAACACCAACACCAATACCAAAATGTCTTGGTGTTCCAAGCACCCCTCAAGAGACAGGTTAAAGTTTGCCTAGATCCTCATACCCCGCTCGTCTTACGCATCACGACATGCCATATGTGAAGGCGTGACGAGCGTCCACACCAGACAAAGGTCATGTAAACGTCAAACGACCGGCGTTATGCTGGCATCAATAAGCACACACAACGTTCATTGACTGAGCAGCCTGCTCGGGTGATCATGTATACTAATATCGCTATCCGAGTTTTGTCCGGGTTACTCCAAAGATCACACCAGCAACAGCTCACGGGTGGCGGCATCGTCATGTGCCAAGCGGCTCCGCCATGGTTCAGCCACAAACTTCCGCATATACAAGTATTTTAGCGTATAGAAGCCTCATATCGCCAAGAGCTCCGCTGAGAAATGGTCTGCCAAGTTGTGTGTTGTGATTCTAGATTCCGGTTCGCCATGCTTCTGCACCACTCAGAGCGTTCCAAACTCCGATGTTTCCGAGCCGACGTCATGCGTTCACTTCAACACCTGGGCACCATCCACTCTCCTTGGCGATAGCTTCATGCTCCTTGTACCCTCAGCCTCAACACGTAATTACGTCTCCTCGGAGCCATCGTCTCGCTTGGCAAGCATTGTAACTCTAGCATATAAGTAGCTTGCTACCCCGCTTGACTCCCATTATGTACCTCATCGAATACATACACCGTTCGATACAGATATCACAAATCCTACGCGAACGATATCTACCATGCCTCACCACCACCCAGGAACCTGGGCCAGCAAGAGCGAACTCGACCCCACCAACCTCCCTTGGGCAGTCACAGCTCATCTCCTCGCCATCAACAATGACCAACTGCACCGCGTTACCAACCACCCCTTCCTCGAGCGTGCCGCAAAGGGTACCCTACCAAAACCTTTGATCGCTCAGTGGCTTGCAAACGATAGAGAATACCTTCAAGGTTACCTCTCTACTATTAAGCACACCCTGAACCTTGTTCGCAGTACACACAAATCAACAACTGCGCCTGGTGACGAGCCAGACATTCCAACACGATTTATCGCGTGGTTAGAGTCTGCCATCAAGAACGGAGAGAGGGAGTTACGATTCTTCCAAGAAGTTGCTGAAATCTACAAAATCGACCTCCCAGCTACACCGCTTCAAGAGAACGTAAAGTCAGAAGGCCTTCGTCGCTACGAAGCGCTATTCGCCAGTGTCGCTTCTCAACAACCAAACACATTCATACCTTGGCTCGAAGGTGCCATCTTGCTATGGTCAACCGAGAAGGTATACTACGAAGCCTGGTCCTGGGCTCGCCGACAAGACGCTCAGTCTTCTCCTCGAAACTACGACAACGACCAGGATGGCGGTGCGATGCGAAGAGAATTCATTCCCAACTGGTCAAACCGCGACTTCCTCATGTTCGTCGAGCAGCTTGAGCGCATCGTCAATGAAGGAGTAAGCGACGCCGTTGATCGAGATGATGGAAAATGGGCAGAGGTCAAGGCTAGGGTTGACCCTATTTGGAGAGCGCTGCTCGATGCTGAGGAGGCGTTCTGGCCGGATGTACCCAGCAGCCACGGCAGTCTGATTGAACCTGGTGTTCAACGGGATGTCGATGGCAAGATGGATGGAACCACTCTTCGTAGTACTGGAGACAACGAAATACTGAACCACAATCAGGGGATCCGCAGTGGGGACATTAGCACTTTACGTGGTAACGAGTATGGTCAAGTAGTGAACTAGGATAGCTAGTCACTGGTCAATAGGTGCTGTGTAGGATAGTCACATTCCACTGGTGTCAATCGCCTCCTGTATAGATAATTCAACGAACTTCTAATGATTTGACGTCTGATATGTTTTTGTGTTATGCTGTATAACCACTGCCGCGCCACCGAATATTGTAGTCCAGCCATCTCGCACATCTGAGGCGTGTTCGGACTAGATGACGGCCCGACAGAAGTTCCGTGTGGAGTGGTCCATGCGTCCAATAGCTTGGACGCCGCGAAAATACTGCGAAAAAGTTCGAGAACATCGCATCGCCAATTGCAACACCACCAACCAACACAATAATCGCCATGGCTCTCGTGCAGACCGACCCCGACGCGTATGTGATCAAGCCAGCGGCGGCTGCGCCTGCCATCGACACCAGCGACTGGCCTTTGCTGCTCAAGAACTACAGCGACCGTATGCTGCAGCTTCCCCATAGCTCCAGAATGCTCTGCTAATGCGCGTACAGTGCTCGTTCGCACATCGCACTACACTCCCATCCCCAACGGTTGCGCGCCGCTATCGCGAGACCTCAAGTCGTACATTAGCTCTGGTGTCATCAACCTCGACAAGCCTTCCAACCCATCCTCTCACGAAGTCGTGTCATGGATCAAGCGCATGCTGAGGTAGGAAGAAACTTCGTGACTTGTTTCAGGCGCAGTCAGCTAACACACTCCAAAGAGTCGAGAAGACTGGTCACAGCGGTACTCTCGACCCCAAGGTCACTGGTTGCCTCATCGTCTGCATTGATCGTGCCACCCGTCTTGTCAAGTCCCAGCAGGGAGCCGGAAAGGAGTACGTTTGCGTCATTCGCATGCACGACAAGCTTCCTGGAGGCGAGGCGCAGTTTGCGCGTGCCCTTGAGACGCTCACCGGAGCTCTGTTCCAGCGTCCCCCGCTCATTTCCGCCGTCAAGCGTCAACTCCGTATCCGAACTATCCACGAGAGCAAGCTTTACGAGTTTGACAATGAGAGGCAGCTCGGTGTCTTCTGGGTCAGCTGCGAGGCCGGAACCTACATCCGTACTCTTTGCGTGCATCTTGGTCTTTTGCTCGGTGTCGGCGCTCACATGCAGGAGCTGCGCCGTGTCAGGTCTGGAGCTATGGACGAGACCAAGGACCTGGTCACTCTGCACGACGTTCTCGATGCCCAGTGGCTGCACGACAACAACCGCGACGAGGCCTACCTTCGCAAGGTCATCGCACCTCTCGAGAGTCTTCTGATGAGCTACAAGCGTATCGTCGTCAAGGACAGCTCTGTCAACGCTATCTGCTACGGTGCTAAGCTCATGCTTCCCGGTCTGCTGCGTTTCGAGAAGGGTATTGAGATCCACGAGGAGGTTGTCCTCATGACCACCAAGGGTGAGGCTATTGCGCTCGCATACGCGCAGATGTCTGCCGTTGAGATGTCATCATGCGACCACGGTGTTGTTGCGAAGATCAAGCGTGTGATCATGGAGCGCGACCTTTACCCCAGGAGGTGGGGTATGGGCCCAGTCGCCACCGAGAAGAAGAAGATGAAGGAAGCTGGCACTCTCGACGTAAGTTATTCAATGCTAAGTTTGCGAGTGCTATACTAACGGGTCCAGAAATTCGGCCGCCCCAACGACAAGACTCCCGCTAAGTGGAACACCGAGTACAAGGACTTCAACAGGAACGACGTCGATGGCGCTTCCGCACCTGTCGCTGAGACCACCTCCACATCCGAGGTCCTCGCCGCTCCTGCTGTCCCCGCAACTGGTCTCGCACCTGCCGAAGAGGCTGAGGCGGAAGCCGAGGTCGCCGACAAGAAGAGCAAGAAGCGCAAGAGCCGTGGTGACGGTGACGACGAGGGTGATGAAGACAAGGCCGAGCGCAAGCGCAAGAAGAAGGAGGAGAAGGCTGCGAAGAAGGCCGCCAAGGCCGAGAAGAAGGACAAGAAGAAGAGCAAGGATGATTCTGACAGCGACTCCGACTAAACGATCAATATCTGAACGATGGACGTCCGGACAAAGCAACAGCGCGCATCGCTGCTTGCCTGTAAAAGCGCTGTACACCACAAAATCGTGTACATGTCATAGTTACTACTACTCTATCCTTGGATACCAGCTTCTTCAAATGTAGCATACCGGAAAATGGCGTTTGGGATCATGGGCATGCTGGCGTTTTTTGGCGCGTCGAAGCTTTCTGCGACAAAGGTGGTCGATTGCGTGTTGACGTGCGATATAGCTTGTTGCTAGACATGTTCAATTCACTGTTTAAACTTCATCTTTCTGACTCTTCCTCATGGTCATTACGATGTGCAGTGGTGCGTGCAGGCTGTAGTGACTCTGCACGAGCTATTGAGATTGGGTAACTCTTGCAGCGTGTCCATGAGCTGTCGATGGGTCTGTCATGTTGATGCAAATCGCTGCTGATGTGTCACGGCCCCAGTCCTGTATTGAGTATCAGGAGCTCACAGACATGCAATCTGGCCATCACGTTCGTGATCATAAAAAGATGCTAATGTCATGCATTGCTACCCAGGTATGATGAACATGTTAAACGCTACTACTAGTAGCACAGCGCTATCAAGCAAGTCTGGATCGGGCAGGTACATGTCCCAGCCACCTTGCTCTCCCTCTACACGGCTGCACGTGCATAGTACTTTCGGAAATTGAGGATGAGCTCATCCAACACCATGCATGAAGAGTCCACGATAGCTGCGACGTGCTGCTCTGTAAAAGTGAAGCTTTTAGGATTGTAAAAGCGGGGCGCGTCAAGGAAGACCACGAGGAACAACAAGCGCGCGTCGGGTGGAGCGCGACAGCACATTGCTAGGTACCCGTGGATGTCGATTCGATGCAACCCCTGTGATACAAATTCAGGTTTCTAATTTTGAATATGAGCGCTTGATACACGACATCAATGAATGTGATCGTATGGATATGGCATTGTAGTTGAAGCTTCTCGAACCTTCTCTGTGTTCGCTCCGCATCAAGGCTCGACGTCACTGCTAGCGCCGTTTGACAAGTGGAGAGACATCCAAAGCTCGAGTGATAAATGCGACCCAACCTCATAAGCTACCACGCAGGACATTTACAAACACTAATTGCGCATACACGAGATATCTTTCTCTTGTAATTGTAGGACTTCAAGATGGTCAAGGAGTCCAAGCTCTACGATTCATTAGGTACGTTTGCCTCGGATATACCCCACCACCGCCTTGCTCTGCTAGACAGCAGGCATGCCAGGGCCCGGGGTGCTCGGGTAGGCACATGAACTGTTACTGACTTATTTCTAGGCGTCTCGGAGACCGCGACGCAAGACGAGATCAAGAAGGCCTACCGGAAGGCGGCGCTGAAATGGCACCCCGACAAGAACAAGGACAACCCGCAAGCTGCTGGGAAGTTCAAGGGTACGTACATGGCATAACCAGCTCACTTGGATACGAATGAGAATACTAATAGCACATCTAGAATGCTCACAAGCCTACGAGATCCTCTCCGACCCCGAGAAGCGCAAGACATACGATCAATACGGTCTCGAGTTCATACTACGCGGCGGCGTACCACACCCTGAAGATGCCGGTGGCGCTGGTGGAAACCCATTCGCAGGCGCAGGAGGCGGCGGAGGTTTCCCCTTCGCATCAGGCGGTGGCATGCCCGGCGGTGCACGATCGTTCCACTTCTCGACAGGTGGTGGTGGAAACGGCTTCAACTTCTCCAACGCCGACGACATTTTTGGCGAATTCATGCGCAGCAGCGGCGGCGGGGATGACTTTGACTTCGGTGGCTTCGGCATGGGCGGTATGCCTGGCGGAATGGGCGGTATGGGCGGCGGCGGTGGAGGCAGAAAGGGCAGTCAATTCCGAGGCGGACGACGAGCACCAGAACCCGAAGTCACAGTTGTGGAGAAGCCGCTCGCCGTGAGCTTAGAGGAGCTGTACAATGGCACCACGAAGAAGCTCAAGATCAAGCGCAAGACATACGACCAGAGTACCGGCAAGCAAAGCACTCAAGACCGGATTCTGGAGGTACCAATCAAGAAGGGATTGAAGGCTGGCAGCAAGATCAAGTTCTCAGACGTGGGCGACCAGGTGGAGGTTGGCACACAGGATTTGCACTTCATTGTCTCTGAGGTAAGTCCTGATTTCTTATTCATTACATGCAAGCCGATACTAATGACACCATAGAAACCCCACGCAATGTTCACTCGCGAAGGCGACGACGTCAAGCACACCATCGAAATCGATCTCAAAGAAGCCCTTACCGGCTGGCGCCGAACCGTACAAACCATCGACGGTAAACAACTCAGCGTTGGCAGCGGCGGCCCCACAGGTCCGACCTGGACAGAACGATACCCCAACTTGGGCATGCCCAAATCGAAGAAACCCTCAGATCGTGGCGACTTCATCGTTGGCGTGAAGATCAAGTTCCCTACAAGCTTGACAAGCGCGCAGAAGGAGAAGTTGAAGGAGATACTGTAGTGGGCTCATTGGGCATGACGATGGAACGACTTTGATTCTCGTATATCCTTTGTATTTCTTTATTTACCACATCGGGCAGAAGCCTATATATGCTCCAAGCGAGCCCAACGAAGGCGTCGGTGGAGTTTTATTATCTTTATTATGATTTGGGAGGAGGGATGAGGCAGGCATGACCAGTTGGATGGCATGCTGGTGGACATGATGGGGATGATATATGAAATAACGCGTCTATGATAGACGAATCGATGAACTAGTACACTGCGCACGATGTGGTTTGTTTCTGCGTGATTCCGTTCCGGTGATACTTAGCGACTGCGACTGTTCATCCTGTGACGAGAGAACAACGACTAACGACACTTCTTAGAGTTCGCGGCTCGCAGCAAACTTCTTTCCATCTAACTCGCCAGCCACCAACTGTTTACATACACCAAACATAAGCACTTGCATCTAGCTCAGTCATTGGCTTTGGAGATCCTTGCCGGCATGCGCCACGAAGATACACCACCTGTAGTAGCAAGGCTGCGCACTGCCCCACGTCTTGGCAGCCTCCTGGCTGCAGCCTGACTGAGCGCAATGGGGTGAAATCCGTCCCGGCTTCGTCTGCATCTTATAACTCTGGATATAACTCTTGGCCTGTGATATTCGATCGCCATGGATACCGAACCCTTGGACAGTGGACCTGTTGGTCCATCCGACACTACAGCTGATCTGGCCGCGGTCACCAATGACGAGACTGAGGACGAAAGCCATGAGCCTTGCTACTTGTTTTCGAGAGAAGGCAAACATTTGTTGCACACAAACATCAAGAGACTTCGGCTTGGGGTGACGGCTGCTTGCCAAGGGTGTAGTATTGTGCTTGATGCTGTTACCACCTATAGCAGTGGACGACTATGTATGGATAGCATAAGAGACATCTGTGTGATACTAGACAGTTGGCGCATAGAGATTTACACCGGCGAACGTAAAAGAATACGCCTAGAGCTATTTCGATTAGAAGGTAAGTTATACACGTGTCGCTTCGTTTGCTTTCGATAGCTGGGATAGTCAAGAATGATTGGCGAAGACATCTCACTGTCTATGTACGAACAGATTCGAAAAACTCTTGCCTTCACAGAAGAGAGCACCAAATGAACCAACTACAGGAACAGATTTTGACTTCCTGCAGGTCAGGAGCTACACACCCTGCCCGGTCTTTCATCCTCCAAACTACCTATTCCCACCAGGACACTTCTTCCAGGAGACACATCTTCAGATCAATCTCTTCAAACGTTGCACAATTGGATCGAAACCTGTGTTGAGCATCATGAGATTTGTGCTGGACGCAAGGTCAACCAACTACCGAATCGAGTTCTTGAGATAGATGGAGAGCACGTCTATCTCCGCGAGCATCTAAGAAATACTGCTATGTATGCTTGTCTAAGTCATTGTTGGGGCCAATCAGGCCCAACACTCAAGTTAGACAAGGCAAGTTCCAGACATTTTTTTGACGGCATACTTATCGATCGACTACCAAAGACCTTTGCAGACGCTGTTAATCTGTGTACAAGACTTGGTCTTCGCTTTATCTGGATTGATGCCTGCTGTAAGCTGCCCTCGTCAATCTATCTGTACTCAACTAAAGTGTGTTTACTCAGGCATTATGCAAGACGATAAGGATGACTGGAAAGAGGCAGCAGCAACGATGGCAATGACTTATGAGCAGGCCCATTTGACTATTGCAGCTACTTGGGCTAGTGACAGCGACTGCGGTTTGTTTGCGTCGGATCGAGAGCCATACAAGGCCAGAAAGTTACAGGATCACGAACTCTACATACACACAGACGGTCCCGTTTTCCCACCACCAGCTGCCGTAGGTTGGACTGAATTTCCACTTCTGAGCAGGGCTTGGGTTTACCAAGAGCGACTTTTGTCGTCACGGATGGTTCACTTTGGCAAGGATCAGGTAAGCCATCGACGCTCCCTTCTTCTGGAGATTTGTATATTCCAGATTCCTAAGCATTCCTGAAGTTCTTTCAGATTGAAGAGTTGGACTATACAGTGTTTTTTTATTCGTCCCATACACATGGACTAAGTTCTAATTTAACTAATAGATGTTTTGGCAATGTCCCACTCGCTTCGTTGCCGAGAGTGGGTGGACCTATACGGGGGACTATCAACCCCCACATGTCGATCCTTCAAGCCTTAACCTCTTTGAGGTCATTGAACATCCAGTCGACCGCTGGCACAAGTTGGTGAAGATGTATTCTGGCCTGGACTTAACCTATGCAAGCGATCGGTTACCCGCAGTCGCTGCCATAGTCGAACGCGAAATGCGATTACGTCTAGACGATGTATACATTGCTGGTATGTGGCAGAAAACTCTGCTCTCCGATCTCGCCTGGGTGCCGTTCAATGTAGGTAGCGTGCCGCCGGCGCGGATACCTCAAATTCGTTCCCCAACATGGGCATGGCCATCTTCACAAGTGCAAGTGTATTGGTGGAGCGGATCACCCGAACCATCTTTGAGATTGGTGGACCTGTCATACACTCGTGTTGGACCGGCGCACATTGGCGAGGTCACAAATGCTAGCATCTTACTGGAAGGCCATGTGTACACCATTCGGTGGGAAAAAACCCTCGAGCAGAGCATATTCGTGCCAGAAGCGTGCATGGAAATAGTTCCTCCCTCAATTTCGGACGTTAAATTACACGATTGGAGTACACGCATGGATTTTGACTGGTCTACCGGTGATCGACCGGCCACGATTGGAGATACTTTCGTCGTTTTGACGATCAGCCTGCTGTCAGAAAGAGATTCTTATATCGGGCTCATTCTTCGAGAGGTTACCGACGGCGTCTTCGAGAGAATGGGAACCATCGCCATTGGAGCCGTTTCTCGGGCCGGGATGACCACTCCACAAAAGACTCAGATGATCCGTGATTTCGTTGAGGAATTGCCAATTCGACAGGTCAAGATTATCTGACGAGGTGACGATGGGCTGAGCGCCTGCTCTGGTTAGTGGATACTCAGCGTTGCTCGAACACTAACGACATGGTTTCATCAGACCCGGCTGCCTTCAAAAGTTCTTTACAATCACTACGAAAGACTTCGCGCGATCAACCTACGCATCGAAAACTACGTATCTACTCTCACCGAAGTTCAAAACATAATATGAATGAGGAGCGCTGCTAGTATACCCAGCCGTTCCGCAAAAAAACAGCGAATCGACCGAGATCTCATTCACGCTCAGTGCATTGCCTTGCTGCAGATCTCGCCCACTCGCTTAACCGCCTTTCGGATTGCTACCAGAACGGGTTCCTTGGAAGTCAAGGTATCGGCAGTCTATTCAAGTCAACGTTAAAAGATTATGGTAAAAGGCGTATCTAGATCACGTGTGCGCAACTACGGCCAGGATAGTAGTGAACCAGTGGACATGTTAGTAGTTGAATAGCAACCGTGAAGATGACCTATGGAGAGCGGCGCTGGAAAGAAATCTATGGGCCCGGCGATAATATCGCAAATGCTTGGTGACATCACCTATTGATTCATTGGTCTGCGCTTATGGTTCATTTCAATTGACCATATACTTGTCCTACAGTCATCCCAGTCTTCCGGGATACATTGCATCTACAGAAACGATGCTACATCTGGCACTTTCGACGTCGTCTTTTCTCGCCACAGTGAGCGCGACTGGCGAAACTAAAGCTGTAGTGTCTTTCGATAGCCGCCACTCGAGTGGCACATTGCGTTGCATGTCCTCTACCTCTGAGATCTGACTTGATATCGGTTTTCCTGCGCACGGTTGACACACCAGAGTTGACGGAAGTGCGGCGACTGAGCTACCAGACTGCGCACGATCTTGAATGACGTGGACAATCTGGCTAAGGACTGCGAACTCAATCTTGAGCTTGAAGCTGTATACAAGAGACTTGAAGGTTGTCTGTATCATGTAAAGATCCAGAAACTCTGTCGTGAGCAAAGCGATATCCAGTATCAGTAGGAGTACATTCATTACAACAAGTTGCCACATCCACTTCCTCGCTTTGCCGTCGAAGATGACACGCATCAGCTTGCGGGTCTCCAACAGATAGACGCAGGATATGAAGATCTCCTGAACAGTGAAAAGAGTCATTTGTATCTTTTCCATGACCATGTAGCCGCGTGTGTAAGATTCCGGGTGCTTGGTGTATTGCCGTAGACTCAGCGTGACAGTAGGTACACACAGACATATTGCCGAAGTGACGATCATCCAAAAGATGAAACGCAGAAGTTTGAGATTCGGGGAGATCAAGTACAGGCGAGAGTATAATACGACTGATTGCCCGGGAACCATCAAAATCCACCCGAGCGTAAGGAGGGTGTTATAAACGTAGGGATTATGTGCGACGTTGTTTTGTTTCATCCATGCTCCTGTATACCTCGTCAGCGAGGCCGTCTCCGATTTGGCAAGCTAACCATACCAGTCGCATACGGCACAATGCTGATTGCATTGACTATAAGACTCCAAAAGTACAAGCCGGAGTACCTCCTGAATATGACGAAGACGAGGATGAGTAGTTCGATCGAATTGTACCACGCAATAGCTGTGAACGCGGTCATTGCTCGGGGAAGTACGCGGTTCGCACCGTATATGTCGAAGTTGGCGCCAGTGATGCCATTGGTACCGGTGACGTTTGCCATGTTGTCGAGGTTGCTGTCTGACTGAACTAGAACCTTCAGATCGCATATTGGGGACGTCGCATTATACTACAAGATGCAAGCCTTCAGTGATTGTACCGTCTGCACGGCTTATGCGACATAGTAGTCACCGGTGCAACATAAGCATGTGTAAGCGTAGTGTCTGATGTCGAATCCAGCTTAGCGTCATCACATATCGCTATTTTCGTACTACATGCTGTATATACGGTCGCCAACATTAGATAGTCTAGAATCGGCACACAAACCAGTACCGTCTGTCGAAGTACGGGGTAGTGTAGATATCGTGCCGCGTCGGCTGACACATCGTTGTAGGTGCTGCGGGGAGATGGAGCCAGGCTATGTCGCTGGCCCCGATCGCTATGCTTAGCCTTCTCAAATCGTAGTTTACGAATTATTGCACGCCTCCTGAACAAGGGAACATTGACTGAGATTTGGTGTTGGAAGGCTGGGCGTTCTACAGAGCTATGCGTATGATGAAGACGATTGTGGTTTGAGAGCTGAGAGTGCGAGAGTGAAGCACATAGCGCGCCCCGGGTAGGAAAGAACATCGCAACTTGCGGGGTTCAAAACGAATGTTTTCCTAAGCAGCTACACGTGGTCGATCGTTTGCGTTGTAGGCTGGTAGAATTGGGATGAAGGAAGGGGCAACGGACGCGACGCGCGATCCAGCGCGAGGACGCCTGAGGCTAATTATTCAGACATGATGTCATGCTCGGGCTAAGGACAAACGACGCGTCCTTCCCAGCCACGCTCTTTCGAACATCTTTTCGCGCGACGAAGCTATCTCCAAGCTTCACTATTCATCGTCAAGTTGTTGGTTCCAATGACACTGAAGTGACAGAATTCATTTCGGCAAACTGACAACAAATCGGGCACGGTGTCTCACAGTGTGTATCATGATATGACGAGAGAACATTCGGATGACAATGGAAAATACCCTTATAGGTAGTGACAGGAGTGGTGCTCAAATGGCATTATGAGTGCTCAACCGAGTGCATGTCTCTGTACTTACGGCAAGAGCTGGCTGTGAAGACCCTTTCCGGGTAACACTTCCACCGGAAACTCGTCTTAGATACATCTTCTATTTTCATCACCCATCATCATATTTCATCTGTTCATGTGGCTTATCTGTTCTGCATTCTAGACTTCGGGATTCTCCCTCGCATTTCGCGACATGGAAGAAGTGAATCAACAAGTATAACATGTTTTCAATGGTCTGGCAGGCTATGGCTGTATGTCCTCTCTACCTTCTGTTGCAATGAGATCCCTTACTATTCCAAAGGGCTTCTAATTTGATGGGATGATGCAATCGTTGAGTGTCATTGGTTTGCGAGCTGCGCGATATGGCTTAGCGTTATAACCGTTTCTGTTTCACTTTCACTTTCTCAAGCTTTATTGGGCGCTTTTATGACGCTGTACTCTCGCTTGTCCATTGCGGTTCGCTGTTGTCACCACAAGTCATAGCGCTTGAAACTTTTCAGCGATCTCTAGCCCCTCCGCAGTGCACCAGCAGTACTTCGCAATCCAACCCCGACACAGTCAGCCACGATCATACCCAGCAACCTCGATGATCTATCGCTATAATGTCGAGCAAGTTTCTACCTATCGGAGTGGATGAGTCGCAGCGAAAGCTCTTCGCTCGTTCCCTACGCCCTCGCCTAGAAGCCGAGCTCCAGCAGCAGATCGTGATCTATGCTCAGCAGTTCGGCGACATATCTGTATACCACGCCCTCTCATGAGGGGAGAATCGGCAAAATCAGGGCCACGATCGGGCAGAGAGGAATTGACTAGATTGCTGATTGAGGCGCAAAGGAAGATGATGAACAAGACAGACAAAGCCTGGTCCTTGTTTGCAGGCATGTTCGACTACTCATGGCGGAAACCATCAGACAACGAGATTGTGATAGATTATGTTATCAAACATCCTAGGTTCCAGGGTTCTGACAGCAGCAACCGAAAGAGGGTCAATATCGAATGGACTATCGATGTGATCAGAGGATTGGTCGCCGACCCGGCACCATCCAGCTGCGAGATCTTGGTCTGGACGTGCAACGAAGCATTATATGCTCAAGACGTCAAAGCCGATGAAGAGATACCTGGATCGTACGCAACCTGCGCCGACCGCCAGAAAGAGCTTGGGCCGCTCTTCAGACGTATCTCCGCCACGAACTTTGGGCTAATGAAACAAGTCTTCCCAAGTGGTTGCCTGACGCGGGACGAAATGAAGAACCTTGCGAAGACTCACTGAGAAGGAAGAATGTACTGCGATGAAGGAGAAGAAGGGGCGTAGAGCTGATGACTCCGGTGGAAGCGATCGGATGAAGCGGAGTCGTGAGTGATTCTTTGGGGCCGAAGCGGGGTTTTCAGCGAGTGTCTTTTCCCGTGAGCGTTCTTGTTTTTCCTTTGATCCATATGGCACACACTTGTGTCTTTGGTTTAGTTTCTAGTTTCCGCGTAGCATTCTACAGGGATACTATTGTACAGTTTGGAGTGAAGTTAATGATACCCAGGGAAATATAAGAGATCAGACTAAGATGATCGTTATGAACTATGAGACCGGATAAGTACTGCACAAGTCTAGGCTTGCGGTGATGAGCGGGATGTTTTGGGTCTCAGCTTGTGCAGGTTTGGTCATTCATTCCATGTGTTGACCACAACGCGCTTCTCGCGAACCTCATAAATCGTAGCGCCGGGTGGAAAATGCAGCGATAAGGTACGAAAGGAAAGGTTTTACCGAATAGTTGTATTGAAGAAAGTAAGTGTTTATAGTACTGACCGAACGCCAGGCACGCTATGCTAAGAATAAGGAATGGCTCCAGATGTACATCACTGGCAGGCATAAACCTAGCTACCAGCATGGCCTGTGGGACCTTGTGAAGTGTCTGTAAAAGATTAGCTGCAAATTCGAAAACGCTCGTCTCTCGATTGGAATACTCACAGTCCATTGTCACAAAAGCGCGGTCCACCTCATTTAAGCCTTCTAGACAGTACTGCAGAGTCTCGGCAATGTCATGACATTTCCTCAGCGGTGTCTCCTCCTTCATGAGCACATCAATCTCCACACAGACACCATCACCTGCGTGGTAGCACTTGAGACTCTTGAAACCTTCAACGAGAGGTGAGAAGCGGTACGCCATGTACATCATCTTGCGCTCCACACGGTCATTGGCTGCTTCACCGGTCAGACGAGTGACGTTTTCGAAACAAGTGCAAGCCCAGTCGTAGATGATGTATAGCGAAAGGCAAGCTGCGCCGAGAGGATCGAGCCACCAGACGCCGACGTGGCCGCCGATAAGAGGGAAAAGAAGAGACAGTGTGTTGAAATAAACGTCTGTGTTCGTTAGCAGATATACACAGTTGACCGAGGACACAAACGTACCAGTCTTGCAGTCTTGGGCGAGAGCCTGTACTTGCGTTGTCTTGACCCTTGCACATCCAAACCAGATAGTGCCCTTGACGACGATTGTAGCTACCATGGCGAAGATAGCAGCGGGTGGCAACTGGGATACACTGTGGTCGCCGCTTGGCAGGAGCTTCTTGACCGACTCTTGCAGAATCTGGAGGAACGATATGACCATAATGATAGAGAAGACCAGAATTCCAATAGGTTCGAGGCGTCGTCGGCCGATGGGAAACTTCTTCTTTAGACTCTGCAAACGCCAGCCAACGAGTTTGTTGGTGGTCCAGATGATGATGGTGCATAGCAGGTCAAGTGCCGAATCAACAAGAGACGCGATCAGCGACAAAGAGCTGGACCAAATCGCTGCTACACCCTTGGCCGCGAGTAGAAGGACGTTCACAAGGACGTTGATCTAAAAACTGTCAGCTTTGGCTACATTCTCCGTCTTTTGAACTTACGTTTATCGCCCATCGTGCGTGTTTGGCGGATCTCGCTCTTCGGTCACGCTCTTCTTCGGGGAGAAAAGGTTCCAATTCCTCGCCGCTATTGCCCAACGGTCCACGGTCTTCTGCTACTCCGTCGCCATCGGTATCTCGCGGATTCATACTATCCACAATATCATCGGCAAGCGAAGAAACAACCATGTCTACCTCTGCCCAATCGTCCAAGCGCGAGTTCTGTTCCTCGTAGAAGCCGCGTACTTTCTTATTTTTGATGGATTTGAGCTGTGCAACACATATCAGCGTCGCTGCAAGTAGACGTATGGATTGAGACGTACACTCTCGTCGCTCTTCCTGAAAAATTCCAGCGCTTCATGGTCGATATTATCGATCAACTTCTTTTTCATCTCATTGGCGCGATTGTCCTTTACGGTTTGGTCGATCGCATCACGAAATCGCTTCTTTGATTTGACAGGATTGTTTCCTCCATATCCGCCTTCCAGATCGACACGCTGGTATTTACTGAACTCGTTCGCATTGCTTCTGCTGTTGATGCTGCCGTTGCTGTTGTGGCTGTTGAGAATGTTGCGTCTGGTTCCGACCATAGCTCGTAATTTTCGAAGTCTTTGGAACTCCTAGGGTATCTGTGTAAGGCTTGAGAAAGAAAGAGGTTGTAGTCAAGGGCTGACAAGAAAACCAAGCTTACAAGAAGGAAGACGCGACGCGCTGTCAAACCATGGCAGCCAAGATTCCGAGACATGGAAGACGCCAATGCGTAATAGCGGTGGAGAGCGCATCATAAACTGGGGACACTATGCCGCATGTGGCAGTGTCCCTGCATCAGAGGGATATATTCTCGATAGTGCTCGCTCCAGACTGCGTCAAACGTCGCTGAATGGGTGCTATGACATCACCTCTCTAGCGTCGCGTGGTGGACGCGATCGCGGCGCCTCCGCGTCAACCATCGAGGTTTCATCGCCTTGGCAGGTACCGTCGCGGCACATCACCCCGCAAAAGTGTACAAGCTCTGATCTATCGAGTTAGGCAGTCGGCTTGCTTTTTAAACACCCTTGGAATTGTTATGCGAACAGCGATAAAAACCATGGAAACGTGAGCCACTCGATGAGGCGGTGCGTTGACGTCACGCCCCCAAAACCGGATGGCCTCTCACCACCAACGCCGTTGAAACACGTTCCGGCCATCGCAATGTGCCGCTTAGCCGAAAGGGCCGAACCAAGCGTCCGGTACACTTACCTGGGATCAACCATTGACGAATCGCAAGACAAACATCCGATCTCGTCTTCGTTGGATTTCAGCTCGAATTGAGTTTCAAATGTCACCCGACCAATGCCCCTCTCGATCTTGCCATTGAATTCGCCGAAAGGGTAGGATTATCTACCAGTCACGTGAGACACCTCCGATTTGTTTGTGATCAACCCCAGGACAACTCAAGTTATGATTTCTTCCTTGCTGCAGCACTCCATCAATGGCAACATACAATAGTCTTCTTTTTTAGTCAGGAGATCGCATCTGAGAACCTATGATGAGGCGCTTCGCTTTGTGCCGTTTTACATAAGCAACCCCCGCAACCACCGGATGAAATATATGTCCGAGCTGACCTCCAGTACTGATACGAGAGGCGAAGCTCGCCAAGTTGTGCCCAAGGCGCGCCGAGGGACGACAAACAAAACCGCGGTCATCTGCTACGGCGCGTTGTTCTTTTGAGCGCCAGTAACCACCCACCATGGCAACATCAACAGCACGCGTCGGCCGCCCGAACAACAATGCGCTACTGGCTGTAATGGCAGTTCTAGCTGGGATTGGGCTCTATACTATGCGCATTACGACAGCTCAAAACGAAGTTCCTGTTGGTTTCTTGGACGTGGCTGCATCAGGTACTCTGCCTAACGGTGTGTCCCTCAAGAAGCACTATACGGGTATCCGTACCCTAGACGAGGGACTGTCTTTCTTGGTGGCTGCATTCTTGTATGGGCCCACAGGATGGAGCGAGACCTTCTATTGGCAACAGCTCCATTTCCTCCTTCAGATCACGCCCCTTCTTGCGGTGCATGGTGTCGAGGCATGCCGGGAGCGAAACCAGGGTAGTTGGGTTAAATAGTAAGTGAGCCATCAGGAGGGATCTGACGAAAATCGACGCATGTTACTGATAATATGAAGCATTTCTCTCTGGGCCTTCATCTACCAGAATGTGGGAGGCGCTTGCATAGTGACTCTTTGGTGGCTAGCCTTCCATCGCATCTCAAGTCCAAAATCATACTTCCAGACTGGACGCACTGTTCCATTGCCTTATGCGCGCGCGATTCTCCCAGGAATTCTTTTGTTCTACGTTGTGCCTACCATCGCATTATTCATCCCCGGCCTAGATTCAGACATGCTCCAAAATCTTCTCGCGTTCTGGCAGTTCACGCCCATTTTCGCCAATATTCCGCTATGGTTCGTTTCTCTCTCAGGTTCTTCGACCGTCGTCACCGCGAAGAACAAGAGTGCAGACGTCCGAAGTCTCAAGGTTCTCTATGCTTTCGCTTTCGTTGTCTCTGTGGCGACGCATTGGATCACCATCCGTGGTATCTCCCTATCCGACAATCCCGATGTGACTTACGCCCGCGTATTCATCCCCAGTACCTACACATGGAAGAAGGGCATGGATTGGGGCCTTCTGTTTATCTTCCAGTGGGATTGGCTCATCATTGGATCAATGTATATCATCCCGTCTTGGGTCGCTATATGCGATGTGCAGCGGGTGAAGAATGGAGAAGCCACACTCGAGAACATCTTTGAGGGCTTTCTCGTCATCGCCGCGGTGACGGCTATGGGCGGACCAGGCGCGACGCTTGCTGCAGTTTGGTTTTGGCGAGAGGGCAAGATGGCGGAGATTGAGAGTGCATCGGGTGCGAGAAAGATGCAGTAAAGACCGAGAGCTCATGTACGTTTACCTGTGTACCATCAGCAAAAATGTGCAATTACACAATATTAGCTATGAAGAATGTGGTAAGAATGCAGCCTATCACCAGTGGCAATGTAAGCCAGCATCACGAAACGTTGCATGATATCTGGATTTCGATTTGCATCGCATCGCAGCTCCTCCTACATCTGCTATCCTCCCTTCTTTTTAACCTGTCCGCTCTCACCATTGTTCTTGTCTACCCTATGACCACTTGAACTCATCCCAGATATGTCTGATTCCTTGCCGCTCCAGTCGACAGCCGCTTCATCCTGTACTCCAAAGTGCGAACCGTTTGGTTTCAATGCAACAGTAACCGCCACACCCGCATTCGTCATCTCTCTGGTCTGTGCCATGCCTTCACGTATCTTATACTCGTGAACCCCTTTAAGTATCTCTTCGCCCGAAACTCGCCTATTTTGAGTTGGTGTGATGGCAATCGCTTGACTCTAGTGCTGTAAAGCCAAGGGAGGTTGTGGTAGAGGGCGAGGTAACGGTCCCTGCAGATATTGCTGTGGTGGTGGCATTCTAGTATCGGTGGTGGCCTGCAAGTATTCTCTGGTTGTTTTGTTGCCTTCGCTGTCGTTGTTCTTATGCTTGTCAGCAACCCCTCGTTGAGAAAGTGTTTGAGACACGATTCCAGGTATCATGCACGCCATCTCTTCTCTGAGATTAGGCAATAGTCTCTGAGCCACCGCGGTGGCTAGTATCGGAGTTATGTGTTCAATAATGGGTTTGAACTCAGTAGTATTGCTCGACGAGGATGAGGTAGCCATTGTATCGACTAATCAAGCGGTTGATGCTGGGCCAGTGGTGTTGTAGTTGAGTGCTTATATATGCATGGGCAAATGATGCTAGTTGAGCTACCAAGTATCTGGTGACCATTGTTATGATGGTGATGTGACTAGGGGATTCTTCGTGGTCTCCACATGTGACCATGAGCAAGATGTTTGATTACCAGTATGGCAGAAGGTGTCTTAAGAAGCTGGTAGAATTGGTGGAGGTCTGATGTCAAGTAACCGAAGTGTTTTCGGACACCAGATACCTTCAGACTTGAGATGCAGTCCTACTCTACGCGCAGTCGTCAAGGTCGCGCTAACAACGTAGCATACCTTTCCTTTACGTCTCTCAACAATGGTGACTCCAACACCTTGTCCCAATCTTCATTCAGAATGTTTTCCAAAGTAGCAACGCCCACTCCAACAAGGGCCTTAGTCTCCTCCTCGTTCGACCATCTAACTCTAGTAGGCCAGAACGCAACATGAACTGCCCAGTGCACTACTACTCGTGTCAGCCACGACCTACCAAGCGTCTCTGTCTGCTCCCGAGCTGTAATATAGGCGTTCAGGAATGCACTAAGTAAGCCCCTACCGCCACGAAAGCGATCAAGAAGGAACGATTCGGCAGCGAACTGACCAACATCGGTTGCACTGGTACCGCGGCGCACCAGCTCCCAATCCACAATCGTAAGCTCGACTGGCTCTTGTTCAATGTTCCGCACGAGAACATTGCCAGGCCAAAAGTCGCCGTGACAGATACATTCATCATCTACCGCGACTAAACTTCCGAATCTTTCGTTGATAACGTGAGCCAACTGAGAGTCGTAACCAGATTGTGTAAGGGCGATGTGCAGGCCGTTGTACGGATACCGATAAATATCAACCGCAATAGGGTTATTGTCGATGCCTCGGGCTTGATCCGGTGAAGCGAGCGAGAGATTTCTTGCGGATAGATGCAGTGCAACGAGCCATCTTCCAATCTGTTCTGCAATGTATGGCATATCAAGTTCCGGGTCTGTATAAGCGTCCTTTAGATTGCGACTACCCCCATCTTCGAGTTCAAGCAGCTTGTTGGTCTCGTCGTAGTTCAACAGCCGTACCGTGTGTACGTTCGATCCGGGAAGAGTTGCGATCAAAGGGCTCTCGGAGGAAGATAGAGCCTGCAAGATTCGCGCTTCGTAGTTCATACGCTTAGGGTCGAATGCAAAGTCTTTGTTGCTATGCAAATAAGGTTCTGCGTGTTTCAAGATGTGTGTCGAGCCATCATGGTTTATAACACGGTAGACATAGTTGGCACTGCCTCCTGAGAGTAATTGTACGCTGATAGGTGTGGACTGATGTGCTTCGAGGTATTCTCTGACCCCGTTCTCGTTGGTAAGTTCGTGTAAAGACATGCCGGTAGAGGACTCTTGGGGACAAGCCTACTACATCGCCTTTTGTAAATAATTGCTGCATCGTGACTTCCTCTCCTGACTCATGACAGAGATGCTGATCGGTGAAGCTGTACGCAGTAGTGACATGATTCTAAATGAGTCATTTGCCAAGAGCTGAGCAGTGAGGGAAAACCGAGGCGCTGCCATTGGGGGTGGACAGTATTGGTGCTCTCACATTAGACCGAAAGCGGAATAGCATCTGCTTGCGTTCGCCCCTACTCCCTTAGCATCGATTCTGCCCCGCTCCACACAATACATCTATCACACCTAGCTCCATTAATGCTATATGAACGCATACAGAAGATTTTCAGTATTCTTGTCTTTGGCAAAATAGATCGCAATTTTGACCAAACTTCCGGCTGGTAGCCCTTCGCTGCGTTTTACTCGGTTATGCGTTATCTACCACCGACCGACATCCACTTAACGCGAATCCGCTTCTATAATCGCAATGAATACGCTGTATCCCACGCGACTATCGGACACTGAAATCCGCCTCTTGCATATACTACCCTCTGAGTCTCCGGAGTCACCAGTATCGTGTGAGCTTCGGCAGTACGAGACTGACGACCTTCCCGCATATGAAGCGCTCTCTTACTGTTGGGGCGACTCAGCTGAACGGCGTGAGATAGTTTGTAATGGCGCAACACACTGGGTCACGACGAACCTGCGGGATGCGCTCGTTAGGTTGCGACTAACAAATGAAGCACGGATTGTCTGGGCAGACGCACTGTGCATTGCGCAGTCTGATGAAGAAGAAAAGAGCTCTCAGGTACGCTGCATGGGTTCGATCTTTCATTGCGCCAAACGCGTCGTTGTCTGGCTGGGTCACATCGAAACGGAGTATGCTTTGGATATCAAGCGTGTTTTCGATTCTCTGATATGCGTCAAAGCCTTCAAAGGTGATCCCGAGCACCACTTTTCTGATTGGCGTATCCCGGATGTAGCTGCAGTCTTCGGCGGATCGCTACCATGGAATGCGCTAAATCATTTCTTCAACACCCCTTGGTTTCGGCGCATATGGTGTATACAAGAGATTAGGTTAGCTTCTGATTCAATGTTCTATTGGGGAACTGAGGAACTTTCGAGGTACGTTCCCGTGCGCTTAGCCGGATGGACGGTGGACCGTTGCCAAGACGAGATACAGCACTCACCACACGCAATCTTCGAACAGTACGCTTGGCATATGAATGGTCCATTCCGTGAAGACAAATGCAGCCTTCTTTCAGCTCTGAGAACCTACAGGAAATGGGAAGCTACAGATCCTCGAGATAAGATCTATGGCATTCTTGGTCTGATGGAACTCGGTGAGGAAAGACATATCATCAGAATCAATTATGATAAGTCAACCCAGGATGTTTACCATGATTTGGCCACTGCAGTCATAGGATGGACTGGCGATCTTGCCCTCTTTGCCCATGTACATCATGATGCGCACTACGACGGTGACCCCAGATACAGATCTTGGATCCCTCAATGGGATCAGACGGTACATGTGCCGATCTTTCCAATAGGAAGTCTTTTGTCTCCCTCTGTTTTACCAAACGGGACATATAATACGATATCTCCGCCCGCTGGCACTACACAGCCTTATGACCGACCAATAATGGTATCCGGGTTGGCCCATCAAACAGTCTCGTATACAGGACCGCCGATAAATGGGTCCCTTGGCGACATCCTGCCAACATATCCACATGAGAGGATAACTTTCAAAAGCTATCCGCAACGGATTGTTCTAGAGTACTGGAGCGAGAAGGTGTCTACGGGGTCACCTTTAGGCCATGATCTGAGCCCCGTAATGTTGTCAATGGCACGGACATTGACCACAGGAGTGGTACTTCAAGATGATACGTTGTATGAGTGCGCAACTGAAGACGAGATAGCAGCATATTCTCAAAGCTTTTTAGCTTATATTCGCCTCCTGCACTTGATCGCGGACCACGAGAGTGGAGGTGGCTTAACGACACAACATTTGAGCGAGTATGAGGATGGGTGGAAGCTGTTTGAGGATATTATGAGTCATCATTGCTTTCGACGAAAGTTCTTTCGTACCAAGAATGGCTCCCTCGGCCTTGGACCAGCTTGTGTGAGAGAGAACGACATTATTGTAGTCCTGGAAGGGGCATATAATCCTTGTGCGCTGCGGCCAAAGGGCGACACCTACCTACTATTAGGCGATGTGTACATGGATGATATTAGGCACGGAGAGCTCATCAAAGAGATTGAAGAAGGGCGCAAGGAACGTCAGTATTTCTGCCTCAACTAAGGTATTGCGGAAAGGAAGTACCGCAGATACTGGTTCGGTATTGTCACTTTATAGACAGCTGTTTTGGTTAATCAATACCTGAATTCACCACCCTCGACGCCATTCCTCCCGCCAATGTCCAACTCCAACAGGCGCGTCTTAACCCTCCGTGCGACAGCTTTTCCAAAAGCGTCGACATCATTGTAGTTAGGCATCTCCCCGCTCATCGAAAGGTCTGCTTTACCCCACGGTACATCCCTCGTTTCTTTACAAGCATCCTTCATCTGTTTGAAAATTTGGTCGTCAAATCCTCCGCCTACAACAACTGCAGCTGGCCGCTTGGCATAGTTCTGAGACCCGAGATTGGATTGAGAGTTTGGCGGTACAGTGAACGGAGAGGCTAGAAGAAGTGGAAGATCACTTGTGCCAGCAGTTGGAGAGGAGATTATGTGGATTACTTCGTGACGTTAGTCCTTGTAGTAGGAAGATGCAAAGATGGTGACAAGAAAAGGCATACCGTCGTACTCAGGCTTGAGATTTTGCCGAACTGCCTGTGCGAGTGGAGGATTTCTACCGCACAAGACGATGGGAATTGCAGACATGTTAGACGCAGAGGTAGAATGCGGTCGTGTTTGGAGGATGTCCGATGCTATCGAGATCGAAGGGAGCTGTTGTGGAAAGTTTTGTAGGATATTTCTGAATATTGGCCAGTTCAAGCTGAAGATTCAAGCGAATTGCATCCTCATCTTGTTCTTATATTGCACTTCAACATTGTCGTCTATGAGTCCGAAACGGCTTAGCGTGTCTCTAGAGTGGGTCTGAGCATACCATAAGGCGCCCTGGTATCCATACACTAACGAGGAATAGGATTGGCTTCGGACTATGCGAGTGAGCGAGGTTACTCAGCTGAAAGCGAGCATCCGACGAAAGAAACGGCTAGATCGATAGTTAGGAGTGTCAAGACGCCAAAGGCGTTCGCGCCTGGAAGTATGGTGGGTGGTAAGAAGACGATTTTGGCAACCATTAAGATTGCGTCGCGTGTCTTCTATTAATTACATTAACCATACTACAATGACTACACCGTGTCCCCATGAATTTCCAGTACTATCGCAATACTCAGTGCTTGCGCAAATACAAGACCACCCATCCAAACAACCTGTACACGGCAACGATGACCAGAAGATACCCCACATACTTCCCTGTGTTCCCCGTTCCAAACCCATATACGCCTAACACTGCTTTTCCATCCACCAAGCACTGATCCTGCAACTCACTCGGATACATGCACTGGCACCCACCTCCCTCTAGCCTCTCACAAGCATAACTCCTCTTTCCAAACTCATTGACCATCATCCCACGGAATACATACGCCTGGTAATCAATGTAATGGAAGACGTACCTCCAAAAGACATTCAGCGTATCGGGCTGCACCATGAACCCATTCACGCACATCCAAAGCCCATTCGCAAACGCCGTCGCCGCAAGCGCCACAACGAAAATAGGAATGAGGCTCGAGAGCAACACAACCAAAGACTCTGCAGCCAGCAGGTCCAGAAACAGCCAAAGTACCCACATCCAAAATCCCTCTGCACTCGGTCGGAACCCCCCTAGCCAATAACTCACCACGCTAAACAGCACGGTGATGAGGAAGAGGTACGGGATGCCCACGATAAAATTAGCTAGCATGAACGCTGTAGGTCCATAAAGCCCATTCGCGCGTTCTTTGGAGTAGATAGCGAGATCTTCGAGGTACGCGGGGATGTAAGCGACGGCCATGAAGGACATGAAGGCGCCACCGAAGAAAATAGCGTTGGTAAAGGCTTGGATGTTGGATTGGGTGGGAGAAAGTCGCAGCCAGACTGTGCCCATCATGATGGCTAGGCCGAGGTACATGGCTATTCGGATGCCGTACGCGACGATGTCGCGGTGGGATTTGATGAAAGAGCGGTGGACCAGGGGTAAGAGAGTTGAGAGAGCAGACACGCGTGTGCTGGAAGAAGTGGGCGGAGGGGATTGGAGGGAACTGGACGGCATTTTGGCGGCGACGCGGAGGTTTGCGGACAGTGTTGCTGCTGCGGGGGACGTAGCCCAGGAAGTATGGAGATGGGAAAGGCGTTGCGATGCGGCGGTGTCGTCTTGGGAGAAATCCGTGTTGATCAGGTCGATAACAAACTCGGCTGGATTAGTGTACAACGGCATCTGTTGACAATCATATTAGTTGTCGTCGTCTTCGCAACACAGTAGGATGTAAACTTACCTCATATCCCAGCCCCTCGAACCACTCCTTGACTCCCTCAACCTCGCCATTGTAAACGCACTTCCCCCGGCTCAACAACATCAGCTTATCGAACAACCCAAAGGTCGCAGTACTCGGCTGATGAATGGACGCTATCACTAGGATATTATACTTCTTTGCGATGCCCTGAACAAACTTGATGACTTCGTAGCTAGCCGCAGAGTCGAGTCCACTTGTCGGTTCGTCGAGAAAGAGTATCTTTGGGGACGTGATCAGTTGACTGGCGACGCTGACACGTCTTTTCTGACCGCCAGACACACCCTTGCGGATCGGCGTCCCGATCAGAGTATCGGCTTGGGCGGTGAGACCGAAGGAGGACAAGAGAGACGTTATAAGGGCTTTGCGAGAGGAGGCTGCTACGGAACTTGGGAGTGCGAGTTGAGCGGCGAAGTAGAGTGTTTCGCGGACGGTAAGGGAGCCGATCAGAGCGTCTTCCTGCTCGACGTAAGAACTCAATTTGCGAAATGACGATAGTGCTGTTGGGTCGCCATTGATGCGAAGGGTTTGTTGAATGGTGGCTTTAGGTATCGCGGCGCGGTGGGCAAGGATGTTGAGGAGGGTAGTTTTTCCAGAGCCACTGACGTTGCTACGTTAGATGTCTGTCCATAGTCTGGGTGAGGATGATCTGAACGTACCTGGGACCCATCAGGGCCATCATCTCGCCTGCTTCAATCATGCCGCTAACGTTGGAAAGAAGATCAATTGGCTCTTTCGATACCCTGTCTTTGACTGTGACCGTGACATCTTCCCAACTGAAGCTCTTCACTTCGCCATTGCTTAGATGCGCATAGTCTGAGCCTGCATCGCCTTTCTCAACGTCTTTTGTGGTACTAGATGATGACATGACTGAGAGATCAAGTCTAAGCAGTGTGCTTCGTGTAGTTCACTACACGATCAAAGTAATCTGACTGGAAAAGAGTGGGCAAGAACAGCGGTATATACTAAACGATGTAGAAGAAAAGGATTGGTGTAGTAGAGGGGTAGGAATGAAACTGAAATCTACACTTTTCGATGAACTATCTGTCCAAGAAGCGATTGAATGCGAGATGGAGTGGAAGATGTCAAGACTATGTAAAGACAGCTCCTAGATAGGAGCAAATGTATGGGGGCCAAAAGCTCTATGAAACCCGCAAACCCACCTCCATCTCCTTCCCAAGCAGTCAGACATACGTGAACGCCGATGGTCTGCAGCACCAAGAAGTCCCCGACGGTCCGATATTACTGTCATCGGCGAGAAGTCACCGGAAGGGGTGGCCTTATTCACAAAGCCAGGCTGTTAAGATCCTATGCAGAGATCATCATAACCTACGAAGCCAAGGTTCACAGATCAGTAAGCATCTCAGATCAACCAATCGTTTGTGTAATCATGTTCAGCCCACGGTACCGGTATGGTGGTTTGGCAATGTGTTGTTGCGCTTGGCACAGAGCGGCTGGAGGGTGACATGCAGCTTACTTCCCCGTTATTGGTTTCTGGAACACGCCTGGAGAACAACGTCCGTGTAAAATTACCAGACACCGGTTCTCGGGGTCTTCATAAGAACAATGTTTTGAAGGGTAGTATAGTATCGCGCCCACTTCTATTCGAATCTGGTTAGTGCAGCCCAGAAGCCCGGCGTTCCAAGTCCTGAGACGTGGCGATTCGGAACAAGTAGCGGTGGGAGATCTCGAAAGTGCTCGTCATGTCATATCGAATCAGCGAATATGTTGTCTCGGGGTGTGCAGCTGAAGCCCTATCCCGCGAGCTAGCTGGGTGGCTTGCATCTCCACCCCTGTCATCTCGGCGACGTTGTGGAGTGCACGGACGCCACCTGGTGCGACGTCGCCGACTGCATTTAAGGCTGAAGATGCACGTTGCAGCTACACAAAAAGTCAGCACATGGGAGGCGCCTTTGGCGGCTGATGTAAAACGCATTTCCATTTCGTTAAACACAAGGATAATATAATACTATGACTCCGCCTTTGTTCTTTCACAAACGGTCGCTACTATCCAGCTGGAGTACTGAGAAGACGAGAACCAACGCAATTCTAATACATGAACTCACTGATCTCGAGTAATTGCGCATCCAACGCCCTCTTCGCTTGCACACTAGCCTCCCTATTCTGATCATTAAGCCTTTCTTCATAGATCATCTGCAACAATTTCTTGACCTCCTGCTCCCCAAACACGTCACCCGGCACACCAAAGCCCTTACCATGCTCTTTCGCTCGCGCGACAATCGCATCTGGGCCTGCGGTGAAGAGGTCGAAGAACAGGGCTGCATAAGGTAAGGTAGCGCCGTCTTCGATGTTCTTGAGATTCTGCTGGAGGACCAGGATGTTGAGTTGCATCAATGCACACCCGTTGGTATTCATGCGTGTTATCTTGGAGGTGCAGAGGTTGAGGAGGTAGGTGTCCATTAGGGTTGCTAGACCACGTGTTATGTGCATGTAAGACGCGACCGGGATGTATGTTGATACTTCGGTATCGAAGGAGACGAGTGTGGCGTTCAGGGCGAGGATGGCGGGGTCGGGGTCGCTGAGTAGAGTATCTATGTAGACATTGGGTTGTGTGCTCGCGTTTAGTGAGTGTAGGATGGTCGAACGGATTGATAAGTGCAGCGTCCGTAAGACACGCGTGCTGAGAGCATGATAGGTTTGTACTACTGCGTCAAATATACTGTATGTTGGTCAGTAAAGGGGGGTTCCTGCAAGCCTCAAGAATACTTACGCAGCTGTGTCTGCACTCAATGGGAGATACACCTGAGCGCTCTGTGGCCTGGGGTCGGCCGAGGAAAGCTGAGTCCAGCGTCTGTTGTGCCTCTGGCCATTTGACTCCGCAGTAATCGGGTCAGACGCACGATCACTGATATGTCGTAGTTGCGCCGTCTTGGTAGCTAGCCACTTCATACTTGTGTACAGCAAACATAGGCTGACAATACTCTTCTTATCCTGAATCATATCCGCCTGATCCAGGGGCTCATCAGCTTCTACTGCTTCGATCAGAAGATCAACCTCGTTCTCAATGGCTTTGTTCAACTCCTCGTAATCTGATGGGTCTGTTCGCACGAGGCGGGCAATAAGCTCTTCCATTGCTTCAGACTCCGCCCACACGGCAGGAGCCTTCATAAGACGACCGCTTGCCGTAGGCTGCGATCGACTAACAAGAGCCTTGTACCAGCCACTACATTTTTGGGCGTATGTGTCCATTTGGTTGACGATGAGTTGGGAGAAAGCTTGATCGTGGGGAAGGTTGTCCAACATCTTGCAGAAAGCAGTAATAAGGGTAAAGAATTGTGCAGTTCCCTGGTCAAATCAGTATATGATGCACACACCATCAGTGCATGACGTACCTTGAAGATGGGCTTCTTGGAATGTCTCGACCAGTGAGGGTCCTCGTTGAATGAGTCGATCTCGATGAAGGTTTGAGAACATAACTCGATAAGGGTCTCATCCAGCTGTGGGTGGAAGACATTGACCAAGAAATCGTCTAGGAAAGAAGTCAAAGTACTCATGCTGATATCAGCATTTGAAGGCACAACCTCCTTTAATCGGTTCAAGAAGTCTAGCGATGGCGGTAACAGAATGCCCATGTTGAAGACACTGGGCTCAACCAAAAGTTTGTGTCCGGTCGCACTGCCATCAAGATTGGTAGTTGTGTTAGTGTTGACATCCTCTGGTCTCTTTGAGTCGGACACGAGTCCAGGCACGGATGTCTTGAGAATGATTTCTAGGTCTTCTCGTTCTTTGGAGAGCTCTGTCGCCTTCGTATCCACGTCGGACAGCTTGAACATGCGCTTATTCCGGTCTCGAGGAGCGCGCGAGAACGCGCTGCTAGTGGACGCCTGACCTTGACCGCCTCTATAAGATGCTTCACCGTCTGTAGCAAGATAGTCGTGGAGAAGTGATCGCATCTCACTTTGGTACAACTTCCACAATTCCTTGAAACCGCGTGTCAATGTTGCGCTTGATGCAGCTCGGTTTTCTCGTCGAACGATACCAGCCACAACGTCATGCACGACTCGGTGACTTTCTGCAATCGCTTCGAAACGGGCATATAGAGTCCACATCAAATCGTTCAGAAGGGTCGTCCGGACATCCTCATTTTCTACTTCAGTCTTTGCTTTGCCCTTCTTTTTAGCCGAGTAGGCTCGTAGTATGCTCGGGTGTCGTTGGGCGACTTCATTGTTGGACTTGTCCACAACTTTGAAGAGTTCGACTGGCAACCGCTGTTCAATTGTGTCTACTGCCATGTCTAGACGACTCATCTTGTTCAGCGCCTCTATGACTAGTCGTATGTACTGGAATGTGTCTGTTTCAGGATTATGGGTGGAATCGTCCGTCATCTGAAAACGTTAGTAGGATACATGGTAGAGTTGGGCACACATACCGGTTCTGAAGTATCGAGACCGTCTAGGAAATAGTAGAGCAGGCGGCCTCTTGCGTCAGTCTGAGCGCGCTGAGACAGATCGCCCTTGACCTGGTTCTGAGCATACTCCTTCCATCTGTCTTCGCAGTAAGGCGATTTGAGGTAGAGATGGCTGTGAAGTTCTTCGATCAATATGTCGGTCAAAGATACTTCTTGGTTGCTAAGATATGTGCGCAAGTCAGACAGGGCTCCGATCTTCTCCATTTCAGTCTTTCGTATCATTCGTAGAGCATCCTGTAGAATATCTACAGCTGTGAGAAAACGCTTCTCTGATATGCGAGCTTCCAATCTCTCGGGGACGAGTTGGAGTTTCTCAATGGTATCGAGCATTTGTAACATCTCATCATAATTCTGGGAGGTCGTAGCGAACTCTTTAAGTTCTGGCTTGGCCGTGGAGAGTTGTGACTTGGCCGCAACAAGTGAACCTTTAAGACTTCTGACACGGTGTTGGGAACTCTGGAGACTGGACTGGATCTGATGGAAGGTACCAATGGAGCTGTTGAATCCCTGATGGTGTTCGTTGACGATGCCTTTCAGAGCGTTCTGCAGCTGATCGTGTGTTTGCTGGAACTGACCAGCCTGATTTGCCAGGCCGAGCGAACTCGAATCCATGAGCTTCAGGGCGACTTCGATAGGGACGCATTGGTCCTTGGTCATGAACTCCCAGTTTTGTTGTATGTATTGGAGAACCTCCTCGATCGCCTGGCTGCCTTGTCCATTGTTTGCGTTCCTGGGCCGGCTCCCGTTCTGTCGCTCTCCGCTACGGCGTTTCGCTGGGCTGCGTTCAATGCTGGTAGGCCGTGTGACTTGACGAGGGCTCTCGTCACGCCCTGAAAAGCCGCCTGCACCATAGCCCCCAGGCCGGCGCTCGCGGTCGGCGCTGGGTCTTCTTTCCATGTCATCTTCCTGAGCAAGGCCGCCATAGCCACCAGGTCGTCGGGGACGTTCGCGCTCGTTGCTCGGTCGTGGTGCATAGTCGTCCTGCTGCGCGCTCATGCCACCGTATCCGCCCGGTCTTCGTGGTCGCTCACCACTCGGTCGGTCTTCGTAGCTGCCGTCGCCGCCCGCGTATCCATTATATCCTCCGCCCGCGTAGTTGCCGTTGCCATTGGCATAGCCTCCATTGGCTCCCGCCCGCGAGTAGCCTGGATTGCGCGACATGGTGCACTCAGATGTCGCGCAGTGTTGTGTTCCTTGTGTTCCTTGTCCTTACATTCATGGCGCGCAATAGTGAGGTTTGCGCGTCATCGAGTATCTATGTGGTGCATGTGTACTGTTGCGGGGAGCTCGGGGGTGTTGGAGTAGCAGGGATCACAGAAGTCGCGAATGTCAATGCAATGGAAAGGGAAGGACCGAAGATGCACTGGACGACACAACGTGAGGTGCGCAGGCGATTATTATATCAAAGGCCTCTCACATGATGCATGACATGGTATGATGTAGTCTACTTGTACAGCTGAATTCTACAGAGAAAGCGTTTCCACGGTTGCTGCCGTCAAGCATCAACGTCGCGCCAAGGCTCCCATTCCGCACGTTTCGCCGTTCCGCGCTCCCTAGAAGCTGTCACTCGCGATTCTTTATCCAACCACCAACGCAGGCACGAATCAGCCTCGCGCCTTTACCTCTTCACGCCTTCCCCCCTGCTATGTCGCGCTGATCCCGTCTCCACCCCCGAATCAATCGCGAAACCATCTCCCCCGACCGCGACTTGTCCGCAAACATGGCTGCAGTTTACGCTAATGGCGCGAATGGCGTGAACGGCGCTGGCAGCATGTTCCCACCACCACGATACTCGGATGTGCCCAGCTCCATCACCATCTCTGTCGCCGATGATGAGGGAGGCCAGCTCGATGTTGAAATCCCCTTGGACGAGCAGATCCAGGACGACCCAACCGAGCTATGCGACATTTTGGAGGCTGAGAAGAGCGCGACACCGACGTGGGTCCAGGTCGCCGTCGCCTATGCGAAGCGCAAGAGGATAGAGACGGCCATAGATGTGCTGAAACAGGCCACTCAGGTCTTCAATCGCGCGCGCGGCGAGGACAGGCTCAGCATCCTCAACGGTCTCTGCTGGCTGTACCTGCTCAAATGTCGCGAAGCACCGCGCGTCAGGCCTCGTAAGCCATCATATCATGTCCACGTACGTTCTCATGGCTGACACATACTAGAAAACGCAGATGGAGATGTCAAACTGAAGGAGTACTGGATCCAGTCGGCTACTGGCGTACTCAATGATGCCTCCCGTATCAGCCCCTCGCATCCCCCGCTGTTCCTCGCCCGTGGTGTCTTATACCTCCTCAAGGCTTCGCTCCAGGGCCCTGCGACTGCTGCCGGCTCTACAGTCAGCCCTGAGCGCATGGAGACGCTGAAACAGGCTGCAAAATGCTTCGAAGACGCGCTGAGAGCATCCAACGGAAGGAACCTCATGGCCAAGATGGGAAAGGCCCGTGTTCACTACTCCATGGGCAAGTGGGCAGACGCTCTGAAGGGATACCAGAACATCCTCGAGAGTTCTCCCGACCTCCTCGATCCAGATCCGCGCATCGGTATCGGTTGCTGTTTCTGGCAACTTGGTCACAAGGACGAAGCTGCCAACGCCTGGCAGAGATCTCTCGAGCTGAATCCAAAATCCAAGATTGCCTTGATTTTGATGGGTATCTACAACTTTCAGCAGACTGCCAACCTGTCCACGTCCGATCCCAAGTTCGCCGCATTGATCAAGAAAGCAACGGGTGAATACATCCAGCCCGCACTGAAGATCGACAATCAGTACCCCTTGAGTTGTGCCACGGTTGGTAGCTATCTTGCTCTGAGGAGGGACCTTGCCAAAACCGAAGACGTTGCGAAGCGTGCTATCGAGCTTACCGACACCAATGCCATAGCTAGCGATGGTTGGTACCTACGAGCCAAGGTTGCGCATCAACAAGAGAACACTTCGCTTGCCGCGGAATACTATCAGAAGTCTGACCAGGCTCGAGGAGGCGAGGAGCGAGGTTTCGTACCAGCCAAGTTCGGGCTGGCTCAGATGAACGTCTTGATGAACAACTACGACGGCGCCAAATTCCGTCTCGAGAAGATTCTCCAGCAATCGCCCAATGTGGAAGCGCAGACCCTCCTTGGTACCTTGTTTGCTGAGGACGTTTTTACCGCTCAGAACAACAAATCCACTGAAGACAAATCTGCAGAGTTGAAGAAGGCACTAAAATATCTCGAGAGCGTACAGAGCGCGTGGAAGGACCCCAAGAAGAAGGTCACTCCTGACCAGTCGGTACTGCTCAACCTGGCCAGGCTCTATGAGACGGAACACCCTGAAAAGAGCCTGAAGTGTCTTGAGGAGGTAGAGCAGATGGAGATCGAGGCCATTCCAGAGGAAGACTACCCAGAAGGAGTCGGAGAGGGCGCCGAACTCACAGCAGCACTTCGCCAACTCCTACCACCACAACTACTCAACAACATGGGATGTTTCCACTTCCAGGCCGAACGCTACGTACGTGCTCAGGAGCTTTTCCAGGTAGCCCTCAACGCCTGTGTTAACGCAGAGAACCGCGACGATACGATCGATACAGACGCACTTGTGACCTCTATCAGCTTCAACTTAGCCCGAACTTATGAAGCTGAGGGCCAAGCGGAGGAAGCTAAGAAGGTGTACAACAGTCTGCTGCAACGACACCCCGATTACGTCGACGCGCGCATTCGTCTGACCTACATTGCGCTAAGGGAGAACCCACAAGATGAGGGCCCCAGAGCGATGAAGGATCTCTTCAAAGAGAACGAGGACAATGTCGAGGTGCGCGCCTTGTACGGATGGTACGTCAACAAATCCAAGAAGAGGACGTCCAACTTCGCAGCGGATGACGAGCAGCGGCTCTACAAACACACTCTGCAGAAGTCTGATAAACATGACCGCTACTCGCTCATGGGCATGGGGAACATCCATCTCGCCATCGCGCGTGAGATGCCTCGAAGTTCAGAACAGGATAAAGAGAAGCGACGAAAGGGCTACGAGCGAGCAGTGGAGTTCTTCGACAAGGTGCTGCAACTCGACCCCAAGAACGCGTACGCTGCTCAGGGTATCGCAATCGCACTGGTAGAAGATAAGAAGGATTACTCGACAGCCTTGCAAATCTTCACCAAGGTGAGGGAGACGCTCAAGGACCACAGTGTCTTTGTCAACTTGGGTCACACATACTGTGAGATTAGGCAGTACGCGCGAGCCATCGAAAACGTATGCTTACCCTACTTCCCCCTGATATGTCATGCTAACACATCCTAGTACGAAGCAGCCTTATCCAGGAACAGGCATAACGACCCAAAGATTTTGGCTTGTCTAGGACGAACTTGGTATCTCCGAGCGAAACACGAACGAAGCCTCGCCGGATACCGAACAGCCCTCGACTACTCAAAACAAGCCCTCAAGGCCGCTCCTGCGGACCTCAACTCCCAGTTCAATGTCGCCTTTGTCCAGTTTCAGATTGCTTCACAGGTTCACCAGCTCAAAGAGACGCAGCGCACGCTTGAGGAAGTCGATGAGGCTGCAACAGGTCTGACTGAGGCAATCGAAGCACTTGACAAGCTCGCTAAGGAGGAGACGCCACCTTTCCCACGTGCAGACATTACCTCTCGTGCAAACATGGGTCGTAACACCATCGCAAAGCAGCTTGAGCGTGATCGCGAGCAGCAAGCAATATACGAGGGGGAGAACGCGACCAAGCTCGACCAAGCGCGCCGTATTCGCGAAGCTGAAGTACGTCGCCGTGAGGAAGAAAAGGCACGCGCGGAGGCAGAGGCTTTGGAGAAGAAGCGCAAGTACGCCGAAGAGCAACAGCGCCTACTCCAGCGTGACCGCGAGCTCATGGAGAAACGCAATGAAGAAGAGCGTAGACGCATGGAAGAGGATGAGGACAAGGAAGTCCGCAAGGCAGAGCGGAAAGCGCGCGGTCCCAAGGGCCCGAAGCGGAAGAAGAAGAACGCTGACTCTGATACCGACGATGGTCTGCCTTCTGACGACGATGAACCGCGTTCAAGGCGCAGGAGGACTACGGCTAGCGGCACCGAGGATCTATCCGACGAAGAGCGACCCCGTGAGAAGAAGAAGAGGAAGCTGGCTCGTAAGAGCGAACCTGCCGGTAAATACAAGTCGGCAGAGTTCATCGATGATGATAGCGACGAAGAGCCTGCCGGGCCTGCCGACGATGCTAACGCGGCGGGGGGCAGTGACGATGAAGGTGCTGCTGCAGCTGCAGCTCCTCGTCCCCGCAAAGCCCGCGTCGTCGACGACGAAGACGAAGATGACGACGCTGTCGCTGCACCGAAGGCGAATGGCGACGTTGCCATGGATGATGACGAAGACGAGTAAAGTCGTCTCATGTCAACTCATGGTCAAGTCTCATAGCTTTGGAGCTGAAGGAAGGCTCGCATTCGGCGTTTGAAATATCTTGTCTAATCTTCTGCACTGTTATAGTTTTCCATCTCACATTCTTGCATCAGCGCTACGGCGTCTTGGGGACGGAACATGAATCATCATCAGCTCGTCTATTCTATAGCACCACTAAAATTTGTATACCACACGCACGGGGGCGGAATAGAGTAGTAAGCCAAGTAAATGTACAATAGAGCTTTCTTCGAAATTTTCTACTTTTGACTTGAAACGACTGCTTGTGATGCAAAACGTAGTAGTAATCTGTTCAAAGCGCCCATTCATCCTTGTCGTCTGTCGCGCTGATAAAAGGCTCGTTGACGAGTTTAACAGCAAGTTCACCGCACAACACACTATTCACGTTAGCAACCTGATCTCAAAAGACACATCAAAAAGGACTTACCAACTACTCCCAACCAAGGCATCCAACTCCCTAATCGCCCTCTCCCTGCCCTTGCCCACCTTGACCCCTCTCTGCACCTCAGCCTGCAACTCTGCAATCCTCTTCCCCCTCGCAATACCCGCAAGCTCCACCACCCTCTTAGCCAGACAATCACTATGAAAAGCATGTTGGCAGGGAAACACAAAGAACTGGCGAGCCAACAAGGGTAAACCACAGACGTAGCATCGCTCCCCCGGTTCCACAATAGCATATCGTTGCTCCAGGGCTTTGATATCGGATTTGATGTGTGTGGCCGTCGCTTCACTATCGTCCATTTCCTGTTTCAGGCTATCGATCTTGTGACTGTAGTCCTCTAGCGCAGCGCAAATCTCCTCTTTGAAGTCGTCGATGACGACGAAATCGGGGAAGAAGGGAATCAGGTCTTCTATCCTGAGTAGGTCGACTCTTCTCAAGAACTCGATAGCCGTCTTGATGCCGCTGGATTGCGAAATCACCTTCTTGGCAATGGCGAGCCAGAGCTTCTTGCGCAGAGGGGGGGATGTGTTGGACCGGTCGGCAACGGTGGACGCGAGGTCTACTTCATCGTACTTCAGGGCGAGGTCGACGGCTTGCACGTATTGTTGCATGGAGCTGTAGATGTGGACACATGATTGGACACGTTTGTGTTGGATACAGAGGCGAAGGGCAAAGTCTGCGTCGTAGTTCTGTTCGTGGGCGAGAGATTGGCCTTCGAGGTAGGCGAGGAGGGCGGATTCGTCGGGGGTCGGGTGCGAGGCGTAGATAGAGATGAGAGTGTTGTGGATGGCCGCGTCGGTAGAGTTGTGTTGGTTGATTTCGAAGAGGAGGTAGCGGACTGCTTGATTTTGGGCAAGTGAGGCTTTCGTGTGGTTGTTGTAGTTGAGGAAAGCTGGGATGAGCTTTTGGGCGTCGAAAGTCGAATGGCGCATCATGATGTCAACCAGCTCGACGGGCACATGTGCCATCAGAACGGAACTGTATTTGTAGAAGATCTCTGGATCTGTCTGTTTTTTGAGGACGTCCAAAGACTCCTGCCATCGCTCGCGCTGCACCCAGTACGACAAGACGTAGTTATAGTCATTGACCACAGTAGCGAAGTACAGCAGTTCTTCCTCGCGACCGTGGCTGCTGATGATCTCATAGACGGTCTTGCGATCCAGATCAGCCTTGTATTTCGATACAAAGTCCTGGTACTCTTTACGGATGACCGACAATTGATCATGGGTTTCGGCAGTGTTCATACTCTCTGACAGCTCCGCCTTTGTGGTGATAGTGTCGTCGAGAGTGTTGAGCTTAGCCATATAGAGCTCAATTAGCCAGGTAGCGACCATGGTCCTCTGCATAATCGACGACTTCTTGAGTGTGGAGAGCTTCGTAACCAAGTACTTCCTCAGAGCGTCTTGCTCACCATTATCGATGAACGTCAATGCAACCTGCTCAAAGGGTTTCGTGCTTCGGCCGTAGACTGTCGCAGCCTCCATCCATTGGCTCTTGCCAACGAGGTAGTCACCAGATGCTGTTGCCACTGCATCCTTTTGAGCTGGCGTTTTGGCATACTGTGAAGCCGCCTCAAATTGTTGTGCTCTGAGCATGATCTTCCAGACATCCCTACTTTCATCAGTCACAACAATCTCAAAGATCTCCTGAGTCGTGAAGAGCCAGTAGGTATTCTTCTTCAAGTCCACCACCAGGCCAAGCGCACTTTGTCCGGGCTCCAGCACAACCTGATCGAGCACCACAGTATCGTCCAGACGGTTGATTGCTACGATTCTGCCTTCAACGAGCTGAAGAATATGCCACTGGCTCAATATCATCGAGCTGACTGCATCTTGTGTTCGCCGTGTTCGTCCGCTAGCGGTTTGTGAAGGTGGCACTTGGGATCTGGGCAGCATCTTCGCGTCTCCTAGAACTTTGCTGCCCAACTCAGAGGTATCTTGCGATAGATACAGCTTGCCGTGTAACACGCCTTGTGATGTAAGCCAACCAAAGATCCTCTCCGCGTTCGATTCCTCGCGATTTGGGTTCTCTTGGTTCTCTGGGGAGACAGAGAGCAGTGAAGTTGCTGTAGAGGCTACGTTCGACACCTCATGCACTGTCGCAGATTCGCTTTCGAACAATTTCGAGAATATAGATCCGCTGCCTTCGGATCCTTGACGTCCGACTTTGCCTGCGAAATGCAGGAAAGTCGAAGGTGTCGCTACTATGATACGCCGCAGATCTGTTCTTCCTGGCACCATATCCGTCCAGAGCCCCGTAATAGGACCATCGTTCGTCCTATATACGCTCTTCAGGTATCTCTCTTCCCTTCTGTAGAACTCGGAGGACGGCTCGATGTACACTTCGTAGACATTGCCGTCCGATGCTCCTACAAGTATTTCGCGCGTTGACGCTGTAGGTTGGGAGGGGTTCCACGATATGCTTTCAATGACAACACCTTTCAACCGTGATAGCGCCTTCGGTGTCCGTGATTGTGTATGGAGGTAGTAGTTCTCGGCGAGGGTAGTGGTTACGATGAGATGGGACGCGGAGGGGTCGAGGAAGAGTCGTCTAATGACGCCGATTTCTGACGGCTTCTTCGGTAGGTCGATATCTTGAATCAAGTAAGTAACTGTCCGTAATTTCTCTTCTTTGTGCGGCTTTGTACTACGAACCGTCTATATCAGCGGGACTATCCAGGTCTATACGCAAGATGCGCCCTGTGGACAGGGCCAGTACCACCACATTGTTCGCTACGGCAGCGGCCACAAAGTCGGAGGAGATGTTGAACTGCAGAGTGACGCGCTCTATGTTGAACATAGGGCCCGACGCATCCTCTTGCATGTTGCTCGTGCTAGGCGGCGCATACCCGCTCGAGGTATCGTAAGCCATGGCGGGCTTGGTGTGCAGCTCTCAGCTATCGTAGGTTCGTACTCATTATTCGCGCGACGATTCACAGCCCCTGTACTCTTCCTCGCCGTGCTGCTGAGTTCCGCTACAGCTATGAGCGCATCTGGTTGTTGGTGACGCCTAAGCTTGGAGCTTGGACTTCGGCGATGGGGCGGAGATAAGCCGGGGTTGGCATGGCACCACGTGAGTTCGCGTCCTCGCTCTTCATTCACTTCTGCGACCCATTCATCCTCTTAGTAGTATAAAGCTCTGCAGAGCCTCATGATGCTCATCTCTAAGTTTGTTATTCAAGCATTCGGGTCTGTAATGAGGCACAGATAGCCAAAAGGCTAAAGGTCAACTCACCTAGGTGAGAGCTGCCGTACTATCGATGGGTTCACCGTGAGACCCATCTGCTTATCCTCGCTCACCATCCTTCTACGGATTAGGCTACTTGTTTTGATCTTTCGCGTGCTCCAGCTCTGGGTTTCTCCCTCCACTATCTCTTCCTCAGAAGCACACGCGCAGCCGATTCCGATACAGACTCACATATCATGTAGCATACACCCTCTATCAATTGCATATATACTGATACAGGCAGGGAGCTCGGCAGTGAGATGGTGCAAGTGATCGTGGGCGCCGACAAAAAGCCTTTCACGTTCCACGAGAAACTCATTCGCCAACACTCAGAATACTTCTCTCGCGTGTTTGGACCCAGTTTTAAGGAAGGCGAAGAAAACACACTGTATCTTGACGAGGCCGATGAGACTTCCTGTCTTCTCTTCCAATCTTGGATTTACCTACAAACTGCTCGCTCACTGCACCCTTTGCTTGCGGCTTTCGAGGAAAATCATGCAGAAATTCGGATGTGTGATGAAATGTCCTTTTACGGCGCCTATATCCAAGATTTGATTTCCAAAGACACCGAAGTTGCTCTCAGGCGTCATTTGATTGACCTCTACATTTTGGCCGACGCTTATGAGTGTAAAGCCCTACGAAACGACATCATGAGTGCTTTTATGCGTCTCGACAGACGATCATTTACTTATATGGGCTTCGACGTGGCTCCCTTGGTTTTTGAATCCGTTCCGTCTTCCTCTACGCTTTGTACGTACATCGTCAGATCAACAGCAGCACTCTGGCCCCTGTATCTGGCCATTGAGGAGCAGCGACGACTCCAAGGGAAGTACCGAGGAGACACGGACTTTGCAAGGGACATACGTGATCCTTGCAACTTTCACGAGCATGCTAAGGACGAAGAGATGTGGCCATGCGATTCGGTCAGGGCGAGAGGGCAATCTTACATTAATGCTCCTATCTCAGCATGTATGGAAGTCATTGATGCGCAGTCCCCGAACTGAAGGTTGATATCAAGGGTCGCTATCGAAGAGATTGATGGGCAGGATTTCTACCAACGAATGACCAGCAAGGTTTATGAGATGAAGGGAACTGCACATTTTCTGTACACCAAGTCGGGTGTCTTTTAAAAAATATGCACATCGATACGATCCAGCTTGGTAGCCGTCCAAAGAGAATGCTCTCATAATCATAGACTACCCTCAATTGGGTTCACCATCTCATCCAGCACCACGACGTCTAGAGATGACATCGGCGATCCTTTTATCTCGTTCTTCATCGCGTCTAGATCCCTAATCAATTTATCAGTACATAACTTCGCTCTCGTCAGCTTTACGATAGCTTACCCTGCCAAACACCGTTCGGAATTCTTCCTGGTTCAGTTCAAAGAGATACGTAATATCCGGAGGACATCCTATCCAAGGACAGTGTTTCTTATGAGTAACCATCCCCTGATACACCTGTATACCGCTGAAGCCCTCATCGCGCAAACTATAGACGTATGGTGCGACTAAAGCTAATAAGTATGGCAGATACCAGCACAAGATGCCGCTACCCCCAAGCTTGTAGTAATTCTCCTTGTCCATTTGGAAAACAATAGTACTATCCTTATTTGATATCGCAGACAAGTTTTCCAGGTCGGCCTCCATGGAATCAGTAGGGGCGATGTACGGCATAGGATTGAGAGCGATGCGGAGGTGGTGAACAACATCTGCAGGAACGATACCTCGGTGCCAGACATCCTTCGTAAGAAACTTCTGTAACAAGCAATCCTCGGCATCAAAATTGAAGCGACCAGTACGATACCAGTGCTCGGCTATCTCTTTCCCCACTACTTCACCTGTGTACTCGACGAACTTCCACACGTCGTTACGCATACCAGGATCTTCTGGCATGGGTAGGTGAGCATCAAAGAAAGGGTGGCCTAGTTTTCCAGTTTCATCGTTGAAGGTTTCATGCGCTTTCAGAACGTAATGTTGCTTGTGTGGGGTAACGATCTGGTCATAAACCATATCTCTTAGCTCACGAGGCAGAGCTGTATGGAGTGCAGAACAGAACGCAAGCTGAGATTGACGATCCCGCTCGTAGAACTCGAGTAGGCGTTTGTCTCGGGTTGTTCTGAGATGATTCGATTAGTCGTACGTCGCTGATATCAGTGTGCGTAGCTCACTTGGCCGGAAGATACCCGGCATCCGATGTCCGATGTGGATTTGTCCTTGCTACACTCAGTGACCTGCAAATACGTCTTGATTTTATATTGCATGACCTACATTTCGTGCTGCATTGAATGCGAATAATTAGAATGATCAGCCTTCATCGTGGACGAGCAAAAAACGGAAGAAGCTAGCTGCGTGAAGTTTGAGTTCTATACTTGAACTTAAGACGTTGAGAAAAGCGTATATGCTATTATGAGTATTCATGGATTCGATTGCTTCTATACAAGAAAGCCAGGAGAATGATTACGACGGAGTCATTGATGTCCAAGCCACAATACGCGAAGGATCGCGCTGACTCAAAATGAGTCATGACGCAGGTACAGGGAGGCAAGAGATCAGCCTTCCGGTGAACATCTTCGCGAAAGATATACAAGAACTGTCTGTGCTGAGATGAAAACAATGGCGGAGGGAGCTTTCTCATATCGCATGATTTTTAGCCAATGTAGCCTTTCGCCTTCATCTCTTCTTCTGTCCATTTCCATAGTCTTTCGCCCAAATCATCTGGTGCATTGCGCGGCATAGTTATCTTGCTTTTCTTAGCAATTGGATCTAGGTAGCCCCCTGACATCTCCGCAGTAAAGTCTGTTCCAGCAACTGCAAAAAGCTGCGTCCAGCTTCCCTTGTCGGCGCTGATCATAAAGCCCACTGCGCGAAACAAACATCTCATGGGACTCGAGGATAAGATTGAGATGCCGGGCATATCGACATGATCAGTAAGATTGCTAGACAATGGGCCCAATCAGTAAAGGAACTGAGGCAAAGAAGTACATCGAACTCACGTGTCAATAATACCCGGATGCAGCGACGAAGTCCAGATTCCCTTTGTGCTCAGCATTTGGTGAAGAGAGAGCGCATGAAGGTAGTTCGCTAGTTTGCTTTGTCCATATCTCACCCAGGGACTGTAGCCGGAGCCTTGGAGGTTGATATCTCTGAACACAATGCCCTCAGATGGTGCCATGCGGTGGTTTGCGGACGACACGTTGACGATTCTGACCGTACCTACCGGCTTTGTAGTAGCGGTAGACTGGAGAAGCGGAATTAAGAGGTAGGTGAACAACCAGTGAGCGATGTAGTTTGTCTGTTGGACACATTCAATTAGCTACGCATCAGAATGGAAAAGGAAGACCTCACCTGCCATTGGAGCTCATATCCATCTTTGGATATCTCATTCGCGACGGCCATTATGCCAGCGTTGTTCACTATTCCATGCAACTTGTCTTCTTCGCTGTAGATGAGAGTTAGCAGCGATTCAATCGCAGGATCAAGTAGAGTACCGGAGAAATTGCTGTGCAGCACTCTTGACAGATTGCAAGTCCAACATATCCATCACAAGTACAGCAATACTGAGATCCGTTCGCTTGGTTTGTGCTCTGATCTCTTCTATAGCTCGCTGTGCCTTTTCTGAGGATCTTGCAGTTAGGTAGACTTTGGCGTTATGTTGAGCAAGATGTAGCACGGTTTGTTTTCCACTGGTGTAGATTAGCTAAAGGATGTCGTCGGTATGACATTGCACATTACATTCCACTGTTCCCACCTGTGACGACATAGACTTTACCAGATAAATCCGGGATGCCATTGTCTGGGTTGAAGGTCGAAGATAACATGATGATAGACTCTTGAGAGAGAAGTTGACGTATTCTAAGATAGGCTCACCGTATGAGCTGCTTGTGAAATATATTTGAAGTACGCAGATAGTGCCGAGCGCGTTGTGCTGCGGACGAAAGAGAACGGCAACCACGGACGACCCGACATGGCACCTTGGAAACACGATATGAATACCACCCAAACATTCGGAAAGACAAGAAACTTGGTAGAGACGACCGGACGAAATTGGCTGAGATGAGTTGCTGCTACTGCTCCAATGTATAGTGCTCTCAAACTCCGCTAGTTCTCCAAAAGCCCGCAACACTGTCAGATCGTGTCACAGCACGGACCACTCTTCAATCTTTCAACGTGGAGATGCTGATCTGGTGAAGCCCGGATCATGGTGGGCACCTTATCCAATGCCACTACCCTGCAGCCAAGTGATACACAAGTACAACGTGTCTGTGTGGGGTAACCCTGTCTAAAAATTGGTTTCGGCCGTAAGCGCCCATTTCTCCTATCGCGCTACTAATCAAATTCAGATTGTGCATTTAATGGGGTATAAAGCGGTCTTAAACAGTATCTCCTTCCTTCTGAACAGGAAAGTGCAATTTTCAACACCTGTGCAACACCGGACTGCGATTCGACCGAATCCTTCTTTACGCAACTGATAAACGACCGTACTGAGCCTCTTTAGTGTTGGATGTAGACATAGTATGTCGTGGAAATAGCGGCTCCGAGTTTACAAGTTGAAGTTCTAGTTTTGGATTTGGCTGAGTGTGGACCTGAGCTTGTCGAAGAGAAGAAGGTTGAACCTATTTGGTGGAATATCCACGCGCCCTCTATGCATGCGGTGTTCTACATTTATGAGGACACAACCAGGCGGAGTCTTGAGTTCAATAGGCAAGCGACATACATGAGCATGAACGCGTTAAACGAGGAGACCTGACTGAAGGCTCTTGGTGAAAGTGGTCTCCTCCAAGAAAGTCGGAACGAGATCGAGATTGCCACATTTGAAGTTTCGCCTGTGCCAGGCGACTGCAAAACTTGATGAAGCGATCTGCTGCGAGATGCGTAACATAACTTGAATCATCTATCAGTAGACTGGTACATAACAGCGCTAGGGTATCTGCTTTTATCCAAACCTTTCCAACACTCCGAGCGCAACGCGCAATCCATAACCTCATTCCATCTAAGCACGTTCAAAATCCACGCTTCCTCTCATCCTGAACCCCGTGCTTATTCTCTCAATCGGACTCTGTCTCTCAGCTCTATCTACACTCAATCTATCGGGCATCGTAGTCGTTCCATTCAAGCCATTGAAGCCCTTGGCAACACCCTTCTCCGGGCTCCTCCCAGTACTGCGACTAGCGATAGGAAGCAACGAACCACCGTCGGTTCTCCTTGCACTGCCGAGGTAGCTTTCAATGCTACGCCTGCCATCCGGGCGGTATGCCGTACTGCGCCCGCGGCTGAGTGCCTGTTCGATTGTGCGTGTGTCAAACGGGTATTCGAAATCGGTCTTCTCAATACCACTGTAGGGGTCATTGGCCTCGCGTTGGCTTCGCTGATTTTCAGTCTTGCGTTTGCGGAAACGCTGTTTTAATTCGCGGAAGAAGTCGCCAATCGCATCGAAGGAAAGCGCGATGGCGATAAACGGTATGGAGATTGCGAAGCCAATGCCGAACATGTATTTGCTGACATATGATAGAGGGAGAGAAGGCTCGCCACCTCCTGGTTCATGTGGAAACTCTTGGATATTGATAGTGAACATGGCTGCGATGAATGACAGAGGAAGGAAGATGATGGTGACAATCGTAAACACCATAATGGTCTGGCTTTGTCTTGCAGTGCCAGCAGCCTGGTCTCGAGCGAAACGTGCTTCGAAAGCGTTAGCATGCTTCTGCTTCAGATCGAGCAGATCAGTGATGGATTCGTAGATGCGCTTGGCCTGCTTGTCCATTCGTTCAAGATCCTTGATATGTGTGTCAATCGTCTTAAGCATGTCTTTGAACCGCCTCTTGAGGTCTTGCTGACTCTTGTGCTCTTCGCGATATATGTCTGTGATGCTTGCCTCCATGTCTGGCAACACATTGCGTTGGTCTTCCAGCACCTTCGCTATCATGTTGAGTTCGTCACGAATGTCCTTGGTCTCTGCTAGCAGGTCGGTTTCGGCGCCGATATCCAACAGCTTGTCGACGAATAGTGGGGCATGAGCAGCTGTTCGATCGCTGTTGTCGTACTCGAATGCTTCTTCTCGAACCGGAGGATCAGCCAATGCATGCGCGTGTGAGTGATGCGACGAGTGTCGACGATTCAGATGTTCTCTTTGCCTTCCCTCAGCCTCTAGATGTCTCGAGAAGCGATTGGGCCGTCTGTGATGATGTAGCCACTCTGATGCTTGTGCCGACGCAATGTTGAAATCTTTGAAAAGCATGGTTTCCATCTCCGTAGCATCGCCAATACTTGACTCAAACATGTCCAGAAACTGGTAGTCTTCGTCGCCAACGCGATGTCTGTCAAAAACACCACTACAGCGGCCAGTGATGATCATCGCAAGATCGTATACACTGCGCACCGGATCCCTTGTCTTGCTGTTTATATCCTCAATGACACCATCAAGAACGTTGAGCGGGTCGTTACGAGGCTGCTGCCATCGTTGAGGGAAAGCCGTCACTATCAAGTCTTTTCCGAGTGTCCACATCCATAGTTGGTCGACCATGAAGATTTTTGGGTCGACATGCTGCGGCTCGTTCGACTTGCATTGGTACCGATAAACAACTTGATCTCGATCTCGCGATTGCGTATCGATGTTGTGGTAGAAGAACTGATCCAAGGTGCGTCGCACGTGCAATGAGACTTGTGAGGATGTCAAGTGAGCTCTGAAAAGCATCTCATCGTAAGTTGACGCGCGGTAATACTGCGGCTTGGACGTGCCTCCTTCATTCTTCTCGCGCTCTTTCATCTTCTGCGTTCTCGAGATCGCAGCTTGCATTTCCTGCCGCCGTCGATCGGTTTCGAAATGAAGGTAAGGCATGAAGGCGAAGATGTTGCCCTTCGCTACGACTGTTGGGTCTTTACGTCCTGGACTACCAGGTGACCTGAGGTGGCCACTGTTGTTGAGAGAAGAGCTGGTATTTGTTCGTTTTGCATAGTGTTCTGGGCCTCTAGTCGGTGTTTCTGTTCCACCAGATCGCTTGCCAGCTTGCTTGGATCCACCCCACTTTGGTGTCTTCTTGGGTTTGTCTTTTGCTTTACTTCTCCCTTCCCTGGCAGTCGCGTGCCCAGAGCCCGTCCCTGCAGTACCATCTGTCTGATCTGTATCTAGGGTATTGGTCCGCATGGGTGTGCGAGGGAATGGTGACGACGATAACTCTTGCGAACCAGCTACCGCATCAATACCCAGGCCTAAACCACTATTTACCATGATCTGTGGTATCTGATCGGCACCATCAGAAAGGTCTGAATCGTCGTGGTGCTTCGGTGCACGCGGTGTGCTCTGACACAGCGGTCGCATGAAGTGTGAGTGGATCTGTTGTCCTCGATGCTGGTGGCTGAAGGACCGTTCAAGCGCCTTGAAGCCCTCCACGTCACTGGCACCTTCTTCGATAAATGCTTTTGTGAGCAATGCCTCGATCCAGGCCATGTTATTAGCAGGAAGGTGGATCCATCGGAAGGTTGTCGCCTTGGATTCCTTGGGTAGAATTGAGACAGCTGGCTTCCTTGGATTGATAGCATCACGGGCATACAGCAGCTCGAAGACAGATTTTCTTGAGACGTTGTTTTCGTTATGGAAATTGCCAAAGTCGACAACAGTAGCATGGAAACCGTTCGTAGCGCCAAGGGCGTCTTCGCTAAGTGCTTCGACCTGGTTGTGGGGTGCCAGGGCATTGATAATGTCCTTGCGCGCAGGGCTCTTGCTTAGTGCGGCACGCAAGAATGGCGTAATACCGGAGTTGTCTTTGGCTGCTCGTTTGACATCCTTCCTTTCTAAGAGACACTTGACGATGTCGAAATGACCAGCCTGCGCCGCGACATGCAGGGGTGTCATGCCAGTAAGTAACTTCGCGTTGACGTCTGCTCCAGCGGCCATCAATATCTTCAGCACCTTTACACTTCCTTGTTGACAGACATTGTGTAAAGGTGTCCAGCTTCCATCACTCTTTGCACCCACGTCTGCGCCGTGGACGAGCAAAAGCTCGATGATGTCGTCTCGGCCGTGTGCGATTGCCAGGTGTAGTGCTGTCTTTTGTCTGATCTCAATAGCGTTCACGTTCGCCCTCGGAAGCCTGGTTCGTCTCAGTAGCATTTCGCACAGCTCCTTCTTTCCAGTACTGGCAGCCCAATGTAACGGGCTTCGCTTCTGGTCGTCCTGACCCTCCGGTCCATCGATCGCGATGTTTTGCCTCAGCAACTCTGCGATGACATCGCGTCCCCAGTTGCAGTGCTTGTCTGCCGCCAAATTGTGAAGCACGTTCCGTCCTGTATTGTCCTTCTTGTTGACATCGGCACCACACCTTAGCAGCTCATGCATGATGTGGAAGTAATTCTTCCAAGCAGCCGTCATGAGGGCAGTCCGTCCCTGCTTGTCTTGCGCATCCACATTTCCTCCAAACTTCAACAACAGTTGTACAATCCCGACATGGTTCTTCTCAATTGCTTTGAACAGTGGCGAAACCCGGCCACCTGGCGCGCCGTCGGGTTTCGCACCACTCTTGAGCAAGTATTCCGTGATGTATATGTTGCCGCGCTCGGCTGCGCGCATCAAACCTATGCGTAGGAGGTGATCGACGGGTTGCGACTTCGCTTTCGCATGCTCGATAATCGCGATCGCATCGTCGTGTTTCTTATCCTCGATGGCCTTCAAAAGACGCGGTTCGACGCGCGCATTCAGTCCAGAGTCGGCGCCATCGCTTGATCGTGATGGTGAACGACCCATATCGGCTACATGCTCTGGCTGCGACAAATATTCGTTTACATGCGCGTAACGGTACGAGGGTGGATGTACGTTCGATTTGGGATGGGATTGAAGATGCTTCAATGTCGATGAGGTCTGTTGCGCTTATCGTCAAAAGCCATTCTTCCCCGGAGGCTCCTGATTCTTCGGTTTGCGATCGTTGCCTTCATGGCGGTGGATGGTCGCATCAGCCGCAGGCCTAATTCAAGCTAAGAACATCCCCGGTTGCGACGTGCATGAGCACACGTGATGATCGGCATCTCATGCATCGAAATGAACACGTTCGTCAAGGTACGAGGTAGATGGTATTTATTGAGGACTTAGCGATAGGAAGTGGAAGAACCGAAGCTTACGATCGTCGGGTTGGGGTTTGTGCCTGGAGATCCGGGTATTGCGGGGACGGTAGGCCAACTCACAGCGCGGCGTTGACGTCGGCGCGCTATTACTGTGCTTTTTCAATGACTCGACACCGCATTGTATGCATTTCCCATCAAGTGTCACACCGTTGATTCCTTTGACGCGACCGTGAGACGCGTTCTTAGCGTGTGTCAAGCCGTTTGCCAGCGGATAATGCAGGTGGTTCCTTGACCTATAAACAGCTATGAAGACCGAGGACTATAAACCGCGATCGGCATCTAGAGTCTGGCTACCAACTCCATCTTCAACATTTACACATCGGAAGCCGAAGAGTTCAACACTCTCTTGGCGCTTCTTGGTTTTGATCACCAGCCTCGCTCTCTACGCTATGTACAACGGCCTAGCTACTTTGCGCCCTATGGCCAACGGATTATCACGGTCTACGAGCTCGATCTTCATCCCGTTCATCTACAAATTTAGCCCCAAACATGTCCCACAAGTCATGTGTAGCATCGAAGGGGTCAACATCAAGATGCCTGTAGACACGGGGTCCACCGGCACGTTGATAGGAGCTCCAATACTTCCAAATATATCGCCTACTGAGGGCAAACCAGCACACCACTTCTTCACAAGCAGCAAGATTCTCTATGTAGGCCGACTGGTGAAGCTGCCAATGGATTTTGTTGGTGAGGCTGGCTCCTACGCGACCGCGAACGTGCCTGTTTTGATTGTGGACAGAAGCTGGAGATGCCCTTGGTACAATCCCAGCAAAGACCGATTCGAATGCCCACTTGGTCCAGACGGGGAGCAGGCTGAAGAGAGGGATACCTCGGAGATCACCTACATGGGTGTAGGCTTTGGAAGAAACAGCCCGAAAGACGGTATGCCGTTCGCGACACCGAGCATTAACCCGTTCTTGAATATCGATGCGATTGATGGGGAACCGATACAAAACGGAATGATGCGAGCTGGATATATCATATCGACCGAGGGAATCCAGATAGGGTTAACGCCAAGGAACACAAAAGCCTTCGCGTTCTCTAGTTTGGATCCAGGATTAAATCATGGCGAGGATGCGAGGGATTGGGCGATGGCAAAGATGTGCTTTAGCATCAACGACGAAGGGCGTAATGACGGTACTCTTCTTGTCGATACTGGCGTAGCGCAAATGTACATCAGAGCCGAACGGGACGTTTCAATCCCGACTGTTGTCATCCCAAACCCCAACCCAAACGGTCACACAAAGATGGTGAAGCGCGTGAAGCCTGGTACCAACATCACCGTTGGCTTCCCATCTCTAGACCAACCAGCGACATCATACTCGTTCGTCGTTGGTGAGAAATCGCTCATCGAACCCAACTATGTGTTTCCGCAATTACCAGAACATCCTCCGTATATCAATACTGGTCGGAACTTGTTGTTTGGCTACTCGATAGCTTTCGATGCGGTAGGAGGGCGTTTTGGCTTTCGTCCGGTTGGCAATCATGGCTCTTCATCTGTACTGTAGTCTTCAACCATGCCATCGAGCAGACATCACATTGTGCGCTCACGTCTTTCTCTCTTTGCTTCTTCCCGCCCTTTGGTCGATACCAAGTGTTATACCAAGTCCGTCTCCTTTGCCCAGACCATCTAGTCATTTCACTGTCATGCTCCTCATTGGACTCCGGAAGCCTTCCCGGAGGTCCTTGTATTCCTCAACTGCTTTGACGACGACGCCATGCGCCTGCTCACTGTCTACGCCGAGACCGACCACAACAATTGCACCAACAACACCTTCCACGCCCTTGACAAAGACAGGGTATCCGCCACCTTCAATGGTGTATCTTGACCACTCGTCGCCGCTCATGGCATTGTGCTCGGCGAACCTTTTGTAGTCTCCTTCGAATTGACAACTCATGAACCAGGTAGAATGTCCCCATCTCAGCACAGTGTTGCGCTTCCTCTCCGACCACTTCTCGTGATCGGGCATTATGCCAGGCAAACTCGGCGAGTGGAACAGCGTCTGATTCGCAGACGAGATCTGGATAAGCGCGGGGCATTCGGCGGTTCTTAACGCGTTTCGGAGGATATTTCCAATGACCCAGGCATGCTCGCATGTAAAGTGATTGAAGGTGAAACTCCTTTCCTCTTTTGCCAGTTCGGTCAGGTCGCGTGTTGGTTTGGGGAGCGTGTTGAGCATCTTGTTGGTTGATTGCGAGGACGAGTGCGACATGGAGGGCGCTTCGGTGGGGGATGGCTATAGGTAGGGAATATTCACATATAGCACATGTAAATTATGGATATCCAGAAGACGGGTCTGGAAGATAGGGGATGACGCGTCAATGGCGCGACAGACGGAAGTCGAAACAAAGACGATGGCGGCTGTCTGTTCCGATGGGGCAACGACAGCCGGCAGTCGGGTCGTGCCGCTGTCTAGCTCCACGTTTGAAACGAGACTGCAGCGCGCACTTCGCGTATACATTCCATGTTTTAGTCTTCTTTCATCTATACATTGTAACAACACTTTTCTATGCCAAGGCCTCCGGCATACTGTACATATGACTGCTACTCTATGTTCCCATGATATCCCAGAGCTCAGTGCGTGGTATGATATACGGCTTCACCTTAGCCCTTACAAGTGTCCGTTGTTCAAAGGCGTAGGCCAATCCAATAATCTTTGCATCATTGAATTTTGCACCTAGGAAACTGAAACCAAATCTATCCCGTCAAAGTCAGCATCGCACAAGCAACCATTATTTGCGAACCACGTACGGAATATTGGGCGCCGAGGACACTAATCCATCGGCGTCCGAGACGATGGGTTGATCAGACTGCATGGCCCCAATCGGTACAGAAACGATCGGCGCACCAGCAACAGCGGCAAAGTTCCAAGAAAAATGTGATGGTAGTAAGACGGCGTCGAGATTATGCCTCTTGATGGTACCCAGTAGGCCTCCTTCACCGTCATAGTAGAGACCTTGCTGATATGCTTGCCAGAATTCAGCTTCAGTGTTGTTCCAATTTTGCAGCGCAAAGTCCCAAAGCTCTGTGGGTTTGCTTGGGTATCCTTCAAGTGAACTATCCTGCGTCCATCTGCGTAGGTCAACTAGGTTTTTGATGTTGTGTGGATTGTAGACAAGTTGTTGCAGGTAATTTTCGATGTTGACAACGAAGTCAGCGCCCATGATCTTCGCGCCTATCATACTGTCGTCTAGAAACTCTCGCGCTGCAGGGAAGTCGCTCTCTACGATCACAGCACCAGCCGCGCGTAGAACTTCCAAAGAGTCGTCAAATGCCTTGACCATTGACCGTGTGATTTCATCTGACATCAGTCGAATGACATTACGAGGCACACCCAGCCGCGCACCTTGAAGTGCAGAGAGTTTGCAGGCACCAACAAAGTCCATGTCCACTTCTTCTGGGATAGCAGAAGTGTAGTTGTCATGGATATCAAAACCTGCAATGCCTTGAAGCACGTACGCTGAATCTTTTACGGTTTTTGTAAGAGGCCCGATGGTGTCCATGTGCTCGCTGATCGGAATTACAAGATGTCGAGATGTGAACCCAACAGCTGTGCTTTGTTAGATCATGACTTATCTGATATGTGGATGTATATACTTGGCTTCATTCCTACAACATTGTTATAACTGGCAGGATCGATTATTGATCCACACGTTTCACCACCTAGCGTGATTGTCGCCAGACCAAGACTGGACTGATCAGTTCGAAGCTCAGACTTGTCAAAAATAGAATGACTCACGATGTTGCCACAGCACTTCCGCTTGAGCTTCCAGATGGGTCTTGATGGGGATAGAAGGGTCCGTATGTCTGACCTCCATACGCTGACCAGCCGTTGCTCGAATTAAGCGATATTCGAAAATTGCCCCATTCGCTGGGGTTTGTCTTTCCTAAGATTATAGCACCTGCTTCTCTCAGTTTCTTGGCCACTGTAGAATCAGCGGGGGCTTTGGCTCCAACTAAGGCGTAGGACCCGGCTGTGTTGTTCATCTTGTCTTTCGTGGCAATCTACATGCAACTCTAACATCAGTCTGGTTTCCTGAACTCAATCTCCGAGTGGCCGATTTGGAGCCGTCAGCTTTGTTGAATTCAACGTACCGTATCTTTAATGAGTACAGGTATACCATGTAAGGGTCTGTCCGTCAGCGGATGTCACAATGACCCCAGCTTGGATACTAACCCTCGTACCATACCTTCCGAACGTTCCTTGTCAAGCGCAGCCGCTATGATCAGCGCATCGGGATTGATCTCAGTGACTGGCCTCAAAACGTCATTTATCTCTTCGATGCGGGCAATATAGGTCTGTTAAACTGTTTTAGTCGCACTATTCTGGCGCCTGTTTCGCAGGAAGAACTTACCTTGACCAGATGTAAGCTTGTGAAAAGACTTTGTTCCAAACCATCGGCAACAACGTCAATATCTGCCTCGTACAAGCTCGGTAGTGGTTTGGCTAGAATTATATCGGTCAGGGCGCTCGTTGTCTAGATCTGGAAACCTACAGGGCTCAAGTTGTCGATTGAAATATACGCCCGAGACCGCGCCACCAATGATCAAGATACCGAGAAAAGACCCAAGAATCATGACTCTCGAGTAATGGGACCAGTACTTCAGCTCTCTCTTGGAATCTCCTGTGGATAATTGATGATATGGATAGCTTGCAGGCGCAGTTTGTGCGAAATATTGTTTAAATGGAAACGCTAACCACGAACTGCTCGACGCAGTACCTATAGACATAGGACGAAGTCTTGCCGGGCGATGGTCCATAGTATCTTGTGCGGTGGCTATCGAGCTTTTGCAAAGATGATATCCAGGTAATATCGCGTTCACCGGATCCGTATTTCAGCAGGTTTTTGGAGGCATCAATGCTGGACCTCCAAGGCTGCGTTGCAGTTTGTTCTTTGGGCTGAGCTGATCTAGGCGCATACGGTGCTTAGCGCTAAGAAACCCCACACCAACATACCGATAGCACATAAGCGGTGCAGCCTGCTAAGGTGGTTTCGCAACAAAACACATTCGGTACTGCTACACATGATATGATGCGTTTCGCATCTAGCACGTCCGTCACATGCGACTCCGCATTCTGTTCATGATTTACTCCTGCTGCTTGATTTCAGTTTACCCGCCATGGCGCGGCTCCAAATGCCTTCGGCTGTTGGTGTGAATCTCAGGCGACTTGCCGCCATTCGAAATCCCCTCGCATTGACCTGACTTTCGTGTTCTTCGGCTTTGCGCAGCATTGGTGCCTGATGCGATGAAACATCGATCCTGCAGCAATGGCAACTAGCGATCTGATACTGGAACCACTGAGCAACGGAGCGGAGCCTTGGGCATTTAGGTGAGTCAATCTTGGATGTCACTTTTGCAAGAACTCAATGATTACAGTGTGATCGTTGTACCCGACTTCACGAAGCATGGCACAGCACCTGGAAACAGCCACCCTTGGCTCCATGAAATACTGCGACCACAACAAGCGCAAGCTCAAATCATTCGATTCAACTACCAGATCACCATGAAGGGCCCATCTGTTTGGCACCAACTAAGGCAAAGTGCCCAAGATCTGGTCGATGTATTCCGCAGCAAGACCGACTTGCACAAGGTAAGACAATGGTCGATGTAACAAAGCAGTACAAAGCTGATTTAAGCCTATCTGAAGATGCTAGCAAAGCCTATGATTTTCGTTGGCCATGGCTTGGGAGGCCTTATCGTGAAGCGCGTATGTTGTCTCGGTGATCCAAATCTCTGATAGACAGTCCATCACTAACATTCGCAAGGTCTTGACTATCCTCGCGACTCCAACCCTATCTGGGTCAGAGCCGCGGCCTCGTAACAAAGACGTGTTGAGGTTGATCTCTGGCGTTATATTCTTCGGTACTCCGCATGTCAGGAACAATGATAGTAAGAATTGGCACAGACTAACAAACCTGCTGAAATTCACCGGTGTCCTTCCATCACGATTTCTAGCCTCATCTGAAAGAGAAGCCAAGACTGCAGTCTTCACATGCGACGAATTCGAAAGGTCGAGAGTCGAAATGCAGGTCATTTCGATTTACGAAACCAAGAATACGAAAATTAAGACACATCGTTACTGGCCCCTCAGAGACGAACTTCCTGTAAGACTAGATCACCTGAGTATCTTGCCTAACCAGCTAACATTGTATCAAGTTAGTCGATAGAGTTCTTGCTGAGACATTTGCTATGAAGGAACAGCTTCTAGGAAACGAATTTGCTCATGAAGGTGTGAGTAACGTCTTACCACAGTCACATATACAAAAGCATATCACCTTGCTATTGATGTCTGCTCTTGGAACTGGTAGACAGGGCACGACAATACGACCTATCCAAGATCCAACTACCACACAAGCACAAGACGATCTATGGGAAGAATCCGTTGCTCCGCTCTCCGTAGATGGCAATCGGCAGAACGACTCCAACTCGTACAATGCAGCCAGCCGTAGGCATGGCACATCAGAGGGCGCCGACTTGGGTTCCAGCTTACCATCCAACTTTGACGTCATTCCGTCCGATGATCAGGGAAACTATGTTGCCGATGTAGCGGAGACAAGTACGTGGCCATGTCACTTGTGGGGAGGATTTGAAAGTGAAACTGACTTCACTGGCCGCCACGAAACTTTCGCTGATATCGATGCCTGCTTTTTCCCATCCGCAGACCAAGAACAGGAGCGACTTTCCGAACAATCTCCTGAGCTGCCATGTTGCTGCATTAGTGGTCTTGGTGGTATGGGTAAAACATCGACGGCGATTCAATATGCATTGGCTCGTCAGAAGGAATTTGATGCTATCTTTGTTGTGCAAGCCGACTTGCATGCTAAACTATCCGATCAATTTTCAAAGATTGCACCCGCGCTAGGTCTCATCGAAAAAGTCACCGATAACAATGACACAGGCAGCGAAGACGTGGATCTTATCGTGAATCGCAGTAAGGCATTAGAATGGTTGGCAAGCCCCAAGTTCGCCACTTCAGCACTGGAAGAAAGAAAAAGAGCTCTGGATGGTACAGAATCTCGAAAGCTTAATTGGCTGCTGATCTTCGACAATGTGGAAGATTCTTCTATGCTCAGAGACTACTGGCCAAGTGGCAGTATTGGCTGTGTGCTAGTCACAACGCGCGATGCAAGGAACAGCGACTACCTTGCCTTACAGAGCCGCACCAGGCACATATCCTTGGAAGGCCTAGATCCTACATCGGCATCAGAGCTCTGTCTCAAATTGAGCTGCATAGCTCCCAGCGTCAGTAATAATGCTGATGCTTCCAGCATCGTGGAGAAACTTGGATATCTTCCGTTGGCAATCCGACAAGTTGCCGCTTATATTTTCAGGAAACGCATGACCCTCGAAGACTTTCTAATACTGTACGACAAAACATTACTAGATGGTAAGGAGGGCGACAGGAATGGTTATTCGTGGAGTTACGACATCATTACGTCTTGGGCACTTGATGCTTTGAGCGCACATGCACAATCCCTGATCGGCATCTATTCCTATCTCGATCCTGATGGAGTGCAAGATTCTCTCCTGACCGACTCCCTGGAGAATCATCGCAATAGAAAACTTCCAGCAAACTGCCCAGATGATAAGTCTGTGCATATAGACGCTCGTGGTGAGCTGCTCAAAAGCTCTTTGATTCGAGGCAATCTGAGCAAGAAACCTCTCGTGATTCGCATGCACCGATTGGTGCAGACAATCACAGTGGTTAGAATGGCTCACCTGCAACGAGATGAGGTTTTCTCTTTTGTCGCCTGTGCCATATATGATGCCTGGCCGTTCACCGAAAATAATTGGGATCATCAAGTTGGTTTGTGGTCCGCGCAGGAGATGCTGGTGCTGCATATCTTCAGGTTGACTGATATTGCAAAAGCTCACGGGATTAGCGGCATCGAGGTTGAAGTGAAACGCAAGTTTATAGCGCTATTGTCCGCTTGTGGTTGGTGAGTAACCTTTTTGCCGCATGCAGTCTTCTTCTTGTACAGATCACTGATACTGAACTAATAGGTATGGGCAGGAGCGTGGCGATTTCGACTCTGGTATACCCCTCCTTGAGTTCGGCATCGATTTGTGCGCCACATCCGAGGACGATTTCCTCGATCTGCGAGCAGACCTCTCGTTCGGCCTTGGTGGTGCGACCTGTGACACCAACCGCTGGCCAAATTTCCTTTTTCATGCTAAAGAACAACTGCGTTACCGTCTTCGTTCCGACGCTCAAAAGGGTACTGGTCCAACATCCAACACGGCTATCGCTTATAGTGAGCTCGGCATAGCGCAAGCTCTCATGAAGCAGTACGGAGATGGCATACAGAACTGCGATAGGGCTATTGAAATCTATTCCACTCAATCAGATGTGGTAGATGGCACGTTCTTTCCAGCGTTCCCCAACATTCACCGTGCTCTCGCACTTGTTGGAGCAGGGCGGCCCGAGGAAGGCGAGCAAGGGCTCTTGGACCTGATCGCATGGGAAAAGAACCATGTTGAATCCGGGAAGGCAGACTTCAAGTAAGTTATATGATCTTCGACAGAGTGATGTATGTGGTCCGATCTTCATTACTGACGTACTTTAGACTCGGCTACGCATGGCACTGCTGCGGGCTGATATATTCTCGAACTGGCCGTTCAGATGACAGCTTCGAAGCGTACAACAATGCGTTTAGGAACTACAAAAATACCGTTGGTGAATTATATCATCGGTTCGGCAATGTTTGTGGGAAGATTGCAGAACATCACGAATCTCTCAAACAATTTGAAGCGGCCGAGTAAGTTGCTGAAGTCTGCATTGAAGAGAACAAACCACAAACTAAGAATACAAAAGCATGTACTTTGGCCTTGCGCAGAAAGCCTACGAAAGCCAACGTCACTTCCGTCCTGAACTTGCGCGACATTATTTCATACAAAGCCAAGCATTAGAACGCCGTGGTGATAAGCAAGCAGCCATTACAATGCTGAATAAGGCACAGACGATTTATGTTCAAGTCACCCCTCAAGCGGAACCTGCACCATTGACTCTAGAGTCATTCAACGGGATAGTTGCACCCTGGGTATGGTGATGAGTCCGTAAAGAAACGAATATTGAGCCGCAGTATCGCAAAGCCCGTTGAATGCGCTTCGGAGAGAAGAGTAGATATGAGATGACACCCACAGGTGCAAGAACAACGAACGGAAGCCAAATACTCTGTGACGAATCAGGATCCAGTTCCTTCACATTCATACCGAACAACGAAGCGATGAGCGATAACGGCAAAAACAAGTATGCGAGTACAGTCAATCTTCTCTGATCATCTGCGCGATGTATGGCCTTCTGCGACTCACGCAGCATCGCTCCATTCAGTATCAGCCCAGTTGTTTCGGTGCACAGCGTAGTCAAACTTTCTGTCCGGTTTAGGAGCTCTTTGAAGTCAACCAAGATCTGCGACAGATCGTCATTCGATGGACCTCTGGATGTCGGTGTGGACGAGCCAGGGACTGTAAGAAGGCTGTTGGTGCTTGGCTCATTCGAGCGACGGAGCTTCAGTAGTGCTACGTTATGTTTCAGTCGTTGTTTGTGGTCCTCTAGCAATCCTTTGATGTATCGAAGAGTGTTGATAGCCAAGTCCATTGCTTCTGCTTCGATAGTATTCACATCTTGATCTTGTACGATGCCATAGACGCGGTTGAGAAACTGACACTCAGCCGCAGCTACCAGTCTGAAGATTTCGGGGATAAAGTTGAAGACATCGGATGATGTTGGTAGACCATGGGTAGTCATTCCTATATAGAAGGGCACTAACGATGCGACGTGACCGATGGCCTCAGAGGACAATGGTTCGCTATCGCATGGCGCATCTGGGTGATTGGTACCGATATCCATACCAGCAGGTCTAGGGACGATGACAGGCAGTGGTAGGACTCCGGTGATGGGATGCGTTGTATCGTGCGTACTGAAACATGGTGGTCCATTCTTTCGGTTCATCTCTAGCCCATTATCAAGAAGAACAATTGCTACCGATTGTCAGCATATAGTCGTGAAGTTTGACTATGGCAAAGTACCTATCTGGCTACCATTCCTCTTTCGAGTTCTTGTAAAGATGGAAATTTCGTGCTCAACGGAGAAAAGGAATTCTCCAAGCGTTGCGAACCGCCGAATTATTGTCTCCCCGGAAGCGGCACGGCCAGCGACCACATTCTGATTTTTTGTAACAATGTTTGCGTCCTTTTCGCGATCTGCCTTGATCTGATTCTGTGCTAGTGGCTGGGAGCGAGTGTATAGGGACGGCAATGTGAGAGTCAATATATCCGTGTCGGAAGACGGTAGAGACGGTAGATCCGAGTAGTCACGGCCAGCTAGGTAGCGGAGATGTCTTCGAAAGAATTCCGGATCGATCTTGTATTTGTCGCCCAGGGCGTCAAGCCATGCGGGGGAAAGTGATCCACGGACCAGAACTACTTCGTTGACAACACCGTCTGGCTCAGGATGATCGATAAAGCGTGTCAAACCATCTTTGAGATTGAAGTCGTATCTTTGCGGCACGCCGGTTCCTGGAAAGGAATGCACTACGACATGCGCAAATGAACTGCTGCCTTGTCTTTGATCCGGCTGCACACTGATGGATGCACCAAGACTCTGTGCCGGAGCTTTGAGCAGATAGCTTGCCAAATTCTGGTATTGTATCTTTGAGTAGAGCTGGGGCTGTTTCGGTGTTTTGGACATTGATTTCAGGCTCACACCGTATGTTGATGGTCTCCGGCCTCCAACAACATCTGTGCTGGCGCGACTGGGACTTCGGTATGTGGACATTTCGCCGATCGAATTCGTGGAACTTCGAGGTTGAAGAACACAAGGCTAGGTTACCAGGTATGTCAACCCGGTACACGGTAACGCGGCTCATGCATTTGAATACATTAGTACTCGCATCTGTCTGCCTGATTCGAGAGAGAACATAGCCCAGTTTTTCCAAGCGCCTTGCATAGTCTTCAGCTGGTGGCGATGTGCACGCGCGCTGAAGGGTGATCGCGCTAGCCGAAGGCTGTTTTGTGAGGCGTCTGGTCAGCGGGGCGGAGTCAACCCATGCATAGATACCCACCCTCTTATTTAGAGTTCAGGGCGTCACAAGAGGCTGATTTGGAGCACTCCTTCCCCCATACCTAAATCGTAGATATCCAAACCTTGCACAACCTGATCAACATGGCTACTCGAAACGCGCTCGTAATCGGTTTGAACTCCTTCCGAACACACTGTTTGTCGAGCGATCTAACATTTGACAAGGCGCAAATAGAGGTCTCGGGCTCGGCTTACTCAAGGTGTTCAAGGAGCATGGCTACAATGTGTTCGGCACAGTCCGCCCCCAAACCAGGGCCGACGCCTCTTTCAAAGACGTGAGTCACGAGATACATATGTTATGCAACGTCTAGGAGACTGACTGCGACCAGCTTGAAGCCACTGGAGCAACGGTATTCGATCTCGACTACACGGATGAAGAGAGCATCTCTGCAGCTGCTCAAAGTTACGGCAGCGACAAAGCTCTGGATGTACTCGTGAATTGTGCTGGGCTTGAGATGTACCCTGAGAAGTGGACAGATACCACCGCTGAGGCACTGATTGAAAAGTATCGCGTCATGACTGTGGTGGGTCAGACAAAAGTCACCTTGTATTCCTGTCTCACATATGCAGGGCCCATTCCTGGCAAGCAAGTACTTTCTGCCAAGCTTACAGAAGAGTAAATTCGGAAAGATAGTGAACATAACTTCCGAATGGGCGTCCGTCGCAGGTAAGAGCCAAGTTTCGGTCAGCCACCATACTAAGTTACTGATTCTCACGAAGATAACGATTGTGGGACGCACATCAGCTACCGAGTCCCAAAATCGGCTCTGAATGCACTTAGTGTATCGTTACATTTTGAGCTGAAAGCCGCCAAAGAGAAAATAGCAGTACTGCTTGTTGACCCTGGTGATGTGCCCACTAAACTCAGTCGATGGGCCGGAGACATCGATCTGAACGATTCAGTGCGTGGCATGTATGATCAGATCGAGAAAGCTACGCTCGAAGATTCTGGTCTCTTCGTGAATTGGAAAGGGCATAAATGGAGATACTAGTCCGTTAGTACGATCGATCTTGTTGCGATGATAGCACTATGTAGTCATGGCAATTGACTGATCGGAAGGATGAACATCGGCTAGAACCAAGTTGAAATGCCACTCTACATGCTACGTCATGTTCTTTTTTTATAAAATTAATCCGTCTGCAAGAACAAAACTGAAGCAATCGCCAACCCCTCGATTCCAGCTCTCAGAGATGGCTCAATCTCTGCTGCAAACTTGCTGTTATGATTGAAAGGTAGATCTCTGAGCGTTCCATCTTTCTCAGCCCTGTCATACTCGTCTCTTGGGGTGACACCGAAATTCCAGTATATGTACGGAATAGCTTCTTTGCCCGGAGGGTGCCCAAGAAGAACGAAATCATCTGCAGTGATGTCGAGATCCATCTCAATCACCTTAGAGGGAGCCTCATCACCATAGTACCGGCGCAAAGCAGTAGTGAATTTGTTAGTCGCGTCTGTGTCATTGTCGATGGGAGGACAACTTGCAGAAGTCACAATACGAGGGGTTTGTGGGGATTTTGCAGCCTCACATTCTCCTTCGATTATGCGCTTCACAGCTTGAACAGCTGTCTTCTGTACGTCTTCCTTAAACGATCGGACATCGACAGTGAAATCAGCAAACTCGGGTATAATGCTCGCATCGGTTCCGCCATGAAGATAGCCGCTTGTGATAGTACAAGGCTCGTTGAAGTCAATCTCCCGAGCATTGATCGTTTGTAACCGGGAGATGATACAGCTCGCCATCAATATGGGGTCGATTCCTAGGCTCGGCGTTGAAGAGTGTGTGCCCTTGCCATAGACGCGTACGGCCAAAGAGTCCAGGAAGGCAAGAACACGGCCAGGTCGTGTACCTATGGTGCCTGCCTTCGTAGGAACAGCATGCTGCCCTAGCACAATATCGGGAAGTGGTATCTTGTCGAAGAGGCCGTCGTCGATCATTGCTTGGGCGCCTAGAAGTCGCTCCTCATTTGGCTGGAATAGACAGATGAGTGTGCCGGACCAGGCCTTGCGTGTTTCGTGTAGAAGGTTGGCCGCACCCAATAAACTGGTCATGTGCATGTCGTGACCACAGGCGTGCATCACTGGCTTGATCTGACCATCTGCGTCAAGCTGCTTGACTTTACTGGCATACGCCAGCCCTGTCTTTTCCTCCAATGGCAATGCATCGAGTTCTGAGCGGAGTAATACTGTCCGTCCCGCTCCGTTTTTCAGGATGCCAACAACTCCATGACCACCGATGTTTCGCTTCACCTCGTAATTGAGAGATTCCAGGTGGTCAGCGACCACCGCTGCAGTACGTGACTCTTGCGTAGGAAGCTCCGGATTTTGATGAAGATCTTGATAGATCGCTCCATATTGATCCAGCGAAGGGAAAGAGTCCTTGAACAACTGTTGCCACTTCTCGAAAGATGGGGAAATCTGCATGTTGCTTGGAGAATCGAAAGGATAGACGAGTTGTTCTTGCGGCCTCTCGTGAGTTTGACTTTAGGATAGATCTGAACGCAATTGAAGTACACTAGAATGGCAAATGATCAGACCAAGGCTGAAGTAGCACATGACCTGATATCCTGTATTTTATTCTAGGCACTGAGAAAGTAGTCATAGTCGTGGGAACATGCATAGCCTAGACGTCCGGTGAACATTCTGCTAGGGGGCCACGATCGCAGTGAGGCAACGAGGGGGCATGTCATTGGTCCGGGTGCATACCTGAGCGCGACCTCCCTAGGCGTGTACCACCAGGACGCGCGTGGCTGCTCCAGCACCAGCGAGACTGAGCAAGCTCATGACTTTGACAAACAGCCGAAGACGAAACGGGAAAGGTCGCTTGATGGACAACACCACACAAATTGTGTTGAATGCGTGGCTGTTTGTCAATTGAACGTGTGGCTTGGATACGATATTGTGCGTTCATCGGTGTGTCCGTTTGCGTACCAAAAGTCACATCTACCCCGCACGGGCCAAATACTAGAGCTGGCGCCTAGCTTGGCGCCCGCCCCCGCCCAGCCTGATCTCGGAAGTGGTGTTGCCGGTTGCCGGGTCGCCCTTTTTGCCTTCTTTTCAAGTTGCCAACCAAGATGTGTTTGCCTGCAAACAACGCCTGAAAAGCAAGGATTTCACTTCGCTGCATCGTCATGCATGTAAGCACTAAGATTTTTTCGAATATCTGGAGTCACCTCCGGACCAATGACCGTTGCCACACAGATCAGGCCGCCCCAGGAAGGCCCGAAGGCAATTCTACACACTCCTAGAAGTCACTTCCCTACTTCGGGTCTGCGAAAACTTGGTATTAAGATACAATGTAGTTTTATTCACAATGCTTCGAGTGGAAGATTCTCAACATGCACAATGGCCGCTACTTACGGGACACTGACTTTTCTTGAACGAGAATCATGGCCGTCTCACGAACGCCCTTATGAACTTCTTTACAAGCCATCAGACGGCAATTTTCCAGTCTGCAACTACAATGTAGTACAGGTTCCTGATGTGCCTATCCACGACTTGCGTCCTTTGAAAAATACGTTGTCTCTCGATCGTGAGGGCTTCCTGGTCTCTGATCTCAACACGACGATGCAGTATGATGATTACTTTGACCAAGAAAAGTTGAAGATGAAGTACATGCCGGAGATTAAAGCGTATCTCAAGAAGGCTTTGGGCGTCCGGTCAGCGTATGTGCACGAGTGCGTCGTAAGCAGTCCTGGACCGCGATACAAATAGATCACTTGAGCTAAGTCCGCTAGATTCGTAGGTCTGGTGATGGCGAAAGTGGACATTCAGGCAGCTTTGGGCAACCTATCCCAAACGTTCACACTGGTTAGTAGAATGGGGATTCGTAATACTGGTATTGACTATTCAGATTACACTCATGACTACGCGTTGGAGCTGATCGAACAGCTTACTGGAGACAGAGCTCAAGCTCAAACAATAAAGGAGTCGCGGATTCAGATGCTGAAGTGCGTTACTCGAACCTGGCAAGGAAACACAGAAAAGCTGACAGGCGTTAGTATATGGAAACCTCTTCGAGGACCTCTAAAGAGCTGGCCGTTGGCCCTCTGTGATCTTCAGACCCTGAATCGGAATGATGTTACAGCCTTCGATGAGGTACACGCGAAGGCGGTCCTGGAATCACAACAAGTCGTCTACAACCCGTCTCAGAAGTGGTACTACCTACCAGATCAACAACACAACGAGATCATTGTGTTTAAGTCAATGGACAGTGTTGCAAGAGGTGAAGGTTTGGCTCGCCCACAAATCTTAATGATTAAGGACATGGACTGACCGAGATTAAGTCGCTCACGGTTCTTTCAACGACCCTAGATGTCCCAGCGACGAACCCGCGCGCGAGAGTATTGAGCTGAGGGTTCTGGTTGTGTACTGAAGATGCTGTACGCCATGCTCCCTCGAGTACGAATATTCACGATAGAGGTATTATCTACCTTCACCCTCATACTCACTGTCGCACCCAGTATATGCTAGCGCTAGGATTGGTGCTCTGTTGATGATGTATCATAGCATAACATAAGTATCATGACCAGAATGACTCTCCAAGCTCTTCATTCTGACTCTATGCTCGCCAACTGGAAATCTTGACCGCGTAACTTGAGGTCTTTCAAGATAGTCCATCATGGTTTGATTACGTGGCAAGTTGAGTGGAAACATTGGTATTTACATCAGAACTCATTTTGAATCAAGCATCGGTTATCGCGCATATGTTTACGTTGATTCTGTTATGGCTAGATTTACACATCGGCTTGCCACGCCTAACCAAGATTGCCATTCACTCCATCTCGTGGAATAGCGATGGCGCAGAACAGGTTCAAAGACAATCACAGTACTCACACTTTCAACGTATGCGATGAAAGACTCTCGGATAAGATTAAAAGCATGTATAAGATTCTCATGAAGCAACAGTATTTCATACTCAAGATATTTGCATTACGTTATATTACCTAACACTAGACCGGAAACACACTGTTGACACTCCTTGCACTCAGAGCCTCAGCCTTCCCATGTACTGGCTCAATCTATCGACCAAACCTTTAACTAAACCTAGTTAGCCAAGACGTAAGATAACACACTCCTGGAAACTCACCGGTAGTGTCACTTTGTCTGCTCCGTAACCTTGTTCTCAGCGACCTCCATGACGAAAGACTTCATATCGTCCAGACGCATAACCTTTGTGCCATCGGCGAAATTGCTGTCGTGGGGCAGAGCTCCTTTGGAAGCGACGACAACATTGAGGTTGGGGTTCACAAAGACATTGTTTGCCGCTGGCGGCCAAAATGCTTTCCATGGCTGACTCATTGTCAAGAGTCGTTGGTCTTCAAAGCTTGAGAGGTTGTGAATCCGGAAACTCAGAAGATTCAAAGTGAAGTGGTAGTGTAATATCTTTGTGCCTCAGGCCTAGGCACAGGCCCTTTTATGTTTGGAGAATGAGGCTCAAAATCATGAGCTAAGGTCGATTTTGACCCGTGGTCTTGTCTTTCCCCTCTTTTCTCAGTGCCGCGCTATCCTGCTGCACGGGGCACACGGCCATTCCACAAGACTCGAAGCCATGCAACTATATTGACGACTCCGTTGGTCGAATGGAATTAACCCCGCACGGTTGAGCGCTGCCCAAGGTTTCAGTGAGCGATCTAGATGCCTTCGCTGTATGCTCCACACACTCCACATAATCACGCTTGCGCGTACCCACTTGGAAAACGCCATGTACATGTCAGATGTCCTTTACGTCAAGATACGAAAACTGGCTACTGAGTTGTATTCAATACGAGCTATGTATGATTTATCCCATATACTCCTCAATGATGGGTGTCTCAGCCTGTTCATGTTCGAATGTTTGTGCAAGCTGACATGACATCGAAAGTTGGAGAGATCCTTTTGTGGTTTGAGAAATACGGAGGTCATATTCACGAAGCAATTCGAATGGTTCACAATGCTGAGTTTGGATATCATCACATTGCCGGAGGTGGAAGCATTGAAGCCACGGAGGCTGTGTGCTATTGTCCTTTTGCATTAACTCTTTCCCACCTCAATGTCACACGCGATGCACCAACAAGCATACGAAACCACTTAGAGACCAGCATATGCTCGACATTGCAGGACGATCCACGGATCGAGGCGACTACGATCGCTACCTTCTTTCTCATGGAGCAGCGACTCGAGGCCGAAAGCAGCTTCTGGTTCCCGTATATACGATTACTTCCCGATATGGAAAGCATGACAACGCCGCTATGGTTTAATGACAACGAACTCACCTTTCTCAAAGGAACAAACTTGTTTTCCAACCAAACACCCTTTGAGCAAACATCGTTAGGTCTTCGACAAGAAGCCTATCGGAAGCAATGGCAGCTAGGGGTGCAAGTACTCGAAAGTCTAGGAGAGTCCAGGGATCGCTATAGTTGGTGAGTATCTGGGGACAGCTATAACCCTTCGATTTCTCAATGCTGCTAATGTTGGTCGTCCAAAGGGATCTTTTTCGATGGAGCGCGACTATATTCTCGTCGAGATCGTTCGCCTCAGATCTCTTCACTGCTGCTCGGACGTCCAACGCGACATCTCCTATCTTGTATCCTGTGTTAGACATCTTCAACCATAAACTCGGAGCGCAAGTCAGCTGGAAATTCGAAAGAGGCAATTTTACACTGTCTTTGCAGACTACCGTCAAACAGGGACAACAGATCTTCAACAACTACTCAGCGAAGGGGAACGAAGAATGTACGTGCTTTGCGTGTGTTGCTATGAGAGTATATGCTTATCATACCACAGTACTCTTGGGATTCGGCTTCTGCATCCCAGACAACCCACACGACCGTGTCGCCGTTCGGATTGGCCAAGTGGAACCGTTCGTTCATACAAGATTACGCAAGACTCTCCCAGATCATTGGCGATCAGAGCTTTGGAAGTCGGAAGAATCTGTCTTCTACATCTCGCTCAAGCTACACAATGGCGGTGAACCCTCAAAAGCCCACGACATCCCAAAACTAAAATGTCTGGAACATATTCCTGCGGAGTTGACGAAGTCAGTTTACATTATCGTCGACGCATACGCGGAGAACGTGGTCTTCGAGAACGCGTTCGTAAAATCGAAACAAGTGTGGGCAAACACTGTTGATGTGCTACTCACTACTTTGGAGAGAAGCCTCCAGGAGATTCATCAATGGGATAGCGAGTTGACAGACTGTACAATGACTTCGGGAGCAAAGGCTGCGTCAGTATACAGAGAGGGACAGATGAAGATACTGCAAGCAGTAACCTCTGAACTAAGGGCGTTTCTAACTCCCCTTCGTACTGGAGCTATTAATATCCTGGACTTGTTCTGAGCATCGCTCTTTGATATGTGAAGCGGGAGCTATATGAGGTCACCGTGCGTCAAGCATATGTATCTGGACTCGAATGGTATCTTATATGATTTATATGCCTTGAGAACTGGTGTTAGACCGTCTGGCGTCCATGTTGTCTACTGTCTACCTGTGAATCTCCCCGTTCTCTGCGAGAGGCCACATATACCCTTAGCCCTCGTTCTCGGCTCCTCAAACAGCTTGTATATGCCGTTCGCGGTCTCCACCCATCTATTAGAGGACATGATTCTATATGATTACTATTTACTCCCTGAGGGTGCCTTACGAAGATGTCTTCGAGTTCGGTGTCCACAAGCACTAGTTCACAAAGAACTCATTTCCTCGACCGTCATTCCCTCCTAATCATTTCTCTCAACAACATGTTGCTTCAGTCTGTATTTACATCATTCAAATAGAGCGATAGGTGATTATGCTCTCCCTATTATCTGTTCCTCCAACCTTTTTCCCGATTCCCCTATAGTCTTCCAATTTCTGGCACGAGTCAGTGGTAAAACACACCAACCACTTCCTCGGCTGATCAAAACCGAACCAGTCATCGTCTTCTTCCACAATGTCTACTCCAGGTTTCTTGTCTCGCGACCAGAACGGAGTCCCGTATTTGCCACCGATCACTGAAACCTTCCATTGGGTGCTGTCAAAGTCTCCTATAACATACCGCATCGCCATCGCATCATGTGCGCTGTTTGACCACTTGACAAGTATGTTCTCGGGTTTGACATCCCCATGAACGAGCTTCAGGGAGTGCATGTGCTCTATACCCGCAGCTATTGATTGCAAGCAATCCCGGATGTGTACAGGATAGCCACGTTCGATTGCTTCCCGAAGGTTACAATCGTACTTCTCAAACACTAAGTTCAAGACACGCTCCTGGTCCATGTTAAGGTTGATGGTTTCGTTGCGGTACTTGAATCGGAGCACACTGCTAGTCTCCACACCGTAATACTTGCAAATGCTTTTATGCGGCTGCGAATCGAGTATCTGACAAGCATCAATTTCCCGCGCAGTAGTGTGCGCTACAAAAGTTGAGTTGAGGGCCTGCCAAAGATACCGACGATCTGGCTCCAGTATAGCACCTTGTTTCTTGTACACGTCCCCTGCCATATGTTTATGGGAGTGGAAGAGGTTATAACGAGGCAAAACCTTTGGATATAAGTTGGCGGGATCGAGTTCGGGAGGGGGCAAACAGGTTTCTGGATCTCTCCAGAGCGAAGGGTCAGTGCAGTCGGCCTGGCTGTTGGACATGGTGCCTTCCTTGATTGCGTGATACAGTCGTCCGTTTTGGTGAGCCAATACCCATGTCTGGGGGATAGAGTTCTCGTGGTAAGTACGGTGGCCTACTATTTGCATCCATGGCCATGGCCGTTCTTCCTTATCCACGCCCATGAGTTCGCCGATGAACTTGATCATAATGCTATGATCGATATTCTAAGTTCTCGCGGTCAATACTAAAGTTTTCAAAGTAACGGAAGCGCTCAAAGTGATTAGGAAGAAAACGCCAGGCTCGCAAGAAGAAACCTCGCACTATGAACGGTGTAATTGTCTTGTACCGTGACTATACAGCTTATCGATCTAGATACAAGGAGAGATGATTGAACGGTGCTAGATTCGTCGAGACGGAAAACACTGCCACTTCCGACATAGTGAAATAGTGAAATGCTGTGCTAACGATACTGCACTATTACGAGCCAACGTAGATTCACAGTACATACGCTCATTAAGTACACCAGCAACCCACAACTTGTGTCCTCAACTTCTCTTGTTGTGATCCCCAGGCCAAACAAAGCCATGGCTCCAGCGTCTCGTCCCCCTGTGGCGCGCAGCTTAGCGGAATCTGCGCGACCCATCAAGAACGGCCTGGTACTTCACGAAAGGCGAAATTATGATGGAACCATCCGAGCAATCTTTGATTCAACAGTCTTTCCCGACAGCCTTTGGTACGCAGAGACCGAAAAGCCCAGCGACAAGAGCGCTCCCGATCCCGACCCGTACACTTGGGACACACCGCCGCGTTTGATAAACATTTTAAACGTCCGACCGGCTTACACAAAGTTCACGATGACATCCGCCAAATACCTTAAAAACAACAGATTATATGCCAAAACAATGGATTATCTCCGCTACTCCACTGAACTATTCGGGACACCATGTTGGCTCAAAGACATCGTGATGAGGGAGATTGAAAACTGTGAGATGCTACGTAAACACCCGCATTCAAACATATGTCGATATCGTGGTGTAGACTACGACTTGAAGAGTAAACGCATCATGGCGCTATTGTTCCAGAAGTACGACATGACTCTAGGCGAACTCTTAGCTGAGAAACATACTTTTGATGCCGAAAAATGTCTGCAGGATATCAGACAGGGCATTCGACATATACACTCTTTAGGCTACGTACACGTCGACATCAAGCCTTCGAATATCTTTGTGGATCTCAAAATACAGCCCGCCTGTTTTGTTGTTGGTGACTTTGATTCTATGCAAAAGCAAGGCTCATATTTAAGATACAAATGTGGTACAGAGGGTTGGAGGTTAGAAAGAGCAAGACATGAAGACTACAAGGCGAATGTCGAGCAAGATTGGTATGGGTTAGAGATGGTAGAGGCGTACATCAGGGAGAACGGGAACGGGAAGCCAGTGAAAGGAAGGAGTTATCCAAAGACAAGCGATATTTTGAAAAGGGCGAAGAGGAAGTTTGAGATCGACAAGAACGCTAGAAAGAAGCAGGAGGAGGCGGAACAGGCGGTGGCGAAGAAGAGAGCGGATGCTGCGAAGAGGATTGAGGCCCTAGAGAAAGCTGACGTGAAGAGGGCCAACGTCGTGAAACAAGCTGAGGTCGCGAAGAAGGCCAGTCCTCCAAAATCCACCGCCCTCCCGGAAACTCGAACTCAGCAAGCACCAGCCGCGACCAAGAAAGCTACATGTGCCAGCAGGAAACCTCGAGAGGCGGCGAAAAAAAGCCTACCCTCGGCCAAGAAGAAGTCAGGCGCGCCGAAGAAACTGAGGATAGGACCACCGTAGCATTGTCCATTGCATATGCTGTGACACGCAAAAGAACGGGTATCAATTAACTATGCCTACGCCATGAGATGCTTCCTTGTTCCCAAAATTTGGTGCACCAATACATAGAATACATGCTTCTCTCTCAATCTCATTGACTCCAACATGCAAACCCCACACTCAATCACTGTCACTGCCATAATCCACAAGCGGCCCCGCAACAGGCGCAGGCCGTTTGTTGGTCGGCGTAGCCTTGAACCCCTTGAGCGCCGCCAGTGTAGACCCTGACAAAATGCCATTACCCTGCTGTGCAATCGAGCTCTCCTGTTCTTGGACGGTATTGTCGCCGTCTTGGTAGGCCGGCTCTGCACTCTCAATCATCATGCGCTCGCCCATACCGCCTGATTCCAATTGCTTGGCTGCTTCCCAGTCGCTCTTTTCTTTTGCGTACCATACGTCATCCGGTGCTTCGTAGCCTTGTAGACCAAAGCTGCCTTCGACCTTCCTGCGCTTCTTGCTCTCGGGATCTCTGCCTTCTAGTTCGGCGACGTAGGCTGCGGGAAGGGCTTTTCGGATCGCCTCGGCGGCTTGTTCTTCGATGCGGCGGGCTTCGCGTTTCGCGGCTTGTGGGTTGGGGTCTACGGTTGCCCAGCGGACGTTTAGGATTTCGTTGTGGTCGAAAGATTGGTGCGCCATTGCTTCTTTGGCAAACTGCGAGTTGGCTTCATTGGTGTAGGTAACGAAGGCTACGCCGCGGGCTGTGAGGACACGGGTTCGTTCGATTTCGCCCCATTCTTGCATGTGGCGCGAGACGATTTCCTCGATGTCGTCGGTAGGGTGGATGCGTCCGATGTAAAGGGTTCGGTTTTGTCTTTGGAAGGTTCCTACTCCACCCATATCGTCTCGGTAGTCGGCATGCTTGTCGCGCCCGAAGCAGTCGACGTTGCTTGGGAAGATGTCGGTGACAGTAGGCAGACGATGGAGGTACTCGCAGTCCACACCCTTGGGGCAGATACCACGCGCAAAGAAGAGGCAGAAGTAGGATCCAGGCGTCTTGTCGGCTTTGGTGTATCCGCTGTCCTTTGCGATGTTGCAGCGTCCCTGGGCGGCCGTCTTGGAGAGGTACTTGTCCTCCCTATCACCGCCAGACCACTTGTTGTACCATACGTTGTAGATGTTACCCGTCTGCGCAACTTCCTGGGGCTTTATCGTCGCAGGATCGACTTGTGGACGCGCCGGTCTCCGTTTGCGACGGATGATCTTCTTGACTTTTTTGCCCTCAGCATTGGTCGTGATGATTGTCTGTTCTGTCGTCGTAACAAGCTCGGTCGACGCGGTCGGTTCGAGAGATGTGTCTGCTGCGAGCGACGTTTCTGTGTGTTCTTGTACTTCTGTCATGGTTGTGATGTTGGAGTTGTGGTGAGAGATGTCGCGCCGGAACTTTCGACATGCGACAACCTTGCGCTAGCGTGCGGCTCTCGACGGCACGTGACCGGGTTGCTTCACCACCTGGACTTCCCATTGGATGGCTTTGATTTCAAGCCTCAGCATTCAAAACTCTATGCACAAACTCAACACTTGAAATATCATCATCGAAAATCTCTAAATATGCCAGATGCCATTTCTCTGCATCTACAGACCCCTCTCACTTACTCGTAGTACTACTCATCTTGATTGCTCCATCAATCTCCACAACAGCTCCATTAACATACCGTGCTCCTTCTCCAAACAAGAATGCAACAACATCCGCCACTTCTTCCGGCTCTCCCAATCTCTCCAACGCATTCCCGTTCCTCATCCTCTCCACTGCCTCGCCTCCCTTCACGATACCCGCATTCGACGGCGTATCAATATAGCCCGGACATATAGCATTGACCCTGATTCCCCTGGGACCAAATTCCAGAGCATGCGATTTCGTCATGCCGATCAGCCCGAATTTCGTCGTGCAGTATACGGATTGGAAAGCTGAACCTCGTATGCCGGATACACTGCTCACATTGACGATAGCGGACCCACGACTCAGATACGGAAGACAGGCCTTCGTAACAAGAAACACGCCCTTGAGGTTCGTATTGACGAGTTTATCCCAGTACTCTTCACTTGTGTCTTCTAGCTTTATGCTCGTGGGATTCACGCCAGCGCAATTGAAAACGTAGTCCAATCGACCCAGTCCCTTGACGGTGCTGTCAACGAATTCCTGAACCTCGGCAGCAGAGCTCACGTCGACTCTCCGTGTGAGGGTGGGTGTTTCGCATTCTGAAGCTACGGCGCTGAGGCTGGGGAAGTTGACGTCGCAGAGGGAGACGGAGGCACCGAGGGAGGAGAGTTTGAGGGCAGTTGCGCGGCTTTTGTTCGTGTTAGTGGGATGCTCATACTTGGGTATGCGAGAGAAGAGGAGAGGGAAGGAAGACAGAGATGTACCCGATACCGCTTGCAGCACCCGTAACCAGGACGACTTTATCTTGGAATTCTTTCGACATGCTGCGTGCGAAGTTGTAGAATGTACGTCGCGATACTAAGACGGGCTGAGAATAGGTTGCGGATTATACTCGCACGCGTACACAAGCGTGGTAGGCATGACGACGGTTGTGATGATGGATGTTTGGGGTAAAGGTGGGGTGAAGTGGGATGTACTGTACATGACTCGAGTAACGGAGGAGCTCTTGCATGATAACCTCCACCTTCCTGCAGAGCCTCACAACCACTGCGACTATTTACGCATGTAGTGTAGGAATTCGATTTAGCAATATCTCAGTCAATATCCCGAACGTTTGAACCTTCCTGTAGTGCCATTCAAACAGTACATTCATTTCTCATCCAGTCATGCCACTCGTATCTATGAAGACGAACGAATCCAGAACACCTTGCAATGCAATCATAAATCGATTGTCCCGCCAATAATTACACCATGTAGCCCAAACGCAACCATGTCAGTGTGTTTGCCTTCCGCCTGTAGTGATCATCCAGCTCATGAATGATTTGGGTGCGTTTTAGACTCATGTTGATGCGTTGCAGACTCATTTTGGTGCGTTGGCCCTGTTCTTATGGTAGCTCGGGATCTTGACCTTTCGCCTCCTCGCTCTCGATTTCCTCGTTCTTCGTCCGAGTGCGTCTTGTCCTCCAGTCTTTCTGCATCTCGTGGGTGCAGACCGCCACCCTTATCCTTCTGATTGTCACTTTTGTCATCCTTCTCCGTATTCGAGGAACCGTTCGGTCTGTTGTCGTGCTTTGAGCCGCCACCACCATCTAGGATTAAGCTGCGCACTTTCTTGACAAGGTCGTCTACCTTGAACGGTTTGGAGATGACATCGTCCATGCCGGCTTCACGCATGCTGCTTGTCTGTGCTTCTCGTACGTTTGCAGAAACACCCAGGATATGACTATATCCAGCCTTGCCCTCATCTTGTAGTTGTCTGATCTCTTTTGTTGCAGCATTACCATCTTTTATAGGCATTTCTTGGTCCATGAGTATACAGTCGAAATAGTTGCGATCGTCGGGGCCGTTGTCTGCCATCTGTCCACGCTCGGACACTGCCTCGATTGCTTCCTGGCCGTTATTTGCTGTAAAGACCTGAAAACCGCGGGACTGAAGCTGCCGCCGGAGGACCTTCTGATTGATCAAATTGTCTTCGACAAGAAGGAGAGTATGTGTGGATTCAGAGCGTTTATCGCTCTGAGATCTCGTGACTTCTAAAGCGTCGTCTTCTTGCCGTGATGTTTCGCCTCTCCTCAAATCGGGCAGCGTTTTTTCCATGTTTGGTTTGATTGTCTTGATATCTTCTGTGGCCTTCTCCGTCTCCTTGTAGCGCGCGTCTTCGTTCGACTCAGGATGTGCTTCTGGTCGATCTTCTACCGGTGGATCCTTAAGTGAGTTCTCCATATCGTCGGTGTCGACACCGTGATGACTGGCTATTGTTTTTGCTTCAGGGCGTTCGTTGTTCCGTTCTTTGATGCTCGAGAGATTCGAATTTGCACGACTGATCCCTGGGCGAGATGGTCGCGACCCTGATTCGCCTGGACGGGAGGAATGATTGGAGGTTTCCGAGTTACTTCGCGATTGTCCCGACGGTCGTCTCTCCTCATTTCCACCAGTCGCGCGACGTACTTTGAAGAAGAAACCAAAAGTTGAGCCTTCCCCCTCTTTCGAACTGACGCCAATGTCTCCACCGTGTAATGTGCATACTGTCGGCGAGTTAGCTATGAAGTAACTGGGGTGGATACTAACACACATTTGCGGGATATGAAAAGACCAAGACCTGAGCCGCCGTATTTTTCTTGTGTTTTCGGTGTCGCTTGTCTGATGTATGATTAGCGTCGGGGACATACTGTGTCCAGGAGCGCGCGTCGTACCTAAAACGCTCGAATAATTTGGCTTGACCTTCTTTGCTGATACCTATGCCAGTATCTTTAACAGCTACCATCAAGTACATAGCGGCCCCAGAACCCCATTCCGATGTCATGGTTGAATCCAAATGGAATGCTTCCTTCTCTTCACTAAAGTAAATGACGTTGGGTGGGTAAGATGTAGGTCGCTCGACTGACGCGCCCATGGATACAGTGATGTTACGGTCGCCATTTTTCTTGGAGGTGAACTTGATGGCGTTGGTTATCAGATTGACCAAAACTAGAGATGTTACTAATATTCAATGGGATATTGGGTAGTCCTTACCTTGCTTCATGCGATTGAGGTCGGCGACAACAGTATCCATTTTCTGTTCCTCATATGAAACATCCATAGCGTAGTGAAATGTGATGTTCTTCGCTTTGAATTCGGAATGGAAAACTCGAAGCGCTTGGGAGAATTCCCACTTAGGCTTTGTTGCTACAGTAATTCAGCAAGCGAACGACATAGCATAGTTGTGGGAACACTGACGTCGAGGTACCAAAGACAACATCATAGAGTCGAGCTTGGAAAAAGATAAAATGTCGTCTACAAGAGTATTCTGGTGTGAGACGCAAAGAAGTATAGTGTCGGCAGCATCCAATATATCGGCTACCTGGTCGCGAACGTCTTCGTGATCGGCCCCAATCTCTTTCGTGATTTCTCTCACTTCTTCGGCCAAGTGCAAGACAGCCGAAAGGGGATTTCGAATTTCGTGCGAGACCATGTCAATAAATCTCTCCTGCTGCTCCTTGCGATCTTTGGCATCATTGGCGGCTTTCTCTTGAGTTAGTTGGGCCTGTTTAATGTCGGTGATGTCGATGACGGCGCTAATAAAACCGGCGTTTTCCTCCTCACTCAGAGGCTTCAGCAAGAACAATCTCCATTGCTCTCCCTTGGACTTCATTTCTTCGGGCTCTGCGACATCACATCTAAACTCTATTTGCAACTCAGTACGGCTTTCGAATGCCTTGCGATAGGCGGTCATGACATCTTCATAGTCGTCAGGGTGTATGCTCTCGGGCCACGAGCGAAACTCGTTGCTTCCTTTGTTGGTTGTTAGTTTAAAGAAGCCGTCGTTGACGAAGATGGCTTCGGCGTCTTTGTCAAGAATGGCCAGTCCATTGGGCAGCAGCTCGGCGAAGCGCTGAAACATGCTGGTCGACATGGAATCGGCCTGCTCCATGTCTTTATGCTTGCTTTGCTGCTGAGATTCTTTATTCTTAACTTGTCTTCCTGGATGCTGTCGCGAAAGTTCGTCTATGCCCTCTATGGGCATGTAGCGGTCCACGTTCTGATTTTCGAGGAGTTGGGCCAGTACACCCTGTCGTGTGCCACTTTCGTCTAGGATAGTGCTGAGGAGAAGCTGCTGGTTCTTTTCCTCCGCGAAGTTCTTGAGGAAAAACCTGGCGGCTAGACTGTCAGTACGTCGCATAATTTGTACATGAACATGGTGCGATGCTTACCTACCTTGACCGTTCGTCCTCTCAGCACCGTCCGCAGCGTGCCGAGTGCTTCATGGTTGTAACTGTCGCGCGCGCGCGTGGCTTGACCGTCAAGACCACCTCTAGCCTTCTCCCAGGCCAAGTTGTGGATGACTATCATGTCCTTGCCCCAGAAGATGGCAGCGCAGTGGGGCATAGGCAGCACGCATGTGTTGACGAGACATGTCAACGCAACGGGCCACGACTCGCGTGCGCCTATGGGTGTTTTAGTCCTGGGGCTGTCAGTACTGGCACACAACGAGAGCACTTGTATAGTCGTTGTCTTCTCACCAGTCCTTGCGTTGCAGGTTCTCCTCATTGAGATCAAATACTGGCAAGCCCGTCGCAGATAGCTTGTCGAGGTTCTCCATGGCGCTGGTTCCGGGGAATGCGCTCGGCGTGTCTCAAAGCGAAAGCAGCTGGTGGGAACAAGCGTGCTTAGAGACGGAAGATCAGTGTGACGTCATATCATGGCTCAAAGACCACGACCTTACGGGTGCGTGCCTGTGAAGAGGCGATTTGAGACCAGGAACGTCGAGTTGCACTGCTGAGGGCGAGGAACAGGGCACATGAGGTAGCAGAGTCTACGCGGTCTAGACCGGCATATCGCACTCGATTGCGATCTCTGCAGCGCCGTGGGTGCTGGCAGAACATGCATCGGGTGATGAGCTGAACATCATCGCCGATTGGGGCATGTCAGTCTAACTTTACTGGGGATTCGCGAACGGCAAGATACGTCACCAGCCTAGTAATAGATTTTGACATGAAAATACTATAACATGCATGTGTTGGTAGCCATTCCCTGCAAGACACAATAGCGGGACGCCTAGCCCCGCCTTCGCCTCTGAGCAGCTGAACGTGGCACTATGCGCCTCACAAACCACGACAAGATTAAGAAGCAGCGAAACAACATCCATAATACTAAAAAAGCGATTGTCCTAGTGGAAACTAACAACCTTGTCATGCGCTCGAGTCGCAATGATGCCCGCCGCTCCATCTATACCCAATTAGAACTGCGCGACGCCTTCCCTCTCACAACCCGACAAGAACTGATTCCAATCCATGACTAGCCGGCGGCCAGCCCAGGTACTCGTGCTAAACTCGCCCCCCTCATTGCCGTAGCCACTATCGCTCGCGCCGTCAAGACCGTATTCATAGTCCACGTCTCTCTCTAGCTCTCCGTCATCTTTTATTTCCTTCTCGACCACAGGACTGGCTTCCTCGACTTCTCTGAATAGCCTCCTTGCAGCGGCAGTCTCTCCTACATTCGCGCCGCCGCACCCAAATCCGCAGATGCGCCGGCCACAAGGACGCCAGAATCGGTACTCGGCGACTTGAGGCTCAGAGAGAGGGTGGACGCCCAGAAGGCCCGAGTCGATACTGCGGTTGGACGTGTAGAAGAGCATGGTACCACAAGGATCAATGGGTGAAGTCGCTTCAGATTCCACTCCGTTGGCGATCGGGAAAGACGGACACGCTGTTTGACAATACGATGCTGATTGCGAAGAACGGATAGATGAAGGCGGAGAGGCAGGGTATGCGCAGGGAATGCGAGTGTTGGTGTGAAACTCAGGTCTAGAACCTGAATTGCGCATGGAATTGGGCGACAACTCCGGGAAACCTTGCTTTGCAGCCATCTTCTTCAGCATGGCGGTACGTGGGGATACACATCTTAGTAGACTTGTTGGAGGAGTTGCAAGACCTTCAATACCCTGCGACGATGCTGATGGAGTGCGGCAGCCATTGCGTGTTTCCGGTTTCGTGAGAACCTCATCAATAAGACCCATTTGTGGTGAGCACTGGCCGTATCCGTCCAAGTCGTAACGGCGAGAAGGCCCGCATATGTTCGAGCTGTTGGTACTAATTGGGCTCACCGTACGCACTGCGGAGCTCAGAGCGCGAGGTGTTGCAACCCCGCTTCCAGCATCGGATGCGGGTGAAGGGTAGGTTTCTCTTGCAGTCAAAGTAGGAGATAATGGTGTAGGAAAGCCCGGATATTTCCTTCCGACGTCTGTCAGAAGTGATAGGTGCGGTCTCATAGGACTGGGCTGAGGCAACGCAGCGCTCAAAGCACCCATATCGTAGACAGGGCAGCTACTAGCGTACTGCGATGGGCTCACAAAGCCATTCACAGATCCATCAAGTGAACCCACCCAAGAAGGCAGCCGGTCATCTTCGTCCGTTGGCGTGTGCTGGAAGCTGCTGTTTGTAAAGAAGTTCGTAGGACTTGTAGGACTGTTGTTATTACTGCAGCTGGAGGACCCTTCACTCGTGATTCGACGTAAAGCTAAAGCCGTAAGAGCGTTCATCGGCTCCGCTCTGGAAAAGCGAGCATCATCACACGACCAGAGTCCGCCATACAACTGCCACGGGAAATTTTGAAGGAAGTGATCTTCTGGGTAGACATCGTATCCGAGGGTACGAGCACGGAAGAAGGCGTACACGAAGCGACAGTCGGGGAACTGACGAAGCACCTAAAGAGAAGATCTTTAGTGAAAGTCATTGTAAAAGAAAAATGGGAGGCATGGAGGAATCGTAGAGGCGTAAGCGTTCGACTGTGCATTTGACGAGTGCCAAGTAGATAATTATATAGGAGTAAAGGCTTGGAGATGGATGCTCATACATCCCAAGCAGGAAACAAAGGCGGTGTCGCTGTAAGCCTGCGCAGAGTCAGCATGTAATAATCAGCTATCGACTAGTGGGCATACATCAAGATCTCATAAGCAGCGTATTTCCTGAGCTTTCCAACGCCACGACGATATGCATGCAAGACTTCAGGTCGAGCTGTCCTGATATTCTTTCGGCCAAGCAGCTTATGCATAGCAGGGCTCGTGTGGTACATGGGATCGTAGACTACCAGGTTGCATGAGCCGTTCAAGTGACGCTCAAAACCGATGACGCTGATAGAGTGACCTGGTTGTTGAAGATAGATGGGGGGTAGAAGAGTTTTGTTAACGTTAGACCCATCGCTGGCGGCTGCTCGGGCAAAGTATCGCTCCATGGCGGCGAGAAGTAGTTCGTGGGCTGCAACGTCGCGGTCTTTATTGTCGCTGAACTGCTCGACAGCGCAATTAATCTCGGAGTTCAAAAAGAAAGCTTGAGCCTAGACCATGTCAGTGGGACACAATGAGGCATAGGGATATAGGTTATTACCTCAGGTGTGCCGATATACTTTCTAGTATCACGTATACCGCCAGTTTGAACACGGCCAATCTCATTGATTCCTTTGTCCCAAGCGTCTTCAATATGGTCTTGCATTTTCAGAACTGTTGGGAGCCGCCCAGGAAACTCTTCGTAGCCCTGAGCCTTTGCGCCTTGAATGTAGGATAGCAACATTTGTATATTCCGATAGCCACAAAAGCCACCTTCGTGGGGCGTTTTGCCAACATGGAGTGTCGACGGGTGACAGTAGTAAGCTTGTTTGACGGAACGATCGAGAGCGGATAGTTGAGCAAGGATGGGTATAATGCCTGGCGTCTCGTTTTGCACCTGGTCATGCTTGATGAGACGGCCATCTCGGCCAATACGGTTAACCGCAGTGATCTTTGGACCCGCCTCAAGCTGGTCGTGCAGCCACCTAGGCATTCGGTTCTCCCAGGCATAGGGTCCGAGCTCGGATTTCTGGAAGAGTCAGTTATGTTTTACTGTCAGGACGATGAACTAACCCCCAAGCGGGCACTTTTGATTGGCGGCTTGATGGTTCGGTCAGCTTTCGCAAAGGGGTTGAAGCCTAGGATGCTCCTTCCAATAGTGCTCTTCTCGCTATCATTGGTATCACGCCTCTGACGATGGGTGTGCCTCTTGGATTTGCGGCTATGAGCCTCGGTCTTCAACGTATCTGACAATTCTGTGCTGAGACTTCGCTCAGATATTGTTGTCTTTGCTCGGCTCGCATGTGAACGACGAGAGGAGGTCGAGCTTTGCATAGTAGCGGATGAACGCCGAGAATGATACTTGCCTGTAGTCTCGTCAAATGATAAAGTTTCTGCGTTGTGGTATTCGATATGGTCGTTGAAGTCAGAGAGAGGAACGAGTTCGCCGCAGTCAGGATCAGGGCACTTTACAGCGCTTTCCTCTTCTTCGGAGTCGTCAGAGGAAGGCGTGTCCTCGGTGTCGTGCTGAGTTGAGGAAGGTCTAGGGACCAAGGTTGGTGGTAACGGCTCAGGGTCGTCTTCGATCACGAAAGGAGAACCCTCAGTATGCGCTTGCTCAAAGTGTAATTGAAGCATGTAGTCATCTTTTGGAAGCACAGTGAACTTGCACATGGGGCACTCCAAAAGCTCCATCTGGCTCATCATTCCTGTGCAGGTGAGCTTGCGAACGTGAAGATGGCGGCCAGCACTTCCTGGTCTCAGACACGTGGAGTGAGTGACGGCGTGCGGCGTCTCGTTGTTCACATGTATGGAAACTGTCACCTTATGCGCAGGCGGTTGATTCTGCCGTGGTAGTCGCTGTTGGCTTCCGTGGCTTAGCATGACGAACGCGGTGCAGACGCACATGAGACAGCAATCTACAAGTTTGGCAAGAATCACACATACTGAAGACTGCCTTATAAGATAAAGACGTTGTTCGCGAGGGAATGACGATGTTGGCGGTGAAGACCAGGCAAGACTGATGTGAAGAAGGTGCGACGCTCGTGTACAGCCGAAAGATGCAGCCAGTCGAACACGCCAAGACGCGTGACGCGAACTCAAACCGATGCAAATTCAGTGCTAAGATATGTTGATGCCATGTCGGTGTGAAGACGATGGATTTGTTGCTGACAAGTGGGTCACAGCGAAGCGGTCAGCCTCGCACGGCATTGACGGATAGAAGAACTGGAACGCTCGATGTTGGCAGCTTTGCAAACGCCCATCTTGGACGAGCATGCGAAGTCTGAAGTGCGACCATGTCTGATAGTGAGAGGGTGCATACATGATGGAATTTGAAGAGTCTCGTCGCCTACGTCATGACGTCGCCAAGAGCCGCCCAAGGATAGCATCTACCTCGGATTTGGCGTTGCCCGCAAACTTTCCTTCCCAATGCTGCTCCGGACGCTGTGCACACCTCGCATCGCCAGGAGACACACAAATCGCATACAATGGCGACGAATACCGCTGCGATGCTATTCTTCAGCCAACTCGGGCGATCCGCCATGGTTCCAACAGCTGCAGAGCGAATTGCTGCAACGAGACGTTACTCATATTCGTGATCAACTCACCTACACGCACGGGATCAAGCTCTCGCAAACATTAGCGGGATTTTTACCTCGATCATGGTGCCGTTCCCTGAACTACAGTGGCTCACCGATGGCTTTTGGGGATCACTTGGTATGGTTCAATCCGGCGGAGGCGACCTCCAAACTACTTCCAGATGGGACAGACGCAACACATAGCCCAGGCGAGCCATGGGTGCGGCGCATGTGGGCTGGCGGCTCGATACAGCTGAAACCTAATGGTTATCCCGACTACGCTCGTTGCTGTACAGCAGGCACGGTCATGGCTGGTACAGAGCAGATAAAGCATGTACGACTACATGGAGAGGGCGATACCGCCAAGATCTTTGTCACAATCGAGCGGCGCTTCGCAGGCCTTGAAGACGCAAAGAGAGGCGTCGACAAAGGGAAGGATGGCAAGAGAATACCGGGCGTCAGTGTGCACCCTCAAGAGGCCGGAGGAGATCTCACACAGCAATTGCGCGCTAAGGTTGACAATGGCTGGGGCGATGCTGTTCTAAAAGAGGAGCGTAACCTGGTCTTTTTCAAGGAACGTACCGCTGCAGAACTCGAGGCTGTCAAAGCTGGTCAAATGGCGACTGTCAAGTACTTAGATCGTACGTATCCTCGCAAACCATTGGGCTATCTACTGACTGTTAACAGCCCCTGGAAACCCCGACTTTTCACACACCCTCACACCGAACCGCGCCCTTCTCTTCCGCTTCTCTGCTCTCACATTTAACGCCCATCTCATCCACCTCGATCGCGACTACGCTCGCAACGTCGAGGGCCACCGTAATCTGCTAGTTCACGGGCCGCTTTCATTGACTCTCATGTTGAAAACGGTGAATCATTACGTGCACCAACAAACGAAAGGGAAGCAAGTTTCAGAGTCCATAGAGTATCGCAACCTAGCACCGCTTTATTGCGACGAGGAAATGCGCATATGCTGTTCGGAGAAGAAGAAGTTGCAGAATGGCAGTATATACGATGTATGGATTGAGGGGCCTACTGGTGGTGTTGCTGTCAAGGGCACTCTTCGCACCACAACAAATGATGCTTGGACGAAGAAGGATACCGGCATCGCCCAAACACATAGCGCCACACCAACCGATGAGCTGAAGACGCAATGGCCTTCATTCAAAAGGCCTGAACACCCTAAGCTCAGAAGGAAGTTACTCAACACGACCAACAGAGCTAGGAAGATGGCTAAGAGCTCTAAGAATGGTACTCAGGTTCACGTCGCATCAGGGGACAAGCGGCCATTGCAAGACTCGCCGGCGCCTCCAAGCTCAGAGCCTACGACAAACCCTGAGACCTCTGCAAATTCCGAGTCCTCGACAAGTTCTGAGCCTACTACTCAGAACCAAGGTGAGATTCCAAGCCAGTCTACTTCCAGTGGAACTACCTCTCAACCACCGTCTAGAGAAGTAACTTCCGCAACCGCACACGAAACAAACCGAGCATACCGCCGCAAACGTGCCCATAACACCAAAGCCTACAATTTCATCACCCTTCCTCCCAGCGAACCGCCACCTGCCCGTGTCGTCAACTCTTACACGCCCGTAAAACCGACGCTATCGGTACGGGCGAAGGAGCTTTTGCGCCGTGCCCGCCGACGTAAGCCAGCCAAGATTAAGGTTGATCCTATCCCGTTGGTGCGCAGATTTGATGCGAGGCCGTATGCTCCAGATCCTGTTCGGACTGCTGCGAGGCATAGCAGATATTCGAGAAGAGGCGTCAGGAAGATGGAAAAGCTTAAGATTCGCCACGTTGCTTTGCCTTCTGGTCGTTAGACAGAAAGACGGAGGGTGGTTATAAGACGACACATAAGAACGTAAAGAAAATGAAGATAAAGTATGGCATCTATGGAGCGTCAGTTACACATGAATGACCCACCTTCGCCAGCCATAAGATCTAGCCTGCGACCAAGGAGCTTTTCTCGACATTCGGCAAGTCGTGTACAATGAGTATGTGGCGATGCAACGATCATGGTCGCAACAGAAAAGAAACGAGTCCATGGAGTACATGGAGTCGATGAGAGGATGGTCAACATGAAAGCAACGTTTCAGCGGTAAGCCCGTTCTACCTTCAAGTCTCTAAAGAGTGGAAAAGCACAGTGCTGAAAGCGGGGAAAAAAGCAGCTAATAGAAACTGTCCAATGCCAAAGCCTTGCTCCTCTGTTTCCGCGATCAAACAGTAAAGTACTGAGACCAAGAAGCTCACGACAACGATGAGGAGTATAGTGATCGAAATTGCTGTTTTATCCGGGCCTTCGATGATGTGAACACCCCATCCGAACGCTAATTCCGATTTCGTGTCGTGAATACTTTGGCCGATCTTCTTCGGTAGACGTTGGAGGTATTTGGATGTGCTATGCACGTTCATACTACCATCTTTGTGGTCTTTGTGCTTGTTCATGTAGTGGAAGAATATGCGATGATCGATAGGTGGCTTGACCTTAAGTGGGCATTCTTTGTAGTCATACCTATTTTCTCTGACTTCGTCCTCTGGTGGTATGGCAAGCGGCTTTTCGTATATACCGACGCGATGTCTTTCTTCGACACTGAACTGTGGGCTGTAAGTTGGAACTGCGTTTGACATCGTTTGGAGTTGTTTAGACTGAAGTGCTTACAAGTACGAAGTGAATGTCAGCAGGCCTGACGAAGATTCTTCTTATACGATGGCCTCGGATTCTCTTATACTCTTGGTAGATACGGCTGAAGAGCTCCGCGTCGGTCGAGACGTCCTTGAGATTGATTTCACCAAGGTTAACATTGTAAGTTCCAGTATTGACGCAGAGTTCGAAGTACGTTTTCTTTCCTGCAACTAAAAGTGGAGTAGTGACAGAAGAACGTCCGGCAGCTGTCTGTGTCAAGGACGATGAGCTGCTCACTACTCCTGCACCTATCGGTTGCAATTGAATTGACGTAGATGGCATCGAGCTGCCAGCATTAGCAACTCCGCTTTGGCTATGTCCAGGGCTCGCTCTCCCACTGCGGTCGTTGCTAGCGGAAACCTGACCTGACAGGCGGGTATCTTCGCTTCCAATGACTTCCGATATTGGCAGCCTTTGTTCCCGGCTAGACGTAAAATCTTGCAGACTCGCTGCAAAGAGGTTGAGCGCTATAGGATCGTCATTGCTATAGTCGCCGTACATTTCTTCACCGCATTCCTAGTTGACGTGAGCCAGAGGATACTGAGGAAGCTTTGCACTTACACATGTCCACTCTATTCTTTCGTACCCTTTTGGAACTGTAGGTCGTACAAGATATTTCATAGCCTTCATGATTTTCTTCCAGAGAGGCAAAATCCTGTCCTGGTAACCAAAGCTCGGCGAAAGTTGGAAAACTGCCTGCGCTGCTACTGAACGTTCTGAACACTCTGATTTTACGCTGGCTACTTCGCAATCGTCATTCGCGCCTTCATCGTTGCTCTTCGAGAGAGTGTCGCCCACGATAAGGAGTTCTTCTCGATCACTTTGTTCCTCCCAGTTGCTTTGTTCTTCCCAATCACTTTGTTTTTCCCAATTGCTTTGTTCTTCCCAGTTACCCTGTTCTTCCCAGTTGCTTGGCTCTTCGTTCGACTCGAAAGGAGGTGCATTAGGAGGAGTCTTCGGTGCTACGCTCGATGCATCCATCCTTCCATCAGGACGATTCCACCACGTGGTCTTCATTTTGAGGTTCAGATCAGGCTGCAGTTGCTCTAGGTCAGGTCTTTTGTCGGATATGTTCTCGCGGAGGTCTTCATATGCTTCTGAGATGACGCGGAACGGAGCTATAGGTGGTTGCAACGGTGTCGCATCACGACCTGTGAATGCAAGCGGTCGTGGAACAGGTCGTCGCTCTAGCCTTGAGATATCGGAATCGATCTTTCGATCAGAAAACTGGAGTTGAGTAAGAGAGGTGTCATCGATAGGGCTTTCCGTGGTAGCACCCCCGTGGAATAAGCTCTCGGATATCTCTTGGTTCTCGAGAATCTTTATCTCTAGGATCTGTTTGCGATGCGCTGTCTGACCAAGAGGCTTGTTCTTGATCAATTTTCCCTTATTTATCTGCATCGATGCTCGTTCCCGAGGATTGACCTGTAGAAGCGGTTGTTGTAACAGGTTAATCTTTGGCTCAGACGACCTCTGAATCAAAGCTTCTTCCTCAATCTTCTTGAGTGCAATCATGACTATAGGATCCGTCTCTCTTGAGTGCTTCCTCAGACTTTTTATATCGCCTTCGGCGCTATCACTCAGCCTTTTCAGCTTCTCGCAGAGCTCCCCTATGTTGTACCGGGCCGATGAATCTGCTCGTAGTAGCCTGTGTTCTATCATGTCCAGCACCAATTCTGTGGTCGTATCTGAGAGACGAAGATGCCCCCGAAGATAATCATGCCACTTCCCTACTTCAGGTAGAACATTGGACCCATCGTGGAAACGATCGAAAGCAATGCCGTCTACGTTGTTCGCTGGAGCTAGCTGTCGGAAACGTTCGTATTGATGGAGACCTTGGGGCCCCAAGACTATCCACGTTGCAGCTACTGATAGTATGCAGCCAAACGACCAGATATCAATAGCCTGCGAGACTCTGGACAAGTTCCCCTTCGGTTGTTCCGTGCGTGAAACCTCAGGTGCAGCTGCGAACAATCAACAAAATCTCAGTTGCTCGTTGTGATACACAGGCTTACCGTATGTATCGGTAAACACCTTCTCAATCTCGTTTCGTTCTGAGCCGTTCTGGTCCTGATTTCCAAAAGCGAAGCTAGAGAGACCGAAGCCAGCTAGCTTTAGCCGTCCGCGAACGCTAAGGATATTCTCGGGTTTGATATTTGCATGCCATCTGGCCCTTGTTAGTGGTAAAACGTTCACATCTTCCTAGTTATGTACCCATGGTATGTCCAGGTTTGGTCCTTGCCCCGCCGGATTTTGAGATGAACTTGATTAACAGCCTTGGCAATATCGAAAATTGATTTCCAGCTTTGTAAGATCTCCTGGGCTTGTACAGGGGGAACGTTGGTCTCGTCCACCCATGTTTGGTACAAGTCATTCTCACCATACTCCAGCAGCAGATTATAAGTCTTTCCGAATCCCTCACCTTCACCGTAGTCATGTGTGTAGGAGCCCAGGTATTGCAGTATAGGGATCTGGTCGTTCGACTGCAGATCTGAAAACGTTTCCTTCTCCAACTCGAACTCCCGCTGCTTGTCGCCGCAATAGGATTTCAAAACCATTTGATAACACTGAAAGGCATTAGTTCGCTCTGATAGCGCCTTCGAGGGAAGCTGACCTCTCCAAACTCGTCGTCCGTGTAGATCGAGCCTTGCAAAGCAAGTGCAAGTGCATTATCCGAAATCAGATCCTTCTGTACAGCCACCCAGTATATGGACGCAGTGCCTTCTTTTTCAGATATTTTAGTCTTCAAACAAAACGGAGGAATGACTTTTGTCCCATGCAAGTTTTCGTCCATGTCCAGAGTCAAGTTCAATGGACACCACTTCCATCTCTCCCTGTCAAAATCTACAATGATGGTCTCCACTTCACCGGGGCGCACAACGCCAACCAGCTTCTCGCGAAGGTCCTGGTAATTCTCGATTCGTGTGAGACAATGGTCGTAGAGTTTTGCTTCGTAAAACCGGTCGACGAGATGATCGAGGTCCTGTGTGAGCAAGAGACTGAGAACGCGAAGACAGGACTGTCCGCTTTTAGAGATTCTAGTAGGCTTAATTGGTAGGATTCGGTGGGGTGAGATTGGCATTTCGCGCATGAAACGATCCAGCTTCGTATATTTGGGACTTTCGGATCCTTGCTTTCTCCACCATGCTTCTAGAGCGTTAACGTGCACAATCTCGCGCTGGCAGCTGCAAGAATCAACCGGACATGCGCTCTGACACGCTACTGGACGTGTCCATTGCGTTTCCAAAAGGCTCCTGAACTCTTCCCTGATGGACAGAGACTGACGTTGTTGCTCGTTCGCACCTGGCATTGCGTCTCGGTTTCGAGTTCAGTGAACATTGACTCTTTCGTATTTGACAGGAGGTAGAGAACTGATCTCGGTTCTTGGAACTAGCAATAGAAAGAATGTGGTACATAAGATGTGTTGATGTTTGATAATTTGTAATAGTTGACAGCGGATGACAGTAGAGGAACTACGAGGCGACGGAGAGGAAACAAGACTGATTTGATCAATAGAACTGTCGTGCTACTAGAACAGTGACGAGGCGATAAAAGGCTGACAGAATCGAACGGTGAGAGGCTGTGCTTCTTCTGCGGATGACGTGAAAGCTTGCCAGGCAGAACGCGGTCCAAGCGAACGTGGTCCAAGCGAACGTGGTCCAAGCGAACGTATGAGACGGCCTCCGAATGCAACTATCAACATTGCATGGAGGGGTAGACGATGCCCAATAGGAGAAGCCCACTTAATTTGGCCGCTTTAGCGTTCATGCCACCGACGCTCAGCCGTACAGCTCAGCCTCGAGCATGCGCAGGCGTCTGCCTTGTCTCCATAACGTGGGGGAGTGGTAGCCTGAAAGTTTGTGGTTCAGTTTGTGCGACAGTTTGGCAGGTAAGAGTTCGAGCTTCTTGCCTACTGCTGCCGAGATTAGTGGTCCATCTGATTGCTTTGCTAGCTTCGTTGACTTTGAAATCCTGTACATTGACGTGTGCTAAGGATGTGGCGTTCAAGGGCGCTTAAAGTGACTTTCTTTCACCTTATTCGTCAGAGAAAACGGAGTGCAGTAAAATCACGAATTGAATAAAACGGCGAGGCCGGGACTCTAATATCCTACGTCAACACCTGGCGATTTTACGTTTGTCGTGCTGTATACAGATGTCTCATTCATGAGTAACATAGCAGTTAAAGAGAACACCACATGAACGCAGAATATTTCTTGGCAAATGCTCTGGTGCCTCAGCTGCATCTTGTAGTCAGTCAAGCATGAGTCTAGATTGCTAGTTAGGCAATATTATGCTGGGTCGAATGCATCCGTGTCTCTACCAGAATCAACATGCCAATGCTCGCTTCTACATGTGCAGACTCGCAACTATCAAATTCTTAGCAACTGCTCATCAAAAGCAAAACTAGATGAGAATGATATTCAAGAACAGAAAACGCCAGTCCAAGGGTATCTTTTTCTTATCCTTACGCCACCCCACAATACTCAAATACTGCGAGCTTCCACTCATAACGCCGATGGAGAGTCAGAAAAATACGTAACAAGTATGCTGTAGCATATGTAGCTGTGGTGGAGGCAAAAGCCTCTCAGGGTGAAAAACACGAGGAAGGAGACAAGGAAACGGCAGTTGGCGTAGCGATTAGTTCGCTTAAGTGTCCAGATGTTGCGAGGTTGATGGAATTCGGTGTGCATTGATGAGTACAATGCAGCAGGTACCAGTAGTCTTACTGCGAGAACATCTTGCGGTGCGAGCTGCCCCTTCGTGGTAACGGTTCTGGCGTCGATCTGTGCTTTTCCCTATTCGAAGAGTTGGATACTAAGCTGAAGGTGCGTGCGAGCGACGGAGAAGGCGATAAGGGTGATAAGAGCGTGCTCGAATGTTCCTGTACGTGATGCAAGTCGTTATAACTTTTGAAGAGGGCAACCAGGTCTTGATAGTGGTACATCATGTCTTTCTCATCGTTGTCGTCTTGATCATGGAATCCTTCGATGCTGCCTTTGATCATCTTGTCGACGCTGGTACGCCATGAACAATGGTCGACAATGTCCCTGACCATGTTTCTGCTGCAAAGAACATCGTCGAGTTCGCGCAGCCTTTCATATCCCTCGTCGCCAAAACGGATGAACTGGATGCTGAATGAGCGATTGCCTGTGCGTCGAGAAGTGACCTGTGTGGCATCCTGTGCGACTTTGATAATGGCTTTGTCGAACTCGTTTTTGTTTGTGTCTTTCCAGAGACCATCGGTAAGCACGAGGAGAGTAGTAGCAGGCTTCCCCTTGATCCTCCACCCTTCGGCAATTCTGCGAAAAGTTTCCAGCATGTCAGTCTGTGATTCTTTGTGATCATCATGATCATTGTTGTCCGGTGTTGCTTCCACCAAAGCAGCTTGCAGTTGTTGCCTTCCACTATCGCCCACTAGAGCTTTCCGGTTGTGTACATCTCCATCAACTGTGAAGAATACGTCTATGCCATCTCTATCCAGTCCTGCGGCTTTCCTGACGAGGGTTTCTGCTACGAACGTAGCGATCGGGAAATGACGAAACATCGTTGCGCCATTGTCGATCACCAAAACCTTAGCACGGTTAGCTCAGGGTCATGTTATGTGTCTCCACACAGGACTTACCAAATCTCGAGCCACGCTGAATATAGGTGCAAGATCAGAATCCGGTTTTCTAACCTCTAAGCCGAACTTGCCCTTCAGCCTAGCCCGTACGCCTTTGGGTGTTTCTCGTTCAAGGATTTTGCGCTGGCGACAGATGTCATAGGGTAGATCGTAGACATCAAATGGAATCTTTTCGCAATTAGTAGGAGTAACATGACCATACTGACTATATACACTAAGTGCCGGATCACCTAGAATCCGCAGGCCTCGAAGAGGTGTGTTTGTCAGAGGGCTTGTCGGGTTAGGAATAGAATGCTTGGTGTCTCCGATATCAGGACTTGACTTCAGCGGCATCTCATGGACAGACTCAATTTGATTTGGCGGATCATATCTCGCTCCTCTTGTTTGATGGTTGGGCATAGGAGTTTGAACTAGCAGCACGTCTCTTGAGACGGAGCCTGAACCAAAACCATGGGTGTCGGCGTGATGGTCGTACTGACTGAAGTCGTTACTAGCACCGTAGTGAGTCTGCGAGTTTGCGATCTGACTCAAATCAGCTGCTTGAATACCACGTTTTGACGGATCGTCAGATCGCGATACACTCGCAGGTGCTGAGGAAGGTCCCGATGGGTCCAAGACGGATAGTTCCATATGCTTCTGGGATCTTGAGGGATCTGTCGCATAGTGTGTTGGCTTTGTATGTGCTCCATTCTCGCGGCCTGCAGACTGAAGTGATCGCATTTGGTTTCCAGAGTTGTTGGGTATCTCAGTATGGTCCGAATCAAAAAGCCTTGCACGACCTATCTCATGAGAAACATCCACAGGCGATCGAGATACATACTTGCTCCTTAGCGGTGACGTAGACGATGTGTGGGGCGACCTCAGGTTTTGGTCGTCAGCAGGGTCGTAGTGGACACTAGCACCACCCGAACCCCTAGTAACCCCATTTGAGATACCCAAGGGAGGGTATGCATTATCGAATGACGTCTCTTGTATGGGACTCTCAGTTGTGTCACCACTGTGTAGATCTTTATTGGATGTGTCGTTTTCTTCGGTAATAGTAGATGATCTGGATCTTAGTTCACGTTCCAGAATCTCTCGTCGGAATGGCGTTTGACCCAATAGCCTACTCTTTCTTCTCTCTTCTTTGTGTATCTGCAAAGAAGCCCTTTGGCGGGGATCAAGTGGCGCCACATCGGCCGTGGTGTTCAAACGTTGTTGCAAGGGGTTGATCGTTTGTTCGGAAGACCTTTGGGTTTGTGCGACCTGTTCCACATTGAGGAGCGCCCTCAAGACTATGTCGTCAGTATCCTTGGAGTTTGTCCTTAGCTTGCTTATTGCTGTTGTAGCAGATTCTAGGAGGGATTCGAACTCTATGCACAAATCATCTGTATGGATTCGGTTTCGCGTGTCCGCCTGAAGCATCTTGAGCTCCACTAGATCGAGGACCTTTGTGGTGGCTGTGTCTGAGGAGCGAATATGTCCTCGCAAGAAGTTGTGCCACTTCTTGATCTCGGGCAAGACATCAAATCCGTCATGAAACCGGTCATAGGTTTTATCCCCAATCCTGTTGGCTGGTAGCAGTTGCCTCAGTTCCTCAAACTGTCGAACGCCTGTAAAACCTAGAACTATCCAAGTGGCAGCTACCGATAAGACGCAACCAAAAGACCAGATATCGATAGATTGTGTGACCCCTGATAGAGTTCCGTTTGGCACCTTTCTCGAGACCTCAGGAGCGCCTCCAAGCTATCAGCGACTATTTGTAAACATACAACGATAGCCTACTTACCATACGTGTCCGTAAAGCCTTCGATAAAATTAGTCGGCACAGAATCATTGCGGCTCCTCACAGCAGGGGAAAATTGGGAGAACCCGAAGTCTGCCAGCTTCAAGCGTCCACGTACGGAAAGAATGTTATCTGGCTTGATGTCCGCATGCCAGCTGTCTTTATCAGCAAAGAAATCAAGGAATTGACAGACGCAAAAGCTTACCCATTAAACATCAAAGACCTCCCTTTTACACGGCGAACTTCAAGGTTATGGATGTGTCGGATGGCGTCAGCAATCTCGAAAAGGGATTTCCAAAACAATATGATTTCCTCAGCTCGTACGGGCGGGACGTTCTTCTCATCCTCCCAGGCCTCGTAAAGATCTCGCTCGCCCCATTCGAGTAGAAGGTTATACGTCTTACCCGCATCGGGACCCTCCCCATACTCGTGAGTATAGCATCCCAAGTATCCTACTATTGGAACTGATTCGTTGAGCTTTAAGCCTGAGAAAGCCTTCTTTTCAGAGTCATAAGCGCTTTCGTGTTTCCCTGAATAGGTTTTGAGTACCATCTGGTAACACTGCGGTGTGGTTAGTACCAAGAACGCATACATCTAGATTCTGGCCCTGAAACTTGTTCAAACGCTTACCTTTCCAAAGTCTTCATCATGATATGCTGAGTCTTGAATAGCATTCTTGAGGCTGTCGTCGGTGACCAACATTTCTTGGACCGTGACCCAATATATGGAAGCAGTGCCCCCCTTTTCACCCAGTTTGATCTTCCGGCAGAAGGGCGGGATAATCCTCGTGGATTGAAGATAGCGATCCATATGCATTTCGAGCTTGAGAGGACAGTACGCCCATCGCTCTCTCTGAAAATCCTCTAGAATTCTGTCTACGTCGCCACGATTGGCAACTTTCGCCAAGCTCCTACGTAAGCTTGAGTCACTATTTTGAGTTTCGTACTCCAAATTTTTGTCGTTCATTCCAGCGTCGTGGAATGCATTGATGAGGTAATGGCGTCCCTGTTCTAACAGCAGACTGAAGACTGTCAGGCAAGAGTAGTCTCCAGAGAGCCATTTCTGCTCGACAGGAAATAACTGATGATCGGCGGGCTCAAGATCGTCAAGAATCCTCTTCAATCTGGTGTACCCCGCTGTATCGGATGTGGTACGCATCCACCATGCTCTAAGGGCCTCGACGTGGACGATGTGACGCAAGCAACTGCATGTCTCGGGTGGGTGGCATTGATCCTGACATGCTACTGGGAGGGTCCACTCTTTTTCCAGCAGGTCTAGGAATTCGTTGAGAGTCTGTGAGGAAGGTGTTTGGGAGGGGCTAGCCATCATGACGTGGTTCCAATCGTCCACAAGGCTGCTGAGGTCACATGGGAAGATACGACAGGAGTGACCGGCGCTGAATATGCTGTAATGCACTCTCTGGAATCGTGGACCAAGGGCTGATTGAGATAGTTGTGCGAAAGACCATAGGCGGCGCAGGATCAGCTAAGAGCGAACGAAGAGCTGTGAGTCGAGGGTGAAGAGCCGCACACTGTCGCATCAGAGCGGGGCGCGTAATTATCATTGCTGCATGGCTGAAGCTCTGACCAAGCGAGTCGACAAGGCTACTCGAAGCCTCGCCAATTCAGTTGGTGTGGATCAATTGTGGCTGCAGCGAGCTGATGACATGGATAAGGCGACAAGGCTGAGCTATAGGGGCACTGTTGAGCAGGCTGAGCAAAAACGTCAATGATGGAAGAAAAGCCAATACAGGCGGTGTAAATTAGCTTTCAAATGTGCATGACACGCAAGGACGACATATTCAGAAAGCCGTAGTGGTGTGGTTTTCTGAAGTACCCAGGTATGGAAGAGCGCACTGATGAACGCCTGTTCGCTAAGCGCGGACACCGCCCCCACCCATCACGATGTTCCCGCTCTGCCCTAGCCCAGTTCACATTTGCAGAACAGTTCGACACCGCCATGTCTGCAGCCTTTGGAGGATGCAGTCATTGGAGGATATGCTTGTCATACTCTTGCGATCCTTTGCGCTTCTTAGTAGAAACACGAGCCTGCAGTACCGTCTAATATGGTGAAGCCAATCACCTGTACTGTTCAGCCGGTCCCAGCTCGCCTAACGTTGTGCGATGGCAGGACAGAACGGGGTGTCTGTTGCCATCTCGCGTTACGTGGCGAGAGCCTGGAGAGAGCGATCGAAACGACGTTTCCAACTCGCCTCAACTGTCTCGAATTCGTAGCTCCCGAAACATCTGAGTCGTCTTGAGATAGTTTACGTGCAGAAAGGTCTTCGCAGGAAGTGATAAAACTGCGTTTAAGCCGGACTGCGAGAGTAATGCCTTGAGCCGAGGTAGTGTACAGTCTGTATGTAGACCACGCGCCAAGAAGCGTCAACGCAGTCAATGGTATCGTCACCTGAAGCCATCGCTTCAAAGCAAGAGACGAAAAAGACTGATTCTGGAAATCAGATGACTGGCCCTGGTTCTGATCCTGGTCTTGATATTTGACCACATCGGTACTGAAGAAAGTCTAATGTGATCAGCAAAGAATGTGAGCTTCGAGTGTGCGACTAACCGACACAAAGGTAGCTGGAAGGTATATCAGGGTTACGATAGTGATGATCCGCATGACAACAGCTTCACGTTCGAGGTTTCTGTTCAGCTTTTCAGTTCTTTCAGAGGCTTGACTCTGCAAATGCTGCAAGACAAGCTCTTTCCTGTCACTTATGATGTTCACCAGCAATCTCGCTCGAGCGATTTGCATCTCAAAATCGTCGATGATGCTATCGAGCTGCGAAAAGAACGCGATAAGTTCATCTTCACACGCATTTCGTAGAGCAAGCGGAAAGTCTTTCCGCACGATGAGGTCCGAGTAGAACTTCCGCAATGACCGTAGGACTTTGGCATTTGCCTGAAGAACCATAACGACCTCATTAGTCTTGTCTTGCCAGTGCTGTAAGTGTTGTAGGTCTCTGGGCTCATAATTTTGGTGTGCGTAGCCATAGCCGCGGGGACCGTCGACGGCCATGCCGCTCTGTGAAGCTTGGAATCAGCAACCTCTCTGAGAATCATCACGACAACGCATACCTCTTTATCCACGATTTCTTCAAGCCAAACGATGTACCACCTCCAATCCTCTGTTGACCAATGGCAATAAAGCAAATGTGTTGCGAGGGTTGACCTGAAACACGACGCGAGGTCATCGTAGGTTCCCTGTCCTGGTCGCACGCTCGGTCCTACCAGTTCTTGGTAACGGTCCAGTACATCCAGGCCACCTTTCGTCACGATCCAAAGCGTAGTGCCATACTCAACATCGAACTGATGGTAGAAAGCAGCGTCCCGGATTGACCAGTCAGTGGGTTCAGGTTGCTCTGAGCCCCTCTTCTCGAGATGCACACTTTTGAGGTTGTAGCAAAGCTGGAAGATCCTACCGCTACGACCTAACTCTGGTATCCCGTGGTGCCCGCTGGCGGAGGGTTTCAGTTGAATCTGATCACGAAAGCCGCTAAAGCGGAGGTCTCTCGCATCACTTTTGGACCCGAACACCAGCATAAAGTCGAGGTATACAGGCATAACTTGATAATATGACATGATTTGGCACAGACTCTCGCGAGTAAGCTTCAGCTTGTCGCGAGAGTTTTCTGCGTAGATACACCTGTATCTTTTAGCAAAATTGACATACGTTTTCAGTGTTTCGCGTACATAAATCGGCATTTGGGGTCTTTCTTCCGTGCGACGACCTGCTTGACTGTGGGATCGCGGGCATCGGATAATATATCTATACCGAGCCACTCACTAAGCTTCGCTGCTGAGTGTATGTTTTTTGAGATCAATGCTATGCATTCTAAGCGAAGACCAATTTGTTAGGTTTCTAAGTTCACCTTCTCCATGGCCTGTCCCGATATCTATGATTGGGATCTCGAAGATGTCGTCAATCACATCTTCGCTATCAACGAGGCAGAGATCGCGTTCGGCTTCATCAAGGCGCGTAACGTATGAGGCAAGTTTAGATTTGTATGTGAATGTCCCGCTAGGGATTAGGTTTGCAGGGTAGTTTTCGCAGTGAAGGTACGATGTTTGCAGTTCTTGAGGCAAATTCATCTTATCCGGAGTTGCGTAGTGATGGCATAGAAGGGACGGTAGTAACTAAATGGGCTTGAGATAGCCTCGAAGACAGCAGTGAGCACTTCATGGTGAAATAGTTATGGGATTCCGTCAGCCACATCAGGCAAAACATCAAGAGTTACTGCGGTCCAGGCGTGTGCCTACGTGATTGTTGCAGCTGAAACGCAAAGCCGGACGGGGTCTGTGCATGTGCGCCTGCAGCTGAGCCCCCACCTTGGTATTGCGCCGAGGTTGAAAGCTGATCCGCAGCAGGCACAATGACAGGGGCTGGGGGCACGAAGAATCAAGACAAACGTTACATCCATTGAGTCATTATGTAGAAGACTTTTCAGATGCCGGACTAATTCAAAACTATGTACTGGTAGGAGGGTCGGGATTCGAGGGTCTCCTTGTGCGCTTAGGCGCATTTCGAAGATTGGTCAGCTGCCTTCGATCGCCCTAGAATGTCTTAGCCACTAGTTGGATGGGTAGGAGATGGCCACACCAGGTGCCAGCTTACTTCTGTTAACTTCTCTGGTACCTCAAATTGCCAGTTGTCGTTGACCTACAAGTCATTAGCAAAACTTCGATACCGCTACGATGCTTTCGCCAGATGACTTACCTTTTCTGGTTTGAAATCCTTCCAGTGTGGCCACTTCCTTCTCAGAAATTCCTCGATCTTCTCCCAAGGGAAATCCCGGTACGCTGCGTATCTCTCTTGAACACGTCCAGTGTTTTTCTCGTTAGGGAGTGTAACTCGGCGTGTAGTGCGCCTCGCACGTACTGGTGCTGGTTCGGGCGGTGGCTGTGACTGCTGCAACATCGTCACCACTTGTCGTGGGAACAGATGACACCTCTGGAACTTCCAAGGCTGTGAGGGTCAAAGGCGCGAAAGTGGCGATGAACAGATACCGTGCTGTCGTGGTCTCAGGCGCTGACGCTTAACGCAAAGGCTTTCCAGGTCATGAATGGAGGGCCAGGGGCAAAAGGCTGAGGCTATATAATTGCTATCGAGCGGCCTCTGTCCAGTAGTTCTACCCAGACAGCGTCCAGGTAGACGCGGGTTATTGCTGCAAGAATGCCGCACCAGGACTTATGCACGAGGACTATGTTACAACCAGTCCACCGACATATGAACCAATTCTATGCGTTGATATTCCTGCAGAACTCCCAGGCAGCCGTTCAGCTGAGGTGATACAGCGGGGCCCATGGGCTGCCTGCTTTTGCCTCATGCGAACGGTGTGTCGGACGGCTATGCTATTGGCCGACCGCCTTAGCCACTTAATATCAGAATATGCATCTCCATCACATCGTAAATGACGGGAGATCACTGCATCCGTACGTATGATCTGGTCCTTTTTTGATCGAGCAGAGCCGCATCATGTGACGGAGGAATGTGGTCTAGACTGCGCCACACTGCAACTATTCACATGAAGCACAAATTCAATGGACATTGCACCCTATACAAGAGAAAAACTAAACAGGTAGAGATAATAAGCTCTACCTTGCAGCTTACGTTAGCTTCTAAAAACAGAGATTATAAAGATTAATAGCATTGTAGACCTCTAGATTCTTTAGAGATATTTCTATCGCAGTGATAAAATTTATTGTGGGAGGAAGGAGTACTCTACTTTAATATGATGTTTAGTTTCTCCCCTTGACGTAGTGACTGCGAAGCAACAGTCAAGCAATAGTCGTATATGAAGACGACATGTTTTCTTTGTTTGTGTGAAGTGAACAAGAAAACGTAGCATACGCGCTGACGCGATGACTGAGTAGATGTGAAGACGGCGCGCAGTCTAGTGAACAAAATGTATCTGCACGACCACTACCGCAAGCTCTTGTATAGCCATCAAGATACGATCATGCCTCAGAATGTACCGCGGGGCGATCCGCTCGAAAATTATGGGCGAGAGAACCGCGCAGCACCAAAACCTGGTCTCCCACAAGTTCACGACTTTGCCAGGACGGTCTACGATGACGAAATGACTGCTCTTCGACCAGAGATCCTATCATCTTCTGAGGTGGCCCCTCAACATATAGATCCAACACGACTTACACCTCCAGAATCAGGAGGTAGCGGTAGCGGCAACAGCGCTGACTTGGGTCAGAAGACATTGTCGACAGAAGAGAAGAACCAGTGTCCGTTCGGCGATACTCGCTGGCCTCCGCCTAACGTGTCGATATCCAAGCCCTTACATCTCTTGAGTGAAGAAGGTGAGAAGCCAATATATTACCACTTGGTATACGAAAACAGCTCCCGTCAGGCGGACTTCTGGAAAGGACCTTTGAAGGCTCAAGCTACCGCTGCCTACGCAGAGAAGGGGCTAGCCTTGTCTATATCAAAAGAAGGGAAAAGTAAGAAAGAGCTGAAAGCTGCAAAACATGAAGCGCTCGAGGAAGAAGCTCCGAAAGCAAAGATGGAAATCTTACAGTCTAAAAATACGAAGATGCTCAAGGAACTAAGCAGCGGACCAAGGGGAACGATCTGGCAGCTTGACGAACGACATCTGCATATCTGGAGATGCATCGAGGTAGTTCAGAAGGTGACAGGGGCGGTGAGCCTTAGTGCAGACCGGCGAGAAACATTCTCCATGTTTGGTGTTGGTCTCAAGAGCATCAATGGCGATATGTTGCTGGTCAGTCAGAAGGCTAGAGTACCTACTTAGGTAGCTGATGTGGAGAGTTAGATGTACCATGAACGCACAATACTCTCTACAACCACAACGAAATTCTACACGATATTGTATAAGTCCACAGCATAATAAGATTTCGGATGCTGACAAACATGGAAAGGTGAGGCTGGAGATGGAGTTACGGAGCAAAGCCGAGGCTAGCTCGCGGATGTGGTCATAGCGCCTTCTCGATGATTCCAGTGGTCGACCGACCCAAATTTTTAGAGGCATCGAACATCTGCGACCACTCTTCTCCGCATCCTCCTCTACATCAATCCTATTCCTGGTTATCTTGCATTAAGCTGGAGTCTAGGAGCAACATTTGAGCTTCCTTTCCTCTACCCACACATCCCCAATTCCCTCACAATGCAAAGAGCTTTCGCATCGCGGGCGCGGACTTCGGCCCTCAACTCGAGCTCTAAGCTCCGATCCACCAGCTACAACCTCCAGCAACAGAGGTTTGCGCACAAGGTATGGCAGTCGTATGCCTTCAGTATGCAGAAACGCAAAAACTAACAAACAAACAGGAATTGAAGTTTGGCGTCGAGGCACGAGCGGGACTATTGAAGGGTGTCGACACACTTGCAAAAGCTGTATCAACAACACTCGGTCCCAAGGGTCGCAATGTATTGATTGAGTCGAGCTACGGCTCGCCCAAGATCACCAAGGGTATGTAGGATTTTTGTTGTCGTTGTCAACATTGCCCGCTAACATTACTTCAGATGGTGTAACTGTCGCAAAGGCCATTTCCCTCCAGGACAAGTTCGAGAACCTCGGAGCCCGCCTGCTCCAGGATGTCGCCTCCAAGACCAACGAGGCTGCTGGTGACGGTACCACCACCGCCACCGTCCTCGCCCGTGCTATCTTCTCCGAGACTGTCAAGAACGTCGCTGCCGGATGCAACCCCATGGACCTGAGGAGGGGAACCCAGGCTGCTGTTGAGGCCGTCGTCGAATACTTGAGGGCGAACAAGAGGGATATCACCACCAGCGAGGAGATTGCACAGGTCGCCACCATCTCTGCCAACGGCGACACACACATTGGCAAGCTTCTGTCCAACGCCATGGAGAAGGTCGGAAAGGAGGGTGTCATCACCGTCAAGGAGGGAAAGACCACTGAGGATGAGCTCGAGGTCACCGAGGGTATGAAGTTCGACCGTGGTTACATCTCCCCCTACTTCATCACCGACACCAAGACCGCCAAGGTCGAGTTCGAGAAGCCCCTCATTCTTCTCTCCGAGAAGAAGATCTCCGCAGTCCAGGACATTGTCCCCGCTCTCGAGGCCTCCCAGCAGCTCCGCCGTCCTCTCGTCATCATTGCTGAGGACATTGACGGTGAGGCTCTTGCCGTCTGCATTCTCAACAAGCTCCGTGGCCAGCTCCAGGTTGCCGCTGTCAAGGCTCCTGGCTTCGGTGACAACCGCAAGTCTATCCTTGGCGATCTCGCTGTCCTGACCAACGGTACCGTCTTCAGCGATGACCTTGACATCAAGCTCGAGAAGGCCACCCCCGACATGCTCGGTTCTACCGGATCCATCACCATCACCAAGGAGGACACCGTCATCCTTAACGGTGAGGGAAGCAAGGACCAGGTCTCCCAGCGCTGCGAGCAGATCCGTGGCGTTATCAACGACGCTACCACCTCCGAGTATGAGAAGGAGAAGCTCCAGGAACGTCTGGCCAAGCTCTCTGGTGGTGTTGCCGTCATCAAGGTCGGTGGCTCCTCCGAGGTTGAGGTCGGCGAGAAGAAGGACCGCATTGTTGATGCCCTGAACGCCACCCGTGCCGCCGTCGAGGAGGGTATCCTGCCCGGTGGTGGCACTGGTCTCCTCAAGGCCTCTGCCAACGCTCTCGGCAACGTCAAGGCTGCCAACTTCGACCAGCAGCTCGGTATCACCATTGTCAAGAACGCTATCACTCACCCGGCCCGCAAGATTGTCGAGAACGCCGGTGCTGAGGGCTCCGTCATTGTTGGCAAGCTCATTGACGAGTACAAGGGCGACTTCAACAAGGGATTCAACAGCGCCAAGGGCGAGTACGTTGACATGATCGCTGCTGGTATCCTTGACCCCTTCAAGGTTGTCCGCACTGCTCTCGTTGACGCCAGCGGTGTTGCCTCGCTTCTCGGTACTACCGAGGTCGCCATTGTTGAGGCACCCGAGGAGAAGTCTGGTCCTCCAGGCGGCATGCCTGGCGGTATGGGTGGTATGGGAGGTATGGGCGGAATGGGCTTCTAAGCAAATGAAGCCTAGCCGTCTGTTTTCTTCTTCTTATACCCCCATTCCGTTATAATGACTTTAGTCTTATGTCTTTCCCGGTGATGATTTATGTACACGATATTGGGTTGGTCTCCGCTCTTCACTCATGGTTTCTCAAAAGCGCAGCATTATTGGATATTTGGTTTTTATTGTACAATATTGTGTAAAGATCTCCTGGGAAGGACAAGATGTATAAAGCGATGAAGGAATACGAACAAGTCAAACATGTAATCACCATGCACAACTATGCTTGAGTCTATGCTCCATTTATGAATGTCGTGATGCACAGGATTGGCCGATACCCTGTCATAACTGGGGCACACGGTTGCTGTGGCGCCGCAGAGGGACAAACTAAACCTTGGAATGGGTGCCGTGTTGCACCCCACTACGTCGCTTGAAAAGACCCCACTACTTTCCCTCAGCCTCAGAACACCGCTCCTCCGCCTCCGCCCTTTCTCCCGCATTCACATCGACTATCCACCACAATCAGTTTTCTCTATTGACGTAAGCTGCAATTTCTCCATCACCAAGCAGGCAGCCGTTGATCCACTGCTGCATCTGCGCACGCGGCAATCGCGACGATGACGACGACGCTGACAGGCAACCACAGAACTGATAAAGCTACCTGGTGCTTCAATCTCTCTCTAGCATCCTCTACTATACACATCCGACATCATGGTGAGTACCTTGAAGATACGCAGTTAGAACGACTGAACTGACAATGTCTGCAGGCTCAATCCGGGTACGTACTGCGAAACAAACAAGAGGGTACCAACAGCTGTCGCTGCCCGACAACCGCTCCAGCACAGCCTCCCCATACCTCGACCCTCGACCCCCGTCCCGCCAATCCCTAGCTCGGACCCGCATATACTAATAGCCACGCAGTGTCTCCGTCTCCCCTGAGTGCGTCAGCACCTTCAACGAGCTTAAGCTTGGCAAGGACATCAAGTGGATCATCTACAAGATCAGCGACGACTGGAAGGAGATTGTCGTTGAGGAGACTTCCAAGGAGGCCAACTTCGACGTCTTCCGTGAGAAGCTGCTCAACGCCAAGAGCAAGGACCGCCGCGGCAAGGAGGGCATTGGTGGTCGCTACGCCGTTTTCGATGTCCAGTACGAGCTTGACAACGGCGAGGGCTCCAGGAGCAAGATCACCTTCATCAGCTGGACACCAGATGATGCGCCACAATACGTATGTCACAAAAAAAGTAGTTTCAGAAGAAAGATTCACTGACACTTTAACAGCCCCGCATGATGTACTCATCCTCCAAGGAAGCCATCAAGCGCGCTCTGAACGGTCTCGCCGCCGATATCCAAGCCAACGACGCCGACGACATCGAGTTCGAGAACATCAAGAGCCGCGTCGCCAAGGGCCGTTAAGCGCTTCTCTTCCCTCCCCCGCTTCCGACCTGTCGATTTTGCGCACCTGTTAGTATGGAGGAAGGAAACTATAGCGGTTGGTAATGACACATGACGAAAACGACTCGAGCGGTTGATTGGCAGCGATCATGGCATAGCGAGTTTTTGCGAATGATGGTTATCGCATACATCATGCGAATATGCGGGCAGTGGTAGTGCCGGGTGCAACTTGCATTATCAGGCTTGGTATGCTTTTGATAGGCTAAAACTGGTCAAATTGTCTTCGATGGACATCTCTTGAGACTGAGAGCCTGTATGATGTGACGTGTGCGAACTTGTTTGTAATGTTTGTGCCTGATATGCTGTAACGTGTATTGCTCATCTCCAGCAACTATGTCGGTCCGCTACTTGTTCTGTTCCCATGCGCCCCTGAAGACGCCCAGCAGCCTTTCGCTCTCTTCCGCATCCTTGGTTCTCTGCAGCACAAAGTTCTTCAGATCGCCCCAGAACTCTTCTGTCGCAACAACCTCCTTCCCACTTCCAGCCGTCGCACCTGCTGTCCCAGTCGCCGTACCCGCATGCGTCTCGCCGGCACTAGCAAGTCCCTTCTCACTTTCCGTAGGCGGCGCAACAGCGGGTGGACTTGTCACTGGCGTGCTTCCACTTGCCGGACTCGCAGCCCCGCCAAGCGCAGCGCCCGCCATAACCATGACGCCAAACTCTACCTCGCTACCTGCATCTGTACCAATGACTTCTAGCAGTGTCTTGGAATCTGTGACTGGCTTCTTCTTGTAAAGAATCTTTATCTTGGCCGGTTGTAACGAGGCTTGTGTTGCATATTGTTGCTTGAGGTCGTAGACGGAGGTTTTTGAGGGGTCGATTGAGGAGAGGGGGATAGTTGGGGTGGTCGGCTTCATGGGCTTGAGAGTTACGGTGATCGTGGACGAAGAAGAGGTGGTGGCATCGTCGCCTGCGACTGGTTTGGGGTTTGGACGCTGTGGGTGGGGTGGGTGTGGGAGGCGGGGGAGAGTGTACTGGTGAGCAGTCAGTCTTCGATCGTGATGATACACAGGGGGATATTCCATGAGAAATATGGGAGAGAGTCTTACTGCGCCTTGTGCGGGATATTGTCGTGCGTCTGCGATGTGGTCGCTGCTGAGCTTCGCTGGGCGCGCGTCCAGTGCGCTGAGAAATGATTTGCAGAATGCGAGTTCTGACATGGTGAGATATCTGAAACCTTTCTTCGTACGACGTGCAAGTGGGTTCGTGGTTGTCGCGCTCGTTAAGGCGTGTATAGCTCCAATGCGATGACGCTGTTGGTGTTGCGGGACAGCATTGAGTGGACCGCACCTCGATCAGGGCAAATCTACGCTAGGCCCAAAGGAGGTCCGTAGCGTGGAAAAAGTTCCCATCTGCTAGCGAAAGTTCGCAGTTCGCGCAGGCGTCACGTCGCCAACTCTCAAATTATTCGACCTTTTTCCATACTATCCACCGCCAATCAAGCGGTAAATCTGTCGCCATGGGTCAAGGTCGCCGCATGAAGAAGCAGGGCATGCCCGATGTCCTCGACGAATCACTAGTTACCAGGAAGCGAAAAGATGCGCCCGTCGCCGTAAACCCAGAGCGCAAGAAGAGGAGTAGGACAGCTGCAAGAGAAGCTAAGGAAGCCAAGGCGAAGGCGACACCCAAGACGAGAGTAGCTGGAAAGCCCGTCAAGCAGCCTCTCAAAACGGCTGCTGCTGTCGTAAACGGAGCGAAAGCAAAGTCAAAGAAGTCCGCACCTCAGCCGCCATCGGATGACGAAGAGGATGTCTCAGACATTGACGACTCCGACATGGAGAACATCAATGTCACTGGGCTCGATGCCCTCGGTAGCGCGTCCGAAGACGAAGACGACGAGGAGATGAACGACGATGAATTCGACTCGGACGTTGTGGACTCGGACGACGACATCAGAAGGGGCGCGGCCATGTGGTCAGACGACGATGATGAGGAGGATGCTGAAGAGAAGCTCACAGCCGCTAACATTGCCGGATTGTCCACACGCTTGGATATGCAGAAGGCGATCGAGGAGGCGGAGGCGCAAGCTGAGTTGGAGGAGAACAACATGCAGACAAACATCGCCAATGAGCGACCCAAGATTCTGGAGGATGAGGAGGACGAGGATGGCAGGCCAATCACCAACCTTGTCAACCAGGATATTCAGCTGCTGCGCACAAGACTCACGGACACCATCCGTGTGCTGGACGACTTCAAGAACCTTGCCGAGGAAGGTCGGAGTAGAGCAGAGTACAGAGCGTCGCTCCTGAAGGATATCTGTGCCTACTACGGTACGTCCAAGTTTGAAGTTATCGTCTAGAGCTATACTAACGTCATGAACAGGCTATTCCGAGTTCCTTGCAGACAAGCTTCTGAACCTCTTCCCTCCCCGCGAAGCCCAAGCTTTCTTCGAAGCCAACGAGACCCCAAGACCGGTCGTCATCCGAACAAACACCCTCCGAACACACCGAAGAGAGCTTGCGCAGAGCTTGATCAACCGTGGTGTACAGCTTGAACCAGTTGGAAAGTGGTCTAAAGTCGGTCTACAGATTTTCGATGCACAGGTGCCTCTGGGTGCTACACCCGTAAGTCTTATATGCGACAGATGCATTGAAATCCGACACTAACTTGCGCAGGAATACCTCGCTGGACACTACATTCTCCAAGCCGCTTCCTCGTTCCTGCCCGTCATGGCCTTGGCACCTCAAGAAAACGAACGCGTGCTCGATATGGCTGCTGCTCCCGGTGGAAAAACTACACATTTGGCCGCCTTGATGAAGAACACCGGATGCATTTTCGCCAACGATGCCAACAAAGATCGTGCCAAGGGTTTGATCGGTAACATCCACCGTCTAGGCGCAAAGAACGTCATCGTGTCCCACTACTCGGCTCTCGAATTCCCTAGGGTTATGGGTGGTTTCGACCGTGTGTTGCTCGACGCTCCATGCTCTGGTACTGGTGTCATCGCCAAGGATGCCAGTGTCAAGACCAACAAAACCGAGGCAGACTTCTTGAGGCTGCCCCATCTTCAGAAGCAGTTGCTGCTCGCGGCCATTGACTCTGTTAACCATCACTCAAAGACTGGAGGTTACATTGTCTACAGTACTTGTTCCGTCACCCTAGAAGAGAACGAGCAAGTCGTACAATATGCGTTGAACAAGCGATCGAACGTCAAGCTCGTGGAGACCGGACTCACCTTTGGTAAAGAAGGATTCACCAACATCGGCGGCAAGATCTTCCACCCCTCAATGAAGATGACAAGGAGATATTACCCCCACACCTACAACGTGGACGGTTTCTTCGTCGCCAAGTTCAAGAAGATCGGACCCACACCTCCCAATGCCGTTGGTGTCAATGAGGCTTCGACTGCGAAAACCAACAACACCGCCAACACCAAGGACGCAGCTACGGAAGTTGAGATGGTCGACCGCACACCTATCGGTGCTGACAGTGACGAGGAATCAGACTTTGGTGGCTTCGATGAGGAGGAAGACGCGAAGTACATTGAGAAAGCAAAGGCCAAGACCATGCGCAGGAAGGGCAAGGATCCCAGGGCTGTCGTACCAAAGGGCGAGAAGTCTGCCAATGGCACGCCAGAGAAGAAGGCGAAGGAGGCGCCCAAGGAGGCCACAAAGGAGGCCACAAAGGAGTCACCCAAGGCTAAGAATGGTGATGTAAGCGTGAAGGATAAGTCAGGCAAGAAGGAGAAGAAGGGCGGTGGCGTTGAAGTCGCTACTACCTCGAATGGTGTCAGTGCAAAGGAAATCAAGGTGGAATCGAAGAAGGCGCGAAGAAAGAGTGGTGAGAAGAAGAACAAGGCGTAGTGATTTGAAGTGCAAAACAGAGGAGACAAAAGCAGGAGTTTTGGGCTCTTACTAGATACCAATGCATGATCAGAAGAGTTTTATCGTCGATGAATCAGTGTCCTTATCTGTCCATGTGTTTCTCAATTCATTTCTCACATCGGGACTTCCTAACTACCTGGACAGATGCCTGTTTGAACTGATTATAGCAGTTGTGACCCACCTAACAAGGCTACCAGGGAAGCTTGTTAGGTGGGTCGCGAGTGACCATGCCATGCATTTGCAATCTCCAGCACACTATCACCACTACCACCGTGATCGTCACGTCGTGATGAGGTGCGCGCCAATTTTATTCAAACAAATGAGCGGCTCTTTTCGATCTGGTAGTGCTGCCGTAGTTACTAAATTAGCTGCCAGTCTTGTAGTTCTCGCGATCGAACATCAATCATCGCTGCAATTTCGGTGGCGCGCTTTCGCAAATGATTTTTCATCATCTCGCCGTGAACTGGAGATCGATGGAGAGCTTTCGTTGCAGCCTTAGGCAAAAAGATTGCTGAGAGCACGATCAAGTCGTGATGGCGCAAAAAAGCGTCCTCGCAGCTTCTAGCGATGCATCAGTGCCCTTAGGGGCCGCCGGCGCCACCAACGGGCCTGTCAGCCTCCGCAACTAACCCCGGAGTACCTCCACATTTCATCAACCTCAACCGTTGATTGAACCATCTTTCCATGTCCCGAAAATATCCCTACAGTAGAGACGTCCATGGATACAGTAAGACCGAAGTCACGGCACGGCACATGTCAAGCATGGTTGCTCAGTCGGCCATTCATCATCGATCACGCTATCCAGGTGCTGCGCCGAGAGTGTATTCGAGTCATCGCATCGGTCCAAGCAATGCCGAGCTCTGAAAAGCGAAAGGAAGCGAAGGCTTATTGGCTCGAAGGATCGCACGGCAAACTATACGCCTGAGCAAGACAGACATCACGAGCACATCTTCCAATGCCTCTTCTGATAGCGTTGACAACAAGACAAGGTGGCGCTGCATGCGACCGAAATCTGGGGCATCCAACTCCACGGTCAGCATCTTGGTGATGCGCGGGGCAAAGATGCCTGAAAATGTTTTGCTCACATCGCACCGAGAATCCTACCGACAAGATCTCCACTCCAGTTCCTGGGATTGCAAGGAGACAATCGGCCCATTCTACCTCGACATGCCAAACGCCTGACCCGATTGTTGGGGAAAGTCAACCTTCTGGAAAAAGGCCTTATCCTGCTTGCAGAGAACGCGCATTCCTTGCATAACGGCTCTACCTGTACGCGCTGACACCGGAATGACCATTGACATGCTAGTGCAAACTGGCCCGACTTGAGCACTGCATCAGACTTTGTCTGATCTGCTGACAATGTGCTATTGGACGACTACACAGGCTTTCATGATCGCTGTCTCAATATCAGCCGCCGACGTAAGTGGTGTGAGGCCAAGTCAGCATGTCGAGCACGGGGTAATAACCAGCTCGGGTACGCTCAATGGTGCCATGCGGGGACGATCCATGCAATAATACCTGGCATCGGGAACATACTAGGATTAGCAGCCTGTGATGATGCATTGAAGCTGCAGCGGCATGGAACAAGGGTTCGTCGGCATAGCGAGCTGGATGGAGAGATACTCGGGGCTAGCATTCTGGGATAAAGAGTGAATGCGCGCTCTTCTGAACGGCCTCACCGCGCGCCTTGAGCTTGCGATATCCTCAATCAACACCTATACATTGTCCAAGTGAATTCCGGCATCATGGGTTTTATGCTGAAGCCTCCGCCAGACACTGCTGGTAAGGCATGGTAAGCTTCATACGTTCTCCACATTGAGTGCTTGCCTAATGCTTGTCAAGGCCTGCCATTGTCATCGGTCTCTTCGTCGCGTTTGGTGGTGTTCTCTTCGGGTACGTTTGTACTATTGCGACATTCAAGAGTATATGTTGACTTGCCTAGATATGATACAGGCACAATTTCTGGCATCATTGCCATGGACTATTGGAAGAAGGAGTTCTCCACTGAGCCAGACCTCAGCATCACAGCTGCGCAAGATTCTCTGATCGTGTCAATTCTCTCAGCTGGTACCTTTTTCGGCGCTTTGACGGCTGCACCCTTCGGCGATCTGCTTGGCCGACGTCTTGGATTGATGGTTTCAGCCGGCGCCGTTTTCAACCTTGGAGTTATTCTACAAACGGCTGCGACAGCGCAGCCGCTGTTCATTGCCGGTCGTTTCTTCGCCGGTTACGGTGTCGGTCTCATCTCAGCTCTGAGTAAGTGCACCCATCCCTTGTTGCGTTCAATTCACACATGTGATGTGGGGTTGATCGTCAATGGTGGCTTGAACGCCCTTTGCCCCGCATCCTTGAGGCTCTGCGGGGCATCTGCCTCGCTTGGATCAATTCTAACAAGACGACAGTTCCTATGTACCAGAGTGAGACTGCGCCAAAATGGATTCGAGGAACGATTGTCGGAGCTTACCAGCTTGCTATCACGATTGGATTGCTGCTCGCTGCCATTGTGAACAATTCGACCAAGGATCGTCAAGATTCTGGATCATACCGCATTCCCATCGCGGTACAATTCCTCTGGTCTATCATTCTTGTTGGCGGGTACGTGGGAATGAAAACCGATATGAGATATGCAATGGCCGATGCTAACTGGTCACTAGACTTTTCTTCCTGCCCGAGACACCGAGATATCTCATCAAGATGGACAAATACGAGCAGGCTGCAAGCAGTCTTGGCAAGCTTCGTCGCTTGCCAGTCGACCATCCAGCTATCGTTGAGGAATTGGGCGAGGTTCAAGCGAACCATCTCTACGAGATGTCGTTGGGCAAGTCTACGTATGCCGACTGCTTCAAGGGAACACTTGGCAAGCGTCTCGCGACTGGATGTCTGCTCCAGGCGCTACAACAGCTTACTGGTGTAAACTTCATCTTCTGTATGTCCCTCAAATCAGCGCTGTTGTGGCTTTCTTCTGACCTATCCAGACTACGGAACACAATACTTCCAGAACGCTGGCTTCCGCGACCCCTTCATCATTCAGGTCATCACCAACTGCGTCAACGTCGCATCTACATTCCGTAAGCTTATGATGTCTGAGCTTCAGTTTGCGAAATACTAACTCTCGGATTTCTAGCCGGTCTCTACATGGTTGAACGCCTCGGACGACGTAACCTTCTTCTTCTCGGAGCAATCGGCATGTGTGTATGCCAGTACATCGTCGCTATCACAGGAACAGTAGCCGGAACCTCTGATCTCGCCGCTCAACGAGCTGCTATCGCCTTCGTGTGCATCTATATCTTCTTCTTCGCCAGCTCTTGGGGTCCTGTTGCTTGGGTCGTGACTGGAGAACTATACCCCCTCAAGGCACGCGCCAAGTGTCTCTCGATGACCACCGCGAGTAACTGGTAAGTATAGATGCTTCTTTGACTGGTATTCAATCCAAAGACTAACGACATACTACAGGTTGCTCAACTGGGCGATCGCCTACTCAACCCCCTACATGGTCGACGAAGACCACGCCAACCTTCAATCAAAGGTCTTCTTTGTCTGGGGCTCCTTCTGTTTCGTCTGCATCGCTTTTGTGTGGTTCATGATCTACGAAACCAAAGGTCTCACTCTCGAACAAGTCGACGAGCTCTACGGTATCATCGGCAAAGCGTGGAAGAGCAAGGAGTTCCGTCCTGCGGTTCAGTTTGCGGAGATGGATCCTAAGACTGGGCGTAGTATGAGCCTGAGCGAGGTAGCGCAGAACCAGGAGAGGAAGAGGAGTGTGCAGCACGATGAGGCGGTTGTTCCGCCCAAGGTTGAGATCTAGGATGTAATGGGGAAGGGGGGAAGCGTATGGTGGATGTAGTGGTTGATAGTAATGGAAGGGGCGGGAAGTGGGATGCATGTGGCTGGAGAAATATGTGAAGAGATGGACATTAAGCAGAATGTCATGAGTATAAAATGATACGCTAAGGCTTAGCTGCCATAGTCGTATAGCTCTTTGAATGCACACGATATCTGTTACTTATCACATCCATGAGTCTTTGCAAATATCATTCTAGGTACTTGAAGTCGATCAACTCTACCTATGTCCGCGCACAGCTTAGTCGATTTTCCTGTTGGCATGTTAAGATACACCACGGTCAAATCACTGATCGAATTGTTGGGTCTCGCTATAGAGAAGCTTAGAGCCCTTTAATAAACACAACGGGCATGTCTCATCTCGACATGCTAAGACTAGGGTCATCAGCTAGGCCATGTATAACTCCAGGTGGACTAGAAACGGAACACACCATTGGGTTCTCATATCCTATTTTGCGTACCTGTTCCCTCAGTCTATCTCTCGTCAACCTCGCCCGTTTTGCTTCCGCAACTGGTTCAACGATTGCATCAGATCCCAACCCGTCCCCGGATTATCGGCGCGCGGCCCATAGTCGCTAACCTTGATTTTTTCCTGACCCGGCACGTACTCGCGCTTACCGTAAGAACCTTGAGGCAAAGGATTTTTGAAGGGATTCTGGAAAATCGGTCGGTTGGAATCGCGAGCTCCTGCTTGTTGAAGATGTGGCAATGGCTGAGCATGAGGCTGGCTGTGACGTCGTGCGCGTTGTTGGTGCTCTGCCACTTGCTGTGCCTGTTGCATATCCCACGGTCGTCGCTGTTGTATTCCTGGTTGCATTTGCGCTGGCATCATATGCATCTGTCCGGGATATTGGAACTGATCCCTCTGCATCGCCATCATCTGCCGCGGATCGACTCCCCCAAATCCTTCAAAATCGCCGCCCCTATGGCCACCTCCTCCATGCATATCAGCTATCGGTACTGCCCTATCGTTCTCGTTGATACAAAGCGAGTGCTCGAAACCGTTATGATCCCAGTACTTAAAATGATAACCCGGTCCTCTTTGTCGTGCTTTCATGGGCATGCGTCTACCTCCTGTGTTCAGCAGGTCGCATAGCTCGCGGGCTGCATCTGCTTGTGCGGAATGAGAGTGGTAGGAGAAACGATCCGGCCCTTGTTTTTTTCTGCCGAAGATACCCATGTTGTGGTTTCGAGAAGCTAAAGAACTCGCTGAGCCTTGAAGGTGGGAGAAATCGAGGACAGCGGACGTCAGTATCGTGCGTTATGCTGTGTGACCTACACTATGTGAAAGGCAGGAGTTTGATTTACAGCGGCCGGGCTCATGTGAATACGTGTAATGTGACCCATGTGGCGATCATCCAAGTAGATGATGGATTCTGATATCATGGATGAGACTGACTATGAAGACAGCAAGATCGGTGTCATCAACAACATCAAAAGTCACATGCAGGTACCTTAGTAGTCGGTCAGAGGGGGTAATGCCACCCAGGCCGCACTCTAGATTCACCATATAGGCATGATTATGACATATCACCGTTATCAAATCACTCAAAACTAACCATCGTGGTCTTCGAATAGGAGGTCAAGTATGTAACCCAAACTTTTGATTTTTTACCTATGGTATCCGTTAAGCTATGGTATCCTAACTCAAACCTGGACTGACCAAAGCCATGTAGCTCGCAAAAGAACCCGATACACCGTGAATTTAACTAGACCGTCACCACATCGCCGCCTTACCCCTACTAGTGTCCTGCGTTGAATTCGTACTCATATCCGCAGTTGGGAAATGCGTCGTGTGCGAAGAAGTCATGGAAGTGGTTGGTGTCTAGATGAGTTGGTAGTGGAAAGGCTTCCTGGAGGCCTTGCTGCGAGGAGGAAGCTGGATCCAACGGGTGAATACAGGACGAGGCTTGGGAGAAGAAGCTGTAAGGAGAATCATAAGTATGGTCCAACGGAGAAGACATCTCGGGAAGGAACCCACTCATGGCAGCTTGCTCAGCCTCGGACGACGCAAGAAGATCCTCATGCGAGTCGTTACTGACAAAGTCATACTCAGCATGGTCCTTGACATCCTCCTCGTAGTTCTGCGCCTCCATCTCCTTGATGTACTTCTCGAAGTCGAAGTCCATGCCAGCGCCGCGCTTGTACTGAGTTGGAACGGCTTGCTTGACAATATCGGGGTACTTGGGACCGGAGTCACTGGGAACATTTGGAAGACCGCTAACGACAGTGATGCCTCGGCCACCAGTGGAATGGATATCATCAGCCATGGAAAACTGAGGTTCAATGGGTGCAATGTAGTTCTTGCCAATGGTAACACCACCGTGACAGTTCCTGTCAGTAAGAAGTGGAGCCTTGAGCTTGACGATAAGAGACGGACGGGACTGAGTCGTAAGGCCTTGACCTTGACCGGTTGTCTGCTGAGGCTTTGCATTAGCACTGGACGCCGAAGAAGATGCACGTTTGTTCTTGCGCGTCCACGCCATTCTCAACGATGGAATCTCGTATCCCTCGTCGATCTGTTTGCCGCGCAGTTTCAAGATAGCCTGTTGGAGTGCGCCAGCAGTACAACTCTCTCCAACAACCTGAGCAGCCTGGTCGAAAGGTATCTGAACGCCAGTCTCACCGCAGGCCCAGACGATACCGAGAACTACGTTCTTCCAATCGTTGTCACTCCACTTGAGTAGCTTGGGACGAGGCTGGCGTGGCTTGCGGGGCACACCATCCTTGTTGATCTTCGGGATCTTGGATGGTCGCCGGTCGTCGCGATCGCTTTCGACGTAGTCGCTGTCATATGTGGGGGTATAACTCACAGGGGCAGCACCTTCCTCGATCTTGATGGGAGCGACGGCGGCAGCCTGACCAGGGAGGCCGTGGTAGGGATTGTTGGGGTGAAGACGCGTCATGTCGTAACTGCACTTGTTGAAGGGTTGTGGATATTCCTCGTCAAACAGGCTAACCATATTTAGCTGGTTGTTGTGAGAGTAGGACATGATCTCCAGTACTTTAGCTACCAGAAGCGGCGAGAGACCAATTATCACAAAGGTTTTCTGTTCGCTGTTAGTGTGGGGTCAAACAACGGTTCATACTGAGCGCCAGAAATGGCGTGTTGTGTTCGGGCTGGGAGCGGAGGGCGATCAATAGCACACGCTACAGCGACCCAGAAAGGCTGCATCCGTGTCTCTTGGATAAATGCAGGTAGGGGGGATATAGGAGAAGCAGTAGCTAAGCCGTTGCGGTACGTACCTGATAGTAGAATGCAATTCGTAAGTGTGATGCGAGTGGAGAGACGTAGGTCAACCAGCTACAAGAGGAGACCTTTGGGGAGGCAGACGAGGCGCTAGCGGCTTTGAGCTCCTGGAAAACCCAGTAACACAGGCGACCAATTTGTTTGTAGCGCGGACGTGCTCAGGGTACGCTCAGCCAAGACCTCAGCAACACGATCTTTACTCGTTGCAAACAGAGAAAGACGGCTTGAAGTACGGGAGACGCCGGAAGAACGTACACAAAGAAGTTCCTAACCGTTGCAGTCTGTATATCGTCTTTGCCGCCTTCTGTTCGGTTGAGGCTACTAAGAGTTCGCGGGCGTAGTGACTGAAGCCGCGCAGTTAAGCCACAAAGGGACGACGTTCACCTAGTATAGGCAACCCAAAGTGGTCCAGATGGACCTTGTAAGGCCAAATGTGCTTGATACGTTTCGATTTGGATGTTGATTGTGGAAAGATAGTTCGATGTTGTTTTCGTTTGAGTCCAAGTGGCTAAAGGATAGGTTGAGATATGGGATAGGGACCGGACTTTCGACCAGCTTGAAAGCACACTGCGAAGTACTGTGTGCGAAGATAAAAACACTACTCGCGAGCTCCGACCAGTCAATTAGAGTTAAATATGCAATTGGCTTGCTGGGTGGTGTGGCCGACGATGTTCAAGTGAGAGAGCGACTTTGAGCTTTTGAGATCGTGATCTCTTAATCACAAGAGCCTTTGTAGAGAAGAGCCGGGTAAGTTTAAAGGACGAGTATTATATATCCACGAGATCTTTGTGACGCTTGATATAAGCGGTATCGGCGCGGAAAGATGATAGCGCGAAGTCTGTGTGAACCACAAACACGTGACGAGGTGTTCACATTTACGCCCTTACCCCGCGCCCACAAGTCTTGGTGACGTGGGAATCAGGGTGGCAAACCGGCGGTGAGGTTTGATGTGGAGTTGCTTTCGAGTTGAGGTAGAGCATGTCACGGTCCGCGTCACGTTTCAAGCTACTTGCCATGGAGACTACGAGTAACAGGTATTCGTTGGACCCGTATGGCAAATCGTCTCCGAAGATGTGGAGCCTTGGATGGTTTAATTCCCAATGTGGTATTTGTGGTCCTCTTGTAGATTCCCGGCTCTTTATGTTCCTTGCGTAGTATGCCCGATCAGCAACATATCAGTTGTATTCGATTATGTCTTGACCGAAGCGGCTGAAGATCCTGGAGACTTAAAAGCGTAGATGGCTTTTCGGATAGGTAGCTACAGAGTTTAGCAGAGATGGACGAGATGCTGCCTTAGTGCCCGAGTTCACATCCAGTGGTGGACAGCAGTGGGAACAAATGAGTCTTGGAACTAGACAAAAGAGGAATAGACAAGAGCAAATTGCAAGCTTGATCTTGTTCCTTCGCATGAGCAGTTCCATCACGTCAGTAGAGCTAATTATTACCATCATAGCTCTTGGACGTTTATGTTCTCTTGAGAACTGATGTAATGACATCAACCGAATATAGGCTGGTCACTAGGATTGAAACTCTGCAAGGGAAGACCATGCGGAACGTGTTAGGATAAGGGATGACTTCGGGTGATGAGTCAGTCTGGAAGCGCGTTCGAAGAAGGCAAGAGTATTTTCTCTGGGCTTTGTACTGGCATCGATTGCATGGCGATATTCAATCAGCAAACTCAACGCCAACACCGACATAGCTCATACAAGACAATGAAAGACCAATATGAGCTTTTGTTACGGACCAGAGTCGTTTCATCGAGGTGCGCTCGTCACCATTGATGGAAGGCGGTGTCAGGCGGCGTGGAATTGATGCTGACGACGAAAGAATGGATATCGAGTCGAACATAGTTGCATCGTGCTATATGCATGGTAATGTGCCAGCTGCGGCCCTGTTGGTCATTAGAGTGCAATGTTTGCTTACAGATTGTGTATGGAGCGTCATCGGGCTTCCGCGCACATCAGGCTGTAGGGAATATATCGAAGGGAAAACGGGCGCAGAACTCGAGCTTGCGGTAGTCTGAAGGTCCCTCTGGGCGACCGATACTCTGATAAGGGAATTTAGCAGTGGATGTGGAAGTACCCTGACGCGCTCGCAGTGACTTCACATTATGATGTACGGAACTGACGCGCTCTGCCCAAAGAAGGATACCCAGGAGGACTGAAAGGATATGACCTGTGTGAGAGCTCTCGTACGTTCGCGTAGGATATGCGAAGGAATTCAGTGGAGGGTCAAATTGCACAAGAGGTTGGGTCAGTAGTGATCAGTAGGCGGGAGGGTCTGCGGGGAGTGGACAGAAGTGTAATTAAGGTTTCAGACGCTAAGTAAGTGGTTCAGCAGGGACGATGCCCCATCAGTTCATGGCCTTGGCAATCTTTGGTCCCATAAGGCAGGAAGTTGCACAACATTGTAAGAATGGCAAAGTGGATTTGGTAGACTATGAACATGCTGCCAAGTCTAAGATACGATCTGCTTGAATATTAGCAAGTGTTGTGTCTGTAGAAGTAGGGTGGACTTGCCTGCACACAAGCCGTGTGGTATGCGTTTTACTCTGAGCCCGCTTGTCGGTATGTTAGATCTGTCGATTTGGGCTGAAAAGCAAAGTATCCGAATTCTGATACTCATTTTCGTAGCCTACTACTTGTAATGCCATAGTTTTGCAGCCTCATCATGGCTCCGCGGGGCTTCGCTAAGTCTTGCGCGAAGGAATCGGCCCGAACACCTCTGACGTACGGAATTACATCCACACAGCAGCTCTGCGCGAGACATCTCGATGACAGAGTCGTTACTTTCGCAGTTGTGGTGCGTACCGTGCGGCTTTTCTTGTTTCGAAGTCCGTATGTCCGCATGAATCTGAACCATGATCGCGCCTCCCTCCTGAGTTTCTTGCCTCAGCCCACCCACCAACCCGACATCTATCACCAGCTCCGCGAAATCGACTGCGTGTTGCCACGACGCGTCCGTTATACTATACCGTCATGAAGACTCGAGCCTGTGAGATGGATATGACTCCCGAGTCGCTCCTACCTCCCAGCCGCTGAGACGGCTTCACGCCAGCAAGCTTCTTCTTACGCCCAATTCGTCCACTACGACGACCACGATGACCTCCATCACGACTCGCATCTCCTTCACGATGAACGGATACGGAATGGGCATGATAGGATGGCTCTGAGAGTGCATACTTCGAGGCAGGCCGATGTGCTTCAACGCGCCGTTCTGCCTCACGCGACGGGCTGTGTCGCGCTTCCTGGCCTCACTCCTAGAATCGCTCATGAGCGATATCACTGAACGGTCTGATACAGGCAGGCGAACAGCGACTTGCTTGCGCCCCTCACTTGTGACTCTAGGTCTGCAGCTCCATACTCGACGAGCCTTGATAAGGCCTCGAGCGTCTCCGAAGGGCGCCTCCATCGCACGCAACCCGTCTGCCGAACACGCTTCCAGAACCTCTGAACGCTTGCGATCCTGACGCAAAGCCCGTATAATGTTGGAAGCTCTGACTGCTCAGGTGTTCTACTATTGAAGGCCTGAGATCTCCGCGGAAGAGACAACCTCCTAGGCCTGCCGGGACAGAACAAACACCTCCACCCAAGAAGCTATAACAACTTGCAAGGGTGGTTGGTAGAACAGACAGTCACTACCTTTGGCTTGCTTGACTAGCTGAATAGTCCTGTTCGTATCCCCTTCCTGTATGAGCATCTGATGAGGATTACAAGCGAGGCGGTGGCATAGTGCTGATTATGCTCACCACTTGACGCTCCGCTTTGTGCCATTACTCTCGCCAAACCTTCTAGCGATATCCGTGCACCAATACTCCCAATACACTACCATGAGAGTATCATCTGTACGAACGTTGGCTGCCATACTGGCCCTCGCGACAAACTTTATACGTATGGAAGTGCAAGAGATTCAGCCTTCTTGGTCATCCACTATCGAGTGGGCGGATACTAGCATCCAATACTTCGGCTATCGTGGAGCGACAACGTATGGACATGTCCTATAGAGGGTCTGGCAAGAGAAGATACTAGGCACATTGCAGATCGTGAGCAGACCTTGGCAGCTTCTCGTAACTGCCCATCTGGTGTATTGCCACACCGCATGGCATATTTCCCATTCTCGGCCGCAACCTGCAGCTGATGGCAATTCCATACCCAGTCGAAGCTTCTTGCCTACCAAGAGCTATGCTGCAAGAATCTTTCGGCACTAGATTCTGACAATGAAAGCAGCGAGCGGAACAAGAGCTCATGACTTTGCTTGAGCAAAATCAGTCGAGCGGAGAGAGTGGGACACGTCTAGAACATGATGTGACCTTGTTGGCGAACTGTCTCACCGTTGCGACGACAACGACATCTCTATTGACGACTTTTTCGGACCCACTGGTATCTTCAGGCCCGCGCCAACTTGGGATTCGAGAAGAATCTGGCGGCGAAAGTGCTCCTGTGATTTTGCCTTGAGTTTGAGTAGGCACGACTTGTCGAAGACATCCTGCCAACTTGGCTGCGTTATGAGGCTTCCATCCAGCCATTTATACGCTATTGTGGGGCTACCAAGCCCAGTGGATTGACTCAGCACGAGCGATGTCGTGCCACCACAGTTGGGCCATTAATAAGACTACGGTCTGGCAGTCGGGGTCACATCCCCGGATCCAATCAACAGTCATCGTAACGTTGCCGGCTCAAAGGATATTGATTTCGAAAATGTGGTCTTGTTCGACAGCCATAATCATTGCGTCCGAACGCATCG